ATTCATATAACAATTCGTTTTAAATATATCATAGATTGATTTCATTTACAAGTATCTTCCATAGTGTTATGTTTGAATAAAGTTCATACTTTTACCTAGATGGATAAGTAAGAGGTTTGGAATTTTAAATGCATTTATTTCAATAGCTCAAATAGATCAATGACAATATCAGCTCCATTACATCGTATCACTCACTCACTCACTCACTCACCCACTCACCCACTCACCCACTCACCCACTCACCCACTCACTATGACTCACAATGACTCACAGCAAATACTAATATTTTCACCCCTCGAAAAAAAATCATCATCAATTCGCCCATCGCTCTAAAACCTGAAAACTGGCTGCATCATGCAATATCATGCAATTTACTCTTTTTCACGCAGAAGATTACAAAGACTCTCGCACCACATCTTTAAGACTTAGCAGCCTCCAACTCCAGCTCCAATTGTCTAATTCTTTCACTCTGATCACCAGGACCAACTCTCATCTTCAATGTATCAACCTCTTGAGTCAATAGACCAATCTTCTCCGTTTGTGCCGTGATAGTTTTGGTTTGAGCTTCCAAAAGTTTCTTGATTTCTTCTAGGGAATCTTCGACGCCAACTGCAGTTGGAGATAGTTGAGGAGCACCAACGCCGGAAATAGGTCCAGAAGAGGTAGGGATGGCGGCTGGAGTAGGCCTTGCTGCGGGTTGGAATGATGTTGGTGCTGCTTGAGATACAGGAGATGGCTTTGGTGGTGCAGTTTTGGTTGAAGTGACGTTAACTGGTTCTACCTTTGCTGCAGCTGGAATTGATTTTTGAATTGGCTTTTGAATCTCCTCAAAGCTAGAATTATCATCCGCGTCATCCTCATCGTCATCTTGAAACTTAGAGGCCATAGCAGAAATGGAACCCTTTTGCTCCGACATGCTTGGTGGAGCTGCTCTTTGTACCGTTGGAGCTGGTTCAGGCTCTGCCTTAGGTGGTGCTGTCTTTGTTGGGGCTGGGTTCGGTGCCGGTGCAGCGGTAGGTGGTCTATAATCAGCTGGCACTTCAACTGGGGCATTTCCTTCATATACACTCTCCAAATCGATCTTGGCAGGAATTCCATCTTTACCAGCGAGCCATTCCTCGGCAGTCACCGCAGGTTTCAAACCAATAGCAGGTGGATAAATATCAGATTGGAAGACTTCGGCTCTTCTGGGAACTGTGAAGGAGATAGGTTCAACATATTGGTCATTGACGGTTTTGAATGCCTTCATAACTTCGTTCTCGTGAACCTGCATGTTTGTCAGAATATATATGCGAAAGACATAACAACAACCACTTACGTTAATACCACGTCTTGGAAGGAATGCGAGACCACGTTGTTGATCACTAGACTTGTATTCGGACAAGAATTCGAACTTGTCATTTTCATATTCATAGTATCGAATGTTGCCATCACTGAAACAAGTTAGCTAGTTTTCCGGTGATATCTGCCAATCGACTTACCCTTTGCCTGCCAAATACAAACATTGTGTTCCATCATCTAAGTCAAATTAGCGTAGATCAACCACAATTAATTAATGTACTTTACCCCAGAATGGCATGCAAACACCCGAGATAGAGTCCAAAACGGTGAACCCGCCAATTGGCTGTTTAGCATTACCAACATCCCACAAAGCCATTTGACGATCACTCATCTTGGAGAATCCGGTAGTAGCCACACGGTTGTGTTCTCCCATCCATACAACTCTGCTGTTTTTTGCGCCGGTATGTCCAGGACCTTCATGTGCCGGTCTTTCTTGTCGAGTATCCCAGATACGTAACTTCTTGTCACGAGAGGTGGTAGCCATAAGAGCTCCATTTGCGCTCCATGACAAACTTTGTACAATATCTCCGTGCTTCAATGTCAAAGCTGCCTTCCCAGTGCCTACATCCCATAGCTTGATCGTGTAATCGCCAGACGCGGATGCGAGAATGTTGTTCGCGGCGGGGTTGAAGAGAACTTGTCCGACTTTCCTGCAAGTTGTTAGAATCGATTAGAGCTTTCTGTATAGCTGGCACATACCTAGAATGACCTGCCAATTTGCTGACAGGCGCAACATCGACAGGTTCTTCAGAATCCTGATAGAGGGAAAAACCCTGAGGAACCTCCCATATAAACACCTTTCCATCATCAGATCCAGAAGCGATTATGCGATCGTTGAAAGGATTCCTAAATCAAAAGTGAGATCCTGTTCCATCTGCCACACCTTGAATACTCACCAATCTGTATCAAGGACAGGACCAGTGTGACCTCGAAACAATGGGATTTGTTCTGGCAGACGTCCTTTCTCATTCAAAGGAATAACAGCGAATGCGCCTCCACCACTAGCTTCCCAATTGACCGAAAGATATTCAGGATTGGCCTATTTCGATGATGAGCTACCTTATTCCTTCATTCTACATCACTTTCCAAAGTATTTGGTATCCCACCTTGATTAAATTGGTATCCCATGCATTGCGACTGATATGTAAGTTATCGTAACATGCCTCCTTCTTCGATGATTTACCAAAGACATGTCCTATTTCCTCGTCAGCGATTGCTCTCGTGCCTCTTCCTCGCGATATGGCAACAAGGCTTACGATATTTCGACGCGCGCACAAAACGACCGGCCATCTGAGCTCATGTACAGGATGTGGAAGCAGAGGAAGAAGAAGAAGAAGAAGGTGAGTTATTTATTGAAAGTAATTAAGAATGTTGATGAGGGTTGTCAAGAAAGAATGATGTTTGTTCCGTTTTGTTGTTGATTTTGTTTATTTTGATATGTTATGCGAAGCTCATCCAAAAAGTCTCGATATCAAGATGCTATCAATAACTTTTTGAATTACCTTGTAGGCGGGATGGTTGGAGGTAAGAAATGGTGAAACTCAAACTCAAAATCAAACTCACAATCTTATGGAGTAGAGGCGAGGCTTTACAAGTTTATTAGTAGCTCACTTGCTGCGCCCGCCAATGGTTACGGGTTGGTTATAAAGTCTACTACAAAGGGAAATCACGGCCCGTGTCAAATCAATATCATGTCGAATTAGGAGTTCCTTATTTCTTATTTTCTTTGTTCCAGCCCCTTTTCCGATATTCATTATGTTACTCGGTATGTTCCTCCATGATTGCATTAATTTTATCTATTCCATACCCAAATATGGAGTACAAGTTCTACATTATGATACATATCCCATGGATTTGAACCTAGCCCAGCCCACTTTCCAAGTGCATAATTCCCCACCCACAACTCTCAGGTGTGTTTCCTTGAAGTCAAACAAAGAAGCTGTTTGAAACATATACCGTAAAGTTGTCCCAAATTGCAACAAGAAACAATAGGTCGTGTGGTCTAATGGTTATGATATCTCGTTCACAAACATGTGTTCATCAATTCTGATTTCGATTGTACCCGTTATCTGATTCCGAGATGGTTCCCAGTTCGATCCTGGGCACGATCACTTATTTTGTCATTTTGACGCTCCTTTTGATGCACATTTCAACATCTACATCAACTTCTTGATATAGCTTCAAATTCATTATGTAGTTGGAGGTCTGTACGGTTATCTTTTGATTGACTTCGGAATGGAAAGGAGATGTTGATATTATGTAATTATACATGCACGGACCATAACCTAAATCAAACTTGAAGGAACACCAAAACCCAGAACCTCTCTCACTCAATACAGATACTCCGAAAATCTAAAAGAGTCTATCAATCATGCTAGAAATTTCGCATCACCTGCTGTTTCAAGTTCGCCCACCCCGAGAAATGCAAAGAAGATCTTTCAAGACTTCAGCTGAGTTTTATACCAGCCAGTGTTCCAGGTTGAACATTCGACAAATTCATCTGAAGCATACATATGATGGCATATAAGTTGTTGTGCACAATATCTCACACTACATCCTCATTGTGTATAAAAATTGTTTTAGAAGAAAGAGGGTGTCAGAGCAAGTATATGATTATCAAAGATCGATTGAATTCCTGAGTCTTACAGGCCACCTCCACGAGTGTGATCCTCCCATCTGAGTGTAATCAAAATTCCTACATTCCATTTCGTTCCTTGCAACGGACATGGACCTGAATGGTTTCTCTTGTTGGCAGCTTCTCGCTGTGTAAAGATGTGCCAAAACTTTCTCTGCTGAAAAATAACTCAAGGTCGTTTATATATATAGCACGCACATTTTTGGTGAAAGATTTACTATCACTTCTACACTTAAAAACTATTCAAGTCTCATCAGTGAGGAGTCTCTTAGAGCAGAGTAGCTGACAGGAATTAAAAGTTAAATGGCGCAATATCACCAGTATCTAGATCTATGCTAAAGACTTGTCTGTTTTCTCCACAATCTGGTGATTCAGAAGATCCTACGATTCGCAACCTTGTGAACGCGCCAGGAGATCTAGATGATGAATCTCTCTCTGACTTCATCTCGCAAATTTTTGATGATGGAGGCGGGAACTCAGGCTCGGGAGGTGCTTCTGTGGGATTAAACGGTCCTGGTGGTGGAGGCTATAATAGTCCAGAGGTAACAATGTGACAATCCGGGAAACAATAGCCCTGGCAATAATAGACTTTGAATAACGACCCAGGAAAATGGTTCTGGAAACGGAGGCTCAAACGAATTTTCTAACTTCCCTGGCTTCCCTGGCTTCCCTGGCTTTGAAAATGGTGGTGGTTCAAACAAAAACCTGGGAGATAATACCCCCGGCAATGGAGGCTCAAACGGATTTCCCAGCTTTCCCAACTTCCCGGGCCTCCCTGGCTTTGGTAACAACGGTGGCTCAAACAACAATCCAAGCAATAACAATCCAGGAAACAATAACCCAGGAAATAATGGTGATGCAAATGGTGGGCAATGGTCAATAGATATTATTGCTCCCAGTACCTAAGGGGTTTGAATGCTACTGCTCTTGCTGATTTCTTACGCAGAGCCGAATTAAACTCCATCTTTGAGTTCGAAGAAGAAGAAGAAGCTGCTGATGATGATTATGAAATTTCAATTGGTGATTTTCTTCGCTTCCTGGACGCGCTTTCACGCTGCGACTTCCTACGATTGTTGCGCTTCCCTTGGATTATTGGATTTCCATACCCACCTGTATATCCAACAGTGTCGAGCCAAATAAGTATGAGAACATCATCTTCTACGACCAATGTTGGCTTTGGAGCTTCCACAACAATGACTAGGCCCACCTCATTCATCCTTCCAAGCTCTTCAACTCGAACAAGTACTACAAGCGGACTTTGAGGTCCTTCAACTACAACTAGAACTAGCACAAAAACCGGGCTTGGAGGCCCTTCACTTCCTCGTCTCGTACCGGAAGCACTTCGAGCATGAGATAATCGCAAGGCTCAACCACTACAAACTTAGGAGCAACTCTCATATCATCTAGCACCATACCTTCTCTAGCTCTGTATGCCTCCTCTTCCGCTATTCTCAGTGAATACTAATTTGGCCAGTCAACACGATTGAATGCTCTGTCGACGAGTTCTTCTACCAGGTCCAGTCGCAGCCCCGTACGTTTCCCTCCATACCCACCACGGTGAAACTAATGCTAACAAATTGGTAGTCACTGTCCTCCCGTCCTTTTACTGTTGTAGGTTTAGGGGCTAGCTCCGCTACATCTCGGGTAATAGTATTTTCTCTTGCCACATCTACGACGATATGGCGATGTGATAATAATACCTGTATAGACATCTTTCACTCCCTCCAGAAGTACTAACTTAGCGCTAGGCATTAGCTCTAGTACAACATGGGGAGCAAAATTCTCTATATCTCCCTTGTGCTTATGATATGACATGTGAATGCTAAATTCTATAGACTTCTTCCTCTTCCTTCCGCAGTTCCTCGGTGACTGTAGCTTTAATTGTTAGTACTATATCGACTAGAGTAAAAAATTCTTCTTAATTTAGCTTTGCTCCCAATGAGAATATACGAATGCTATTTTTTTTTACAAATATTATTCTCTTCCTCCAGTCGTAGCAGTGCTTCAGCTGTAGGTTTAGCGCTAGCTCTACTACATCCCGGGTAAAACATTCTTCATTTCACATTGTCTTATGACATTGTTTCATAAGTCACATTATTTCTAACATAGTATAGTCATCTTCCTCCAATAGATCCTCTCCGACGCTTCTAGCCGTCGTTAATTCTAGTTCTACTCGGGTAATTTCAAATTCTTTTACTATTTTTCTGCTGTTGATATGGCTCTAATCTATTCCATAGTCATCTTCTACTAGTTCACGGACTTCATCATTCCAACTGGTATATTTCCTCCAAATTTTGCATCCCACAATTACCGTTTTACCATGATAATATAATAACACACTCTCAATGACTTGGGTGGCCCCTCTACTACCTCTAGATCTACTACTATTTTCTCATCCGCTCGAACTTCATCACCCAGTTCCGTCCGTTCAACTTCCAGTGCTGTTGCTTTAATAGTATCACCTGATGGAACTTGTGGCTTTCTTTCTTCCTTCGGGTACACGTGTCAAGGGAGTACCAATGGAAACTGTCGTTTGAGGTTTGGATCCTGTGATGTTGGAGCTGAGTGGTGTATCGCTGGTTGTAACCATGCATTGGATTGTGGACTGGACCAGTATCAAGGCTCGACGCTTTTCGAGATCTTCAACCTCATCTAGGTCGTCCTCAGGATTCGTCGCGGTAAATATTGCTTCATTTTCCTGTGTAGTAAATGCTAAAATATCAAATAGGACCAAGGAAAAATTACTAGCTCCCAATCAACCTCAACTTCTAGATCTTTGACGTCATTTTTTGTGGTAACCATTGCCTTTACTGTCACTTCTCTTAATGGTACGATGAATGCTAGATTTTTAAATAGGGCCAAGGATTAAGTACCAGTTCGACAAGAACAACGAAATCGAGGACTAGCTTGATGGCACAACTTGCTATAACTTTCGGTCCCAGTTTTAGGTCTTCATCATCATCGGTCTTAGTAATTACACCTCTGTAGATTGGTGCATTTGCTTTTCTAATAGATGGATACTAAGGTATCAGGCCCAGGGACTGACTACTAGTTCTACATCAAGAACATCTAGGTCGAAGACTGGCTCTACATTAAGATCAAGTACATCTGGTACCAGTTCGGCGGCACAAATTGCTTCAATTTCCACTACCAGTTCCCGCCAACGCTTTCAGAACAGTTGCAACCCTTGCTTTAAGGGCCAGAGACTGCTGTCAATACTACATCATAAGAGCCGGCGACACATGTGCTAGTATTACCGACCGCCCTGATATTCTCGGCTTAGATGTAGCTATTCTAGGCCTCCTTAATCCAACCTTGAGGTGTAAAGGGCCAGAACCCTAAGTCAGTGTCGCCGTTTGTATTCAAAATATTCAACACCCCTCATAGGTTTTTTGGTTGATCCTCCTGATGTTTCACCTTCTTCCGCTGTCTCGTCTCCAAGCCCATCTCAGGCTGTTCCTGCAAGCTTCTATATCCAGGCTAGGAATTCGGGAATAGGTACCGATGGAAGTATGTAGTCTCGTGTGTTTGGGAAAATGGGGTTGGTTCTATTTTTCATTTGGCACTTAGTTATTTCCTTCTGGAGTTTTCTTTGAGTTTGGTCAGACTGGTCTGTTTTCGATTGGAGTACCTCTGGTTGATTCAGCAAATGGATATAAGATATACGGATGGGATGCCTTTTAGGACTATGGAAATAATGCGTCAATGTAGTCGTGCGATTTTATTAAGTAGTTAGTAGTTAGTAACTAGAATAAATTTCTGTGATCTGATATATATATTTGTTTTTTGTTTCTTTGAAGTAAAATATGCCTCCCCTATTATTACCGAGCCGTGCGTGTACGTTTTATATTCCATCCCCCAAGTTTTTACGTACTGTGTTTTTTTTATCTCGGAGAAAAAATCATCCTTAATCAAATCTTACACATGTATTCATGATTTATTGTTACGAGGATACCGAGCTCAATGATCTAGGATTCTCCAACTCCCGTCTGTGGAAATCTGATTCTGTCATTCTGTTAATCTTTCAGATGGGAATAGAACTAGAATCCATGAGTCGTCTGGGAATTCTAAAAACCCCGTTACAGAAACCAGTCAAATTGCTAAGCATCAAGTCAGGGGAAGCTAGAAATCCTTTCTATATATTTTTTAATTAGTATTTTTTAGAATTGATATATCCTTAAAGAATGATATCTTTTTTGATGCTTGAGATCTATATGTAACGATACTGTACTAAAGGCAGCGGCTGCCTAAGGTTCGTCGGTTGGTAGTTATAGGTTAAGGCTTTATCACTGGTATTCACTTGAAAGTGAATTCGTTACTAGATCAAATAGAATGTAGGTAAACTAATTGATAACTAAGTTGAGCACGAAGCTCCTAAATTATGAAACTATTCTGACTATATACTATCGATTTCCTGACTGCTAGCAGTGCTAGCACATCACATGACATTAATCCTGCGATGGTGAATCGTGACATTTAAACGAGTAAGAGTTTAGAATAATAATCTCATTTATATATATGTATATTATTGTTTTTTTTTTCTTAGTTAAAAAGTTTGAACAGATAAGAGTTTGAAGTAATAATCTAACTTTTATTGAAACCTATTCTTTTTATATTGTTTAGATAGTAAGAATCTTAGATGTGATATCTATCTAGCAAAACTATATACATGATAACCTCCATAAACTTATGGACCTTCCAGAAAGAATTCGAAAGTTCATGTAGGAAGGAATTTAGAGTTCTTAGGGGAAGCCAACCCATGCACCCCGCGATCCTTCGACCCACACACTGCCCATTTCACACCTCGTACGTAATATTCCGAACGAATTAATTACCATTTTCGAACTAAATCAAGCACGCAATTGTATCACGAAATTTTATGGGCAAATTTTTCATCATCGGTGTGAATTATTTCAGTGAGATTTTGGTACAATATGGGGACTCTACATATCTACCTGCATATGGATTTGAATCGATCAATCCGTTATCCGCAACCTCCAGCTTAAGCTTCAGCTCCACCTGCATACCCTCTGAAGACAGCGCGAACGCATAATTAGATCAACATCGCGTTCTTGAAGATGTCAAACCCTCACCTTCAGTTAAAAAATGACACACACGTGATCAACCACAACAGCGACACAGAAGCAAACAAACCACATAATGACGACCACCATGAACGTCCAATTCTCGCCGATAAACTCGCGCGGTCCCTCTCGGCCCGCCAAGTCCAAATGATAGCCATCGGCGGCACAATCGGTACAGGACTCTTCCTCGGCACTGGAAAATCCCTCGCAACAGGTGGTCCAGCCTCCGTCCTCATCGCATATCTAATCGTCGGTTTCATCATCATGCTCACTATGCTCTCGCTAGGCGAAATGGCAGCTTATGTACCCATAGCAGGTAGTTTCTGCACGTTTGCGGGGAGATATGTAGATGATGGGCTGGGATTCGCTTTAACGTGGAATTATTGGTTTAATGATGCGGTGAGCACGGCGGCGGATTTGGTGGCTCTTCAGTTGGTTTGGGCGTATTGGGGGGATACGGGATTACCGGGTTGGGGGCTTGCATTGATTTTTTGGGTGCTTTTGGTGTTGGCTAATATTATTACTGTGAAGGCTTATGGGGAGGTGAGATCTTCGATTTTGTGATGGTATAGAAAGAGGCTGACGCGTGGTTGTAGCTTGAGTATTGGTTGAGTCTTTTGAAAGTTGTTACTATAACGGTAGGTTTTTGCTTGTTTTCCCTAAGGACTCTATGCATGTACTAATCTCCTAATAGATCTTCATAATTCTTGGAATTGTAGTAAATTGTGGAGGTAACAACTCTCACACATATCTCGGTGCACACAATTGGTACATAGGTGATGCACCCTTCGTAGGAGGAATCGGTGGATTCGCCTCTGTCTTCGTAACCGCGTCATTTGCATGTAAGTTTTAATCCCCCCCACCCCTTTTCCAAAAACACAAATTCTAATCCGCTTCTAGACGGCGGCACAGAATCCATCGCCATAACTGCAGGCGAAACTAAAAACCCGACGAAAAACCTCCCACGTGTAGTAAAAAATGTCTTCTGGCGCATTCTCATCTTCTACATTCTTTCCGTTCTCCTCATCGGTCTCAATATTCCTTATAATTACCCTAACCTCTCCAGCAAATCAACAGCCACTTCTCCCTTTACCCTCGTTTTCCAAATGGTGGGCGCCAAAGCAGCGGGTTCTTTCATGAATGCTGTAATACTCACCTCTGTTATTTCAGCCGGAAATCATGCTTTATTCGCTGGTACTAGACTTTTATACACCCTCTCTGTTGATCGACACGCTCCTCAATTCTTCGGTAAGTTAAACAGAAATCGCGTCCCATGGGTAGCAGTCCTTGCTACAAGCGCGATTAGCGGACTCTGTTTCGGAGCGAGTTTTATCGGTGCAGGTCAATTGTGGAGTTGGTTGCAAAATCTCGTGGGGGTGAGTAATCAATTAGCTTGGATAGCTATAGGTGTTACATCGATACGATTTCGCGGTGCATTAAAGGTTCAGGGAAAAACACATCTTCTCCCGTATAAAAATTGGACGTATCCGTGGGGACCATGGATTTGTGTCGTTTTGAATGTGGTGATTGTGTTGGTGCAGGGGTGGAGTTCATTTAGTCCGAAGTTTAGCGCGGTCGATTTTGTTAGCTATTACATTGAGCTTCCGGTTATGGCGCTCATGTGGTTGGGCTGGAAGTGGATGAAGAAGACGAAGGTGGTGAGTTATGAGGACATGGATTTAGAGACGGATGTGCATGTTGTGGGAGAGGAAGATGAGAAGGAGAAGGAAAGGGAGAGGTCGGTGATGGGGAGGGTTGAGAGGGTATTGAGATGGATTTTTTAAGGTTGGGTTGATAATGGATGGTTGGATTCGTAGTTTTAGATAGGCATTTGTGCTCTTTTGCCATGTGAACTGTAGTTATTTTTTTTCATGTACTTTGCCATTTTGTGAAATTGGGTATTTAAATTTTAGAACCGGTGAAGACTCAAAATAGTAAGTTAACTACTTCCTCGATGAATAAATAGAGAAACCCAAAGTATTCAGATGATCTAGCCTTCGATTCAACAACTATCATAAATATCCCTGGTACTCTTCCGAGCTCTTGAGATGATCTTTAGAAATATAAAATGTGGAACGATAGAATGAAAACATAGGAGGATAGTGTTTGGGATGAATCTTTCGGGGGCTTCTAGATAGAAATTTCCAGAAAAATATCTCAGATTTGCAAGGCGAGAGTAGGTAAAACTTACGTCTTTGGTCTTTTCTTGGAGTAGGAATAGAAAGAGATATTATAACGGCAATTCTTCAAATCTGAAAGAACAATTGAGAACGCTCAGCGGAGCTCTTGAGATATTATCACAAATGATTATTTCAATCAAAAGAGCAATGAAAAGTGTCATCTAATAAGTATCGCTAGAACATCACACATTCACTTCACATCGCAATATCAAAAAGATTTATTTTTTAAAAAGATAATAAATTAAACATTGAATTCAACCAATTCATCGCAAAATCATGCGTTTTCTTAAAGTTATACATAAAGGAGTGACAAGAAAATTCGTCCCAGTGAGACATTACCAACATTAAAATTCCCCATTCCTAACCCTTCATCCATCTCCATTTTTCAATTCGCTTTTCCCCTTTCGCATTTTCAATCATCTGATCCACATCCCCTCACACCTCATCAAACAATCCCTTACTTAGAGATAGTGTAAGAGTAAGAGCTCTCGCAAGTCCAGGTGTCGGATCCCGATACACCAGGAATATAGGTAGCTTGTCCACTGGAGTAGGATTGAGTGAACAATGAACAGTAAGTACCCATTGGTTGACCATTCTTCTTCAACATGTAGGAGTTGAAGAACTTGCATTGGAATGGAGAGTAGTTCAAGAATCTGTAGATCATTTGCATCCAGATGGAGATGAGAGAAAGATTCTTAGCATTCTGAGCAGCGGCGTAACTGGCGCAGACAGCTGGGTTGTATGGACCGGGGAAGAAGGCTTGTCCCAAACAGGTAGATGGGTGAGAGTGTCCCTTGGATCCTCCACCGCATTGTTGAGGTGGTCCCCAACCGGGCTGAGTTGGAGGAGGAACAGTCTTGGAGTAGCCGTTGGAGCCGGTGATGACGACTTGGAATCCATCACGGTATTGACCGGTGTTGGTGGCGGAAGCAGAGTCCACTCCGGATCCCCAGAGTGTGCACTTGTAGTTGGTGATGGAGGCTGGGTTGGGGCAGTCGTCGGATGGGTTGACGGATGGATCACGCTCAACGTAGATGTTGAAACCTGTGCAGAGTTTGGTGTTATCGCAAAGAGTACCGCATTGGGCAACATCGTAGCTGGTGAAGGTGGTGAGTCCAAGGTAGGTGTTGGCAGTTACTGCGGCGTTGAGATCAACAAAGGTTTGATCGTAACCGGAAGGAGTTTTGGCGTTCTTTGCCTCAGATGCGAACTCGGCGTAGGCGAGGAAAGCATCAACGGTATCTGGTTGAACCTTTGGTCCATAACCATCTGGTTGAGTGGCACATGGAGTGCTGACGTATGGAGTGGTTGCTGGTGGAGTATCAGTGGTGGTAGGCGGGACGACGATGCTGGTTGCAGCTGCAGCGGTAGAGGTGGTGCAGATCGAGGTAGAAGAAGCCTTGACGGTAGTAGAACTTGGAGCACCCCATCCTCCGGAACCTCCATATCCACCTCCCCATCCACCACCCCAACCGCGCTTGTTGTTCTGGGAGACAGTTGCCGAAGCAGTAGCGAGACCGGTGGCTTTGGCAGCACCTGAAGCAGAGACTGAGGCAGGGTCGATAACGACAACTTCCTTGGTGGCAGTTATAGCTGGACCAGTCAATGCTGGAGGAGGAGCAGCATTAACTGCTGCGAAATCAATGTTTTGAGGAGCTGGGTTAGCAGTAGCAAGGGCGGCTAAGCCTGCAATGAGGATTGCGTGATGATGCATTTTGAACGAGTGAATGCGGAAAAATTGAACAGAATGAAGTGTGAGTGAAGAGAGAATGTGATTGTTGGATGATGAGAAAAAGAATATGGAGAGAAACATCAACCTACATATATAATTTTTCGAAGCATCCGAAGGGCCCTCGAGTGACTAAGAAAGCACACTAATGCATGCAGAGTAGTATTTTGTAGAATTAACATTGCTCTGGTTCGTTTCACAGTGAGCTGAACAACGTGCAGAAAGACTCTCGAGCAACTAGCTCATGGTAGGATGTAAAAACACTCAGACATAAATCCTAATCTAACCAGAGAGCACCCATCAATCCAGGGTATCCATTCTTTAGTCCTTCGATGCCAAAAAATCGCTTGTCTTTCCCACGATCTTGTTAACCGGCCAAACTCTGAAATCTTCTCTCAACATCAAATCATACACAAATCACCAATGAGTACAAACTGTAGCCGAGAGAATGATATGACGCTTTGAGCAATTAGCGCTCATACTATGTTGATCTCCGTAATATCAATCCTTGGTCCATCCTTGGCCAATTCCGATGCACGCAGTGAGGTACCCGTCGCTTTGAATTTCCTAAATGCAGGTACAAGGACTCTTTCATGTGGGCCCTTTCGATTTCGGACGGAAAAAATGAGTGCCAATAAAAAGAAGCTTAATCAGGATGTGCACCTCGCCTCATTGGGTGTTAATGTCAGGGTCATAATTAATGAAGCTTAGTGCACGGGATAAACTTTGGAGCCGTGCCACAACAAGCTAGTTCTAATGCAAGCCATCCCATATTGTTGATTTATTTGTAGTTGAATTCTTGGAAATTAGAAATCTTGGATATTAGTTAACTTCTTCGTATTTGGAAGTCGCTTTGATATCAGACTCTGTATCCTTAGTGAAATCTTTAGGATACGGGCACAACATTCATGTATGCATCTCTTTGAGATCAATCAATTTGGGCGTGCATGTGCTGCTATATTCTGTTAGTCTTCAATTTTGGTACGTATCTTTGAATCGGAAAATTTGTAGCGTCAACGTCCTTAATATTGATGGTGCCATGCTAAACCTCTATGTTGTATCAGAACGTGGAGCAATAGGATGTACTCATGTAGATCGCTGATCAATTGCCTTCAGCAAGCTTAGTTCTATGGGTCTGAATTAAGTTCAGATAATGACAGCATCTGGCATGGCAATGCTGTGAAGTGGGAACACTGCGGGAAACAGATGCAAGTTGTCAAAGTCCAGGTGTCTGGAAGTTCGGCATACCCGCATTGACAGTATGTAAAATTTATGTCCTTTGACCGCCCAAGACGTTGCTGCTGTGAACACTGAACGTAGTCGAACTCATGCAGATGCTAGTCCCTAAATCTTAAGGTCGTAATGGCAATACCACGTGTCAATATGTCGCCTGTCAGGGGAATTTCCAAGACCAGCTGAAATTCTAGGTCGGGGGAGACCGGAACTACCAAGTTACTAGATCATTGGTAAGAAATTCAGATACTTTTAGGGAGGGGTAGCATACAGAGCTGTCGAAATCTATATTATTAGTTAAGAGGCCATGCTTTCATCCACGATACATCGTGGAGGAGAAATGCGCCAAATAATCGTATGGTATGTGCAGCGCGACCTAGAACATATCTAAAAGCTTATGATCGACGCTCGCTGTGGCTATTGCCAGGGCTGTACATGAATCGGGCGTTCGGTGTGAAGATCCTCCCGGTCGGCAAGTAGTTCCGAAGGATTTTAGCTTCGAAAGATGGATCTGGACGAAATAAGCTGGCTGCTGTGATGACCCCAGGCCGTTGGGACGCCACACAATTTCACTTCGTGATCTTCCTTTTCAACAGTTTGTGTCTTGCTATTAAGTTCCTCTTGATCGTTGGCTGACCGTTATTTGACGATCAATGGTTGTTCGAATCACTGACCACTTTGACACTGCAGCTTCAAAGTGCAAGCAAACAAACAAACAAACAAACATTCAAATGTGATGATCTAAAGATCGGATTTGAGTTCATGGCGCTTTCCGCACTCAAGGGTGCTCTAACCTCGGAAAACTTGACAGTTTGGTAACATTATCCGGCACTAGACAAGGCTCTGGATAAGATCTGACTCGCCTTTCACGCTGGCTATGACACGGATAATTTCTCGCCTCTGCTCCATCATCGCTTAGTCATAATGTGAAGAAAAGCGAGAAATGTCCCTCTATAATCCGAAGGGGCGGCATCCACTACAACCGTGAGTTCGTATTATGGTGGAGCTTGTGAAGTGGACTTGCGGGAATTTCAAATATCTTCACATATCAAAACAAAAATATGGACGGAAAATGGCTGGAGAACCTGGATGAAGATCAAGACTAGATCGTATTAGTCGTAGCTTATTTTATTCTGCACGTGCTCAGCCAAAGAGTTCATCCACAACGTCTCAGCCGCACGACCAAACAATTATCAATTGCTTCCCAAAATAACATCAAATCCACTTTGGGCATCACATCGACGGCCTGGTTGTCCAGCATCCAGCATCCAGCTTGCCGTTGCTCCATCTATCCGTTAACCACATTTTGAGATTCGCCGCGATTGCCATTGCTCTTGAATTCAAGGACAAACGGAAAGCCAGCAAGGGCTCTCTTTCAGCTGTCAACATCCATCAAGTGATTTCTTCTCTCTTACAGAAAATTCTTTCCTTTCATAAAATAAACAAGTTCGAAGTATTTTGGTCACTATCCGCTAGATTTCAGTATTGTTAGTATGTATTATTGTTTTTGCTCATGGTAAAAGTTCTCTTGAATCAACCTTATTTCATCAATTCGATATTTATAAATACACAAGCAGTATATTGTGAAAGCTCTCAAATGATAATCCACAATTGCTTCTTCTGAAAACTTTTTTATTTTAATTTCAAAATTCCACTGAATTACAATAAGCTGAAAGTCTAGAAAATTATCTTCATTAAGGTTACTTTCCGAATTTCCGAGCTTTATTTTTTCACCCAACAAACGACTTATGTTAAATCAAGCCGTACTTTGGCTTGAATATGAGCACCGGTCGGTATTGGCCTCTTCATCAACTACCGAAAAAACCTCAGCTGTACATATTTGAGCAATTTATTTTGAAGCGAAACCTATATTGGACGTTCTCACGATCACGGATGGGATACCAACATTCACATATACAAATGTGCTTAGACAAGTCTGCAAGCAAACTAATCCACAAAGTGGTAGGTTTTCATGTGCCTCACGTCCATTCATTCTGGGAACAGAAACTGAACAACTTCGAGGGGGCGAGTGTTGTTAACTTCGCTGCAAAAGATCATCAAGGTAGGAGAATAGGAGCGACAGTTGCTTGTGACTGGAATCCACCAATCCTATCCTAGATAGTTTAGATTTTCAGTCTATACATTTTTGCAAGCTATCACCCATTCAACATGGAAAACTATTTTCCGATAAAAATTCATTCTTCGAATTCCATCGCTGATGCTCCCACATTCCGTTACACATTCGCAAAATCAAATTGAAAAAAACCATATGCAAAGAAACCCAAGGAAAGCCAGTGTATGCATTTGGACTCATTACCGCTGACCCTAATGACAGTTTGTTCAAACTGGTTGTGTGACATGATCATTGGCGTGACCTTGATGCACATCCGCTGGTGGCCATGGGCGGTGGGGAGCTTCATAAAAATACAACAACAAATAATCGAACGCTTCCCAATCAAGCATATCAAGTTCAGAATCATCCATTCTTTCTCTCTCCATTTCCTTCTCTGATCGATCAGAGCTCGCTTGTTTGAAATTCTCTGAAATAGGGCCAATCTAGGTTCTGCACTATATCTGCGAGAATCTTCAAGCCCCGTTTTTAGAACTGATTTGCCCAACATTCCCGACAAACACCACAAGTACCGCACAGTAACTATCACTCGTTAGTGCACACATCGATATGTCAGAGGAAATATTTACGCAGCTGCAGCGGCAATGATTTCATGTCGTTTCGCTCTAGTAAAAGCTGCCAATACACCTGAGAATATCAGAGTGAAAAGCAGCAGCAACATTATGAGAACCCCTATGAGTGGTCTCGAAGTGTTAAGGTTACTTATAAACCACAGAAGATAGACTGGTACAATCAGAAGAAGTAAGATTGCGGCGAGTATTATTAACGTAACCACTACATTGACGCGGTCGGGACTAGAGAGTATTATATTTGAATCTTTCGAATCTGTCTTTTGTTGGAGCTCCTGATCAGTGACCAGAGAGGGTCAGTGGAGCTCATTTGATATGAATGAAGGAAATTTCAGACCGTAGTAGAGAACATATACTGTAATACAGTCAGTACTGCCTGAGTATCTATGTGTATTCATCGCGGATACCCACTCTAGTAACCTTACAAGGCATGAGCTGTGGTATTCCCTCAACTTTTGTGTCCAACCAAGTATTCTCGCGACTAGGCTTAAGGGTTATGAGGTCATCCCGCTTGGCGATATAATCTTGATCTCGCGCACACAGCTGTATCTTGTATTCGAGGTAATTCTTGAATTGGAGGTAATCACTCGTCATTGGCCGATCGAAATTCGCAAAAGTTTGTGCGAAAGTTAGCAGCTCGGCTGCAAAAAACCCCTTATATTAGATCACTTCTTGTGCCTAGCAGCAGATCTGACTGACCGTACTCCTTTATTTTCTTCTCAATCATAGCAAGAAGGTCCTTGTAATCGACACTTTCGGTATGGGCCCTTTCGCGAGAGTAATTTCGATCAGGATACTCGTTCTCGAACCATTCATCTAGATGAGCTAATCGCATTTCGAGAGCTCGCAATTCGTCTTGTTTGTTGAGGAGAAGTCGTGCTTGCAAATGGCCGAACCTCCGATACATCATAAAATCCTCTTTACAGGCGATGACCTCTGCCAGGCGAGGATACCCGTCAGGGCGCAAGTCAACTAAGCATTCGTGATTAGTTCTTGGACATGGCCATAATGCTCCACTCTACTTACTGATATGCGACGTGAATTCGTCCGGTGACTTTCTGTTCTTCAACCCGCGAATATATTCCAAATATCGTTCCGTCTTTTTATCAGGCAATGTGCGTTCAAACTCTTCCTGGGTCATGCCATTAGGCTTAATCGGCTGCAAAGTTACTGGATCAAGGCTAGCGGGAGTACAAAAATGATTGACCTGGCCCGTAGCTACTCCTTTCTCCATGGAGTCTTGATCACTGTTATCAGTAGGCATTATTGTTATTTCTGTAATTCACAAAAGAACGCTTTGGTTGCGATGGGTTGCAAAGAAGGTCGGTTTCAACGGTGGGGCTTTCGATGGTGGAGATCAACGGTGTAGTTCTCGAATAAATTCTCCGAAAGCCACAATGCGTGGGCCTCGTATGCTCAAGGCTTGTATTACCGTCGGCAATGCGTGTCATACAGTACTGGAGTACTTCAATCCAATCCATAGACATCTTCACGGGTATGTGCATGTTTTGGTAAAATCAACGATGTTCATTGGTTTAAGCTACCTAAGTGCGACAGGAAACCAGAAACCTAACCATTAATGTTTTTCATCATGGCGGAGCTTGAGACTGAGACTGAGCTTGCGGCATAGCCGGGAAAGGACCGCAATCATCGTTTGTTGCTAATCTTATCTCCGGCTCGCGAACTCTTGTTGTAATAAAATCATTTGCTCTAACATCATAAATAAATCGAATTGTCACCATGTCAGCACCAAGTCTCATTTGCCCAGTGTTGGCTATCCCATCACTGATAACTATACAAGGTACTTCAGCACTCTTAGTTCGGCTTCTCCACATAACTTTGTCCCCTGGGTGAAATGTCCTACGAGCGGGACGCTAAACACCGTCAGCCATGTATCTGTATGAACTCAGAATGAGATAGTTTTCACGTTTGGTGTATCACTACCCCCATCCTGATTTCGGAAGTACCTGAGGTGCTTTGAAGGCATGTATGGCATTACTGCATGCTTTCCTGTTGTCGATCTTTGGATCAATACTAGATGACTTAGGACTGCGATAGAGTGAAAATCCAGTCTCAGTGTAAGGGTTGAATTTTTACCCTCTTGGATATCAAATCGTATCCAACTGATCCAGCCTATCTAATTTTATGTATTATCAGGCCCAGAAACAAGTCTATGGATCAAAGAATCCGCATGGGGACAGTAGAAAGTTCTAAACTTCTGGTTCTAAAATACCTAGGCGCCTAGAGCTTTCTTGAACAAACCTGGATGGAGAGTTTGAGCAGAATGGCGTTGACTTTGTTCTTATAGACGAACAGGAAGTTAAAAAGGGTGAAATTTTGATTTTAAAGAATGACTCCCCGATTTTTTCATATTTGTGGATGGATTAAAGCCAGTTGTGTATGAATGGTCATGAGATGGTGAATCATAATAGGGACGACAACATTCACAATGAACATGGAAATTGATGACTCCCAAAATAGTTTGGAAGGCAATCTTTCGGGTAATAGGATACTACTCTTCCCTTCTTTATTTGATGTATTCCATCGAAAGGGACATACACATTAGCATTATTATCCATTTAAAATACATGGTCTATCAGTAGCCGGAGGTGGGCACTGCTGGAGATCTTAATTATTTTGGAGGCTTGGCAAAATTGTGGGCCTTGAACTATTCCTTCATTTCACTTCCATTCCAGTGCATTGAATTTTCAGGAGATGTTAATCATTATCAGATTCACCGTGCTCGTTGCTATCTAAAGTTTGCTCTTCGCTTCCAGACAGGTCATCCATATTAATCATACATTTATCAATCTCGCCAAACCCCTATAATCTTTTATAGCCACTCAAACCAGAAAAACACCAAACACTTTCTTCGAGTATTCTATCTCACATGACTGAATATCAGTAGCATGAAGTAACGCCGATATTACATTCATCTCAGTGCATTTATGAGTATGGAAGTGTATAAGTCGACCCGGATTGACAATCATGATGTTATTTGTGCTATTCCGATACCGCTTATTGCACTGTAATGGCTCCCTATCGAAGGGATGGTTGCGAAAATCATAACCAGTAACCGTATCATGATTTGTGCGTCACAGGAGTTTTTTCGTTTCGGTTCACATGTTTTTATACTGCTGATGAAGTGCCCCAACTTCCTGTATCACGAATTTCCCAAGAATCTTTGTCTACATTGATCTAAAGACTTGATTCAGCTTTTCTTTTTGATTGATCTCAAATTAATTCAAAATAAGACTCATCTGCAAACATTAACAACTTCCTGGTCTCACGACACTCATTTGGCAATACATTATTTCAATCGTAAACAGAGCGCGTTGTATTTTACACTCTAACGATCTTTTGTCCAGCTTATCAATCTAGACGTCTATTGCGATGCTTTCTCGCAATCAGGTCCACCTCAGCCACATGTAACTCGTGAATTTCAGTCTTATTCTTTCCATATTCCTGATATCTAACAAAATATGTGTGCCAGGTATACTTGCCGGGCCGTCTCTTAGTGGTAGTTTTTTGTTCACGTCCATCGTGGGGGACGAGATCAGGGCCAGCAATCACAATTGCATCAAGTTTGTCATCTACGTCATCATCCTTTCCCCTGTTCCATATGACATGGGACGAGCGGCAAAACTTGGCGTCTGGACAACGTTCCCTCTTGTAAATTAGGTATGGATTCTAAATTCATATTAGTTGAATTACCAGTTAGAAGGGCAGAGGTTTTATTACTGCTGCATTTCGCTTATTGTAAGCACGCAATTCTTCCGCGGGCGGCGTCGTTTGCCTTCCCACCGCTGACATTTCGACCTTTTCGTCGATGATTCTGTTCTTCTCGGTGGCTGTTTTCTCGGAGGGAGCGCGAAAAGGACTGATGATGATATTTTGAGATTTGGATGGTCTTGGAAAAGGTGTACGGAATTTTGCTAGATGCGAGCAGATTTCTTCACACTTTTGGAAATACAAGTAAGGTGCACTCAGAGAAATATATGTCTGTGGATCTCGCTTTATTGTTTTCTGCCTAGCAATCAGATGACACCTTCGTGGCATGAGACGATAGTAGGACTCCGGAGAAGAATCTCGCATTCATGATCTAGCTTACAAAGGTGTTTGAAGTTTGTAAAAGTGCAAATGTATCAGGTCTCATGAGGACCTTTGAAGGTGAAGTTGATTGTCTTACAATCACCAGGCGCAAGTACATGATGAAAGAAGCTTCATGGAAGCTCAGCCTATCAATGTTTCACTGGCTTTCATATTCGGTTACCTGCAGTTTACCTACTTAATTCCATACCCTTAACTCTGCATTTGCGAAACATGTTCGTTGTTTTGCAGATCGAGAGGCTAAACTTAGAACCTAAAGTTATCATCGAAAATAACCTTAAGGCTGCAATTCTTTGATCGCGCTATAAGAGTTTAGAGGCTTGTTGTTTCAACAGCATCACAATGCACGACGAAAAGGTTTGTGAAATGTTTTCCTCATCATTCTCTTCCGGCAGATTTTTTGTTTGTCTCTGCTCTCAAACACTATCTAGCAATATTTGTCTAGAAAGTAAGCTTTGTCCTTGTTTTCCTACAAGCAAATTTATTGGTAAGGAGTCAACTTCTAGAAGGTCAAACTCCTTTATTCCATAAGTGAGAAACTAGATGTTTGTCTGAATACCTAATAACACACTCTACAGAGTCCTCTCCAAGATTTTCCACCGTTCTGTGTTCATTGCTTTAGGGAAAACAAATAAAATCTACCCAGTCTTGCATTTACCACACCAGAAACAAAACCTTTATCACAATGACAAATTCATCAAACGGTTCAGGCAGCTCAGCACAAAATCCTTGTACTGATAAATATCTTCCAGCGCATTCATCGCCGTATAGTCCATTCGCAGGGAAGACTTTTGAAACTCGGAATATCGTATTCTGGATAGATCCCACAACGCTATCTTCAAGCCAAACACGGACACAATCGGTGCCTGATCAGCAACGTGCGGATACTCTGCTTCCAGTTTCAATTTTTGCTAATCCAGTGAAGTAGTATGAAAAACATGTAATCCTTGCATTTACTCCTACATGTTTCTATCATCCCGGAGGATCGCCTAGACGGTGGAGGACTGATATAGTATCATGCTTTCTAATGGCGTTACAAATAAAATCAATGGGAAGGAATTCAGCAGGCGGCCAGTGTTCTAAGAATTGTGGAAAGATTCTAGTTGGGATCGCGTAGTATCTATTTGGATTGGTCGATAACTTTAGGAATAATAAAAAATCGCTCTGATTCTGCTATGTTGAATTTCGGAAACTCGAGCTATTGTGTTCCTTCTACTGCCATATGATCTCTCAATTGCTTCTCCATCAAACGAGTTGATTTGTCCATACCTCAGTATGCATACCCTGAGATTCCCACATTCATGAACTAAAACTCCATTCCGCGACCAGCATTCCCTGCGAATTTCGAATCCCCTCGCTACCAATGTCTCTACAACCTTATTCATAAGATTCCATTCTCTCCTCCCAAAATGCTATAGAACAGTTGAGCAACAATGAAGTATATTCTGTGAGCTTCGCCGTCTAAAAGAAACAAGCCTTGCAAATCAAGGATAATATTAGCCCCTCAAGTTTTGTGACTGTTAGCTCTGGACAGTAAATTGTGCCCATTACTAACTCATGACATGCCTTTATATGACCGGAAATAGTGCTCGTTCGAAAACAAAATAGTTGTGATGATTGACAGTTCAGAAAGTTAGGATGGACATATAATCCAACGATTAGAAGTTTGGCCTGTACATTAGGGATGATAATGCTGGTTTAAAAAATATGTCTGATGGTGAGTAAAAAGCCAGCCTTCAAACTCTAGACAGATTCATGTTGTATGAGCAAAGAGATTCACCCATATCAAGAGAAAATGAGCAGAGTTAAACGTGCAGTCATAATTAATTCACTAGAAATCTCTTGGGAGTACTTTTCAAGCGCGCAAAATATAGTAGGAAAAAGACTGTAGGTCTTTCCAGACTAAACCAAACAATTTGTCAAAATGTCGTGCTGGCGACCCCGAATCTCCTTGACGGGGCGATCCCGCTATAAATTAGGAAGCCGTTGTTCAGTTGTCCGTTTATCTCCTCTTCAACCGCGCCCCAAAACTTAATTTCAAAAACCCCCAACTAACATATACTAGGTTCCACATCCCGCAGATATATTCGAAGAAGGTACGATGCTCTATTGGACCGGACACAGAGGAACAACTCCGGCACGACCATCTTCATCCCCGTCAAACAACAGAATCAATGACCGAATTTGCGTCACTGTAGTCAAAAAGCACGAACGCGAGACTGTTATCGCTGCACCTCCTCGCGGATCGGATTCGGAAATAAGGGGGGCACCCAGTAGGACTATATCACCTGAAGAGGTGAGCGTGTTTTATAATATACGACTTGAAATCGATGGAACAGAGATTAAAAGGGTCAATGGGAAGGAGTTGAGACGGCCGCATATACGTGATAATTGGTTGGCCAGAAGTGCGGTCAGGAAGGGCTATAGCGGTTAAATTTAAACTGGCGTTGATATATGAGTAGTATGTATTGAACATGTTGATTGGTTTTGGAAGGAGTAGAACCTTTTACAAATTCCCATATTCTTGCAATTTGAGCCGTTAAACTTCTCATTATGACTGACTTGTTTGTCAAAGTAGTTCATTTGTACCTATCTTCAGTAAATTGCCCTAGATTTCTATGGAAGTAATTGAACAGAGAAGGTATCCAATAGTCTAGCCGACACGATTTAAGTTTTCAATGTCCAAAATGATTCGATGTCCGGAATAATTTTAATGCCCCAATTAGATTCATGGGCAAAAGCTTCTCAGTGTCGGAAATACAGTTGCTCTAGCACTTTTTTGTTTTACCCGCTTCCTCTGCATTTGAAATCTGCCACCAATTCTCTCTAATCGCCGCACACAAAACCCAGCTTAAGCAACCGATTTCAAACTTCTTCTTTGTCAAACAGCACCCAACGACGGCATCAACGCACAATCAGAGAGAGCTCAGCAGCCTTTACATCCACAAACAGTTAACCTTGCACAGCTTGACAGAAACCATTCAGTTCACATCCTCTTCTCGTGATTGTGATATTAGAGTGTCACATAGTTATCCCCGCCTCTGAATTATCTATAGCTTATAGCGAACGTGGGAGTTGAAGCTAAAAGTGAAGTGTATGTATGATATCAGGCTTCTTGTGGCAGTTAATATACGACGGGAAAGAATGATGGAAATGGCAACGGAGAAGGTATACTCGTAGAGTTGTATACCGATGAGTATGGGGTGAATGTCGAATTATTTTGCTAATATCGAGGTAAGGGGATTCTGAAGTAGAAAATGACTTCTAAATTTGCGTGTTGTGTAGTGAATATATTAATTAGAATCGGAGCTGGGTCTTGATAAAATTCCAGCATGTGTTTAAATTGTTGAATTCACCTGTCTTCAAAAACTTCTCCGTCAACATCTCTATTAATGATAATACTAAATGCTGGGGAATTTTGCGTTAATGAATTTAGATTCTCCAGTATATACATCAGGACCTTAAGAATACTATTCCGTGATGAGAACAACACCGGATTACTTTCGGTTCTTGCTATCCATCAGGTCTTCGCCGTACATCAAGCAGCTTGTTTGTATACCTACCTAGGTATATTGTGATTAACACATTAAGATAACCCAGATATTGTGTCTAATTTCCCCACAAGCCACCCTGACTAAATAATGAGTCTTCTGAGTATATGTGGTGAATCAATCAAGAAATTGTGCTGTGTGCTAATGAAAAGAAATTTGATTCACAACAAATATTCGATGTGGCATGTATATAAATACACTTGCCTGCTCAATTTCCGTAAACGCAAACACTTCTTCTAGGTATTGAATGAAAAGAAAAGCTAGTATATATATGAAGGTCAGCGGACACCAGTATAGCTTTATCTGTGGTTCTTTACCCATCTCGAGACACTTCCGAACCAAATTCAAAGTCTCCCAATACTCCAAAAACCCCCCTCAACCCTAAATTCACCGTCCATATCAGAACCAGAGTCTCTCATCAAAATGCCGAATTTCAACCAAAAACCCCTAATGGGAAATATCTGTTCCAAAGAATCAGATAACACATCTGTTCTCCCATCCGTCCGTCTAGCCCCTATTCTTCTTATCCACATCTAGACCATCAACTAACTACCCTCAGGATCGTACCAAAGTGACATTCAAGAAAGGCGGCAAGGTTTACTGGACGGGACACGGAGAGATATTAACAATTCCTCTTACATCCAATAGCCCAAATGCACCAGAAGCCAGCAGCACCAATAATAAAAACCGGAACACTTCATCAGAAATCCACGGCGTGCCGAGTGCTACTTTTGCGGATGGAAATGCCGATTTAATTACCGTTAAGGTGAATTCGGGACGCATGAGGGAGACTATTGGACCTGAGAATGGGAAGGGTAATTTTGATATTCGGTTTTGTTATATTATACAATTGGAGAATGGGGAAATGAGGAAGGTAGAGGAGGGGCAGTTGAGAAAAAGATGAAAAGGTGATGAGCTGATGGATTAGCTGGTGGGAATAATGAATAAGATCAGGAGACAACGAAGTGTAATGGATTGTTGATTAGGGTAGAAGTAGTAGACGTTGTTCGTTTCACTAGATATAATTCTGATAAGGATGATATCATCATCCTAGCGGCATCGGAGAAGGAATAGATAACTTCGCGAAAGAATCTTAGGTCAATTTACTCATTCACTGCATTATCATGAGTGGTGGTAATTTCCAAGGAAAACTCAAAGAAAGCGTTTGATGTTTCCAGTGAGTCAATAGGTAATCTGAAAACACAGGGGTTTGGCAGGATTGAAGATATATGACTGGTGATGACGGAGTAGACACAAAGAGCAAACTCCTATAGCAATCGAGCCTAGATGGGAAAACATAGATCTATCTTTCATGGATTCATCATTCATCATCCATGAATGCAATATTGAAAATAGTGAAAAGAGTGAAAAGAGCGAAAAGAGTGAAAAGACAACATCAATTCAGAATGATACAACTATCGTACATATGCCATAATCAAATAATTAAAGTCTCCCTGTCAATCGCCATCTAGCATATCGCTTCATGCGCCAACGTTTAATTCTCAGAAACCTCACATTGGCTCGGTGGCGAATATATTTTGCCGCATCTGGATCAGGGAACATTTTTGTTCCTGGCAGACAATCATTGATTTCAGCCAGCATCTCCTCCAAGCTCAGGGGATTCAAAGTTCGAGCACGTCGATTCGCTTTAACATTGGATCTTCCCGGCCCATATAGAATTATCAAGCGATCAACAACTGCTCTCTTAATTGCATCTGGTTCAATCTCTACACCAACATGGTGAAGTTCTCGCAGAAATAAAATGCCATTCGTGATGTTGTATGTAGTTTTTTTGTTGATACTTGCAAGACCTGGAACATTTGGCGATGGACTGACTAATGCTCGTTGAAAGCCCCATTCCACAATGGCCCTCTGTAAACTGGATGGGAAGAGACGCTTAAGAGGATGTTGTTGGTGCAATGGGGATACCAAGTCATCTGAAACCTGTGTGCGATCTCGGATCCGCAGATAATTAATACCTGGTAGAAGATTATGATTTCTTGAGCCGTACCAGGAAGCTAAAAACATACACAAATTGTGTAAATCTTTTTCGCGTCCAAGCATTCCTAGTCGTCTAATGATTTCAATCCAATGGTGCACTGGAACTGAAGAACCGGATATCATGATACCAGTTAGAATTTTGGTCGCCATAGTTACATCATCAATTTTGTTGTGCCTACGATCTGCCACCGGTCGCCGACCGCGCCGACGTGGCCGCAATAGTTGCCGCAGAATACACGATATGGAACCTGGCTTCGCTGGTACACGATTCATCCGCATTTCGGTTAAAGTCTTCAGCACAGCATTCCATTGGTGTCTGATTACGCATATCCTAAGATGTATGTTGTAAACATCAAAATCAGGAGTTCTGCTTCCGACTAATCGTATGGCCATGGTTCGCTGAAATTCCTTTAGTTGTCCCCTGGCTGCATAAGAAGCCAAGAGCTTCTCCTGAAGTATCCAATCGTCAAGTGCTGCAGGATGCTGGTCACTATTCAACAAGGCGTTCAGCAATTCGTGATTTTCCTCTCTGGCAAAAGTTTCCACTGCCTTGACAAACTTCGATTGACCGGGAGATATACCAAGTTCTGCGAGCTGGTGAAGCCTCTTGATAATGGCTTTGCTGTTCGAATCCCGCAGAGCAATAGACTGGAACGACAAAGGTCCAATTTCCCTGACTCCAAGCGCGTGAATGGACTGTATGGATACATCCAATGGCACCCATGTTGTAGCAAGCCATCGAGCTCCTAATTCATCATCATATTTCTTGGGCTTTATGTGGAAGACCTCACCATGGATGAGGTTCATCATCTCTCTGGATATACTTCGAGTGACTTTAAGCTCATGCTCCAGAGCAGGGGGTAATGATAATCCTACATGTACCAGACTGCGAGCGACCCTGAGAGCTAGTGGGCTTTTAAATCTTGTCAAATGTCGAATCAAATCTTCGGCAGGTCTAGCAGATTTTGGAAAGTCTGTTTTCTGAAAGAGCGAGAAATGCCATTTGTATGCAGATGCGTATTCTCTCTGATGATAAAATGGTACCATAATGCTGGAGTACGAGACATGAAATTTACTTGCTTCATAAATTTTTCGGAGAGCTTCAATATCCCCTTTAAGTGTAATCACTTTGAAACATAACTTCTCAAAAGCTTTAGCATGCGGCGGATGCCCCACAATTAGTTTTCGATGCCATTGAAATGCTTCGGCACCTCTATCATTCATTAGAAGATGATACATGAGTCTCATGTAAAGTCCATTCCAGCGTTGGCCAGTTTGTTGAAGTAGGTCATCTGCATATTGAATGATGCTTTCAAGCACAGCTTCATCATATAGACCTAAATCGACAAATGCTCCCCACATCGTCCAAGATGCCATGCCTTCAACCGGTAATTGAATGTTCCTGGTACGTATCGCTTCCCAGATAATCCTCACCCCCTCGATACCATAAATTCGTCGCCTGTGCACTAAAAGTACCGCCCACAATTCCATGTCGTTCTCATAAACTGGATTATCTACTAATCGTACTCCGTCCTCGTGAGGCGTTTTGGAAACCCTTGATTCATATTCGAGTTCGTGAGGTGTAAAGTAATCTTTCCATCTTTTGTATTCCTTGGTAGTCATCGATTCCGTATCGGCGTGAGGCACAATTGCGCGGGAGCCATTCGAGACTCTCTTTGACATGACATGGCGGATAGGTGGTTTCACGGAATCTGAGCTATCAAACTGTGTGCCATGTTGAAGTGCAGCTTCAAACCCAATGCCCAGACTTGCGTAGTTTCGATTGCATTTTCTACCAACACTATCATATCGAATTTCTGTGGGCAGCGGGGTATGCGTCGCGCGTACTAGATATCGAAGGAGATTCAATGATGAATATCTAGAAATGAGTCGTTTTAATGCAGGGCGCATTATGATGCACCGTCCCTCAAGATTTCGGTCAAAGACTTATGCAGATCCATCACTGCCACTAAAAGTATCGCATGCTTCGTAAAAGTTTGGTTGGAAACTGTCATTATCCAAAATATTCTGGCTCCGTGGAAAGTTGAGATGAGCTTAGTCAGCAACACTAGCGTGAGTTTCAATCCGAGCTTCCTACGAATTCAACATCGAACCATTTCCTCGAATACCATCCAAACCGTAACGTTTCGAATACAGACACAATGGCTGGGTAAGTCATAATCCCAAGCTGTTACACAGAACTATGACTTTTGGGGGAAAGGCTGCGGAGAACATATTTTGCCCTACTCCAGCCGCGGTCGAAGACCTCAAGAATAACCATTTACTGACTACAACCAAAATTTAGCTACAAGCTCCGCGAGAACCGCGTCCCTTACTACCAGGCGCTCTTCCAAGAAGGTGCTAAGAAACACATTCGTCAATGGAACCAAGTACGTGCATTGCCTCTCTGTTCTGCGGCATTGGGAGGGGTGGGGGTTGAAAATACCCACGGCTATCTCGACTAGAGTACAAATCTAACAAGTTCTGCAGACTTCTAGAAGCAGGGTCCTGCTCTACCCATACTATGTCGCCCTTTGGGGAGGTTTTGCTGGTATGTGTGACATTGAGGAAGAGGCGCAAACGTTTTGACTGATAATGGCATAATAGGATCCATGTACATGATGACGCGAATGGTTTTTGGACACAAGACTTGGTTCGGCAAGGGATAGAGGTTGCGAATGAGACGATGGGATTTGTGAATGTTTGGGGAATCGAGAGGACGAGGCATACATTGAAGCCTAAGAATAGTTCAAATTCATTATACCTCGAATACTTTACGGACATTTACCATGAAATGCCACAAGCCACTGTTCCTGATGAGATATGAACTTTCTCAGGCCCATGTCAAGGATGACACCATCAAAAGAAGGGACTCTAGCAATCTTGTGGAATTCCGCTTTTCTGTTCTTCATTTGATCGTCTAATTTACGGAAGATTGGCCCTCCTACACAGTAATAAAGTGCCCCAACACAAGCGTGTGTGAGACTTTCAAGTCTCAATTCGACTACACTTACTTTGAATGCATACTTAACTCCATCGAAACAGCACTTCCTTATGATCACACTTATTATCAAATCCCTCTCGGATGAATGGGAGATGGGAGGTGAATGGCCGACTATACAGTATACTTCCCAGCAACTAAAGTTATTCCTCCAAAACACTCACAAACGTATTGTTTATATTCATTCATTCAATGAAATAAATCATAATAATTCAATCACCAGTCAGTTCAGTCCCACCCACACTACTATTACTACCTATTACAATAACACAAAAGTACCTATATAAGACTTACATAAACCTCATGTTCGCAAACTAGAAGGCTTCATCCAAGCGCGCTACACTTTCTCTTCCGTAGCCATACAATCATACATACTCGAGTACACCATAAAGATATTTCCTACTTACCATTACCATCTCAACATCACTCCAGTCTTGAAAATGGATACCCCCACGATTCCAGCCTCTACACAATCAAACCCACGTTCCCGAGGTCGTGAATATACCATTGATCTTCCAATCTTTCAATCTATCGCCTACGTCCCCGCCACGCATGAATCAATAATACCTCTCATACTCAAGCCCGTAAAGTTAATAAAAAGATCGTGCTGTCTACGCCATCAGGTATGGTATGATCCAAACTCACTTGTGGCAGATATTACTCAACATTTTCTTTTTCTTTTGTATATGGTTTTGATTTGATTTGATTTAATTTAATTTAACTTATCCATTCTCCGCTACAACTACAAATAAGTGCCCATCCATATCCGCACGCCATGGTATATATCGACAATCTTGCTTTTTTCGTTTTAAAATCTCCCAGTTATCATCTCGCCCGGCTCCCATTGTACCAGTACATATCCTACAACCAAAATCTCAACTAGCGTCAGCTCTAGCTCACGCAATCCGTCCATTAACTAAAAATTTTTACTTCTCACTGATGGCGCCCCTCCTTAAATATCTCACAACGTCGTCCCTCGATCCCTTTCTTAAGCAGCACCAGTATCCTGTCTCAACATCTCAGCAACATCCGCATCCAAACCCTCCATAGCATCACCACCCATTTCTGGAAAATCATCATTCAATTTCCTCTTCTTCAAGCTACCTAGTGAATTGCTGCGTCCATAACTAGTGGAAACACTACTTAGCAAATCCAAACCAGAAGTTGGTGACATGGACTGAGATGCATAAATTGAACCATTGGCAAGGCCGGCCGAGGAGTTTAGGTCAAAGTCTGGAAGTGGCTCTTGCTGGATAGATTCTTCTTTCATGGGCCGCAATGGAGGTGATAATGGTTCGACTTCGGGGCGATCAGGTTCAGATTTAGGAGTAGCCATTTGGTTTCCTGGACTGCCATCTGCGGGTGTGCTTTCACTGCTGTTTGCAAATCCTCGCATGATACTATCTTCCACCTCCCTCTTCTTAGTGTCAATCTCGGTACGTCGCGTAGAGAGGAGGTTGAGTTGGGCCTTTTCTTCTGCTAAGGCATTACGGTTTGTCTCTAGCAATTTTTCCAATCCTTCAATCAACAAATTACGCGATTTGATAACTTCAGCTACAGCTCCCTCGGCGTTTGCTAAAGTCTTAAGAAGGCCATTGAGTCGAGCAGCATGGACTGGTGCAGAAGGTGTTGGTGTGTTTGGATCCGTGAGCTTATCATAATCAATGTTCGCCGCGTTTGTAGCAGTCTTCGTAGAAAGTACTAATTTGGATATGGTTTGCTGAGGTGCAACAAGAGGTTGAAGTTCGCTTGGCGCCGATGATGAATTGTTGGAGAAAAGAGATCCGCCCAATCCTTTCCTATTTGAAGATCTGGATTTCTCGAGTTCTGCAACCATCAGTATAAGCTATTTTGTATCTGCAGATAGACCTACCCTCAATTCTAGCCTCAACCGCATCTTGTATAGGAATCTCGAAAATCTGCCTCTGTCTCCAAACTTCCACGACTCTTTTCAATTTGTTCTGAACATCACTCGTAGCTCCTTTGTAGGCAGTTGCTGTAGCTTCTGCGATTACAGGAGAAAATGCAATGAGGAAATCATCCTTGCGCCTAGCTTTCGATTGTTGTGCAACTTCTGCAAAAGACGTAATTATTAGCTGCTATCTGAATAAATGGATTATAGTTTTACACGCTCTGAACTCTAAAGGTAGATTGAGGTCAAACGAAAAAAAAACTTACCATTTGCTAGATAGACCAAATTCAATCTCTTATTACTTCCAGAATCCTTCAGCTTTTGAAGCCAAAGTTGTCCAGTGCGGTCGGCATATCTCCTAAACGATGAATTAACACATTAAAACTCCAATAAAACAAAGATAATTTGCCTACCTATGAAACATAATCCATTGAGCGACAGTGACCTAGAAATAAAATTAGTCCAGCATTCAATACCTCTGATACTAGAATGATACTCACAATACTTTCCTGCGTCTCGTTCAACGCCGAAAGTTTTGCAAGAACAGCATCATCGTTATATGCCATGTTTCCCGGCTGAAATGCTTGATGGAAGAAAAATAGGGCAGTAATCAATAAAGTTGTTTGTATTTTATGTGTTTGCTCAGCCGGCGTTTGTTTCGATTGAATTTACAAGTGGAAGAATGGTTTTGTTTCTACACCAGAAAATGAGATATCACTTGGCAAATTCCGAAAATCAATCAATAAAAAGATGATATTTCCCAGAGATATTCTCCCGATATTGAAAATCTTCTTGGCCTACTGGATTCGATGTATATTGGAAAAAATCAGTTGAATTGTGATTTCTTTTATATTGTTTGTATCTGGAGTTCCGTCTCAAGCTCCCCAAATAACCCTTAGCGTCGGTTAGTTCCGTATTTGCCCCTGCTCATCCAGGCGCATGTGTATTGACATTCGGTATCATCGTAACAGGAACAGACAGCTTGCGATTTCGAATCAAGAGTTACACAGAATAAATACTCTAGATTTCAATATGGCTGACAGATTTCCTTCCCTCGAGGACTTTGACTCTGGTGGTAAGTTTAAATTTTGGAAATTTAATTTCACCTCAATCTATATGGTTTATTAACAACATGGTTTATAGCTCAAACAACACAAGGCGACTCTACTTTCGAAGGAGGCGCTGATGATTTCTTGAGTCGTGAGAAGGCTCTTTTGGGCGACGATGCGGATCAGTTTACTACTGGCAATGACAATGCTGCATATGTAGAAGATGGTGATGATGATTTATTGGGTGGTGGTGGAGGAGAGGAGGTTCATGAATTTGAGAGTTCCTTCCCTTCCATTGATACTCGCAACGAGGTACGATTATGACTTGATTACACATCCTACATTTCCTGAATACTTATATATATAAAATCAGAATGTTTCAGCAACCGGACAAATCACCAGCACATACACCAATTACCAGCCCCAAGTTACCGACGAAGAAGAGCCAGAAGTGATCAAGCAATGGCGCGAACGTCGCGACCTCCAACTTCAAGCCCGCGAAGAGAGATCAGAGGAAAAAAAGCAGGAAACTATTAAGACTGCCCAACAAAACATTGACGATTTCTATGAGAACTACAATACCAAGAAAGAGAAGACTATTGCGCAAACCCGCCGCGAAGCCGAGGAGTTTTTGGCAAGCAGGGAAGATACATCGTCTGGTGGAACCAGTTGGGAACGTATTGCAAAATTAGTTGATTTGAGTGGAAAGGGTGCTAGAGGTGGTGCAAATGGGACGGGCAAGGAGAAGTTCCGAGAGCTTTTGTTGAGTTTGAAGAAAGACGAGAAAGCACCCGGCGCTACTGGTTATTAAAGGGCGTTGGTCGGATGGGGTTGGGTGGTCACTTTATGGACTTGTAAGATCGTGCAAGATGGTTGTTTATTTCGTTCAAGACTTGCCTGATTGGAGGTTACGGGCAATGGGGCGTTAAAAATGAGTGATACAAACGCGCATAACTATTAAAGATTTGTTTATAATGACATTATTCTGACGATGGAATTTGAAATGTGATTGCTATTTACTCATTGGAAGATGGGTTCAACCATTACTGATCTCAGCCACCCTGTTCAATCGCACGGCCTGTTTACTTTTCATATCGTTCATTACCTGAACCCCTTTATCATCTCTACCATTATCCACGGACACTTATTCTGGATCACCATAATTCTCAGCTAATGCTCTTTGTCTTTCCTCTTCCTCAAATTCCTTCAATGCAGCTTGTCCCTCTTCAGTCGTGGCATCAATGATTTGTTCCTCAAGTTGCAACATGCCGCCCTAGATATGTGTTAGCAAGGTCATATGCACACTGATATCACGATTTTAACCTACCTCACTGAGCTGACCTACAACCTCTTCAGCTTGTTCGACACTCATTTTACCCAATACCTTATTAACCTCATCCAAACTACCACTTTCCAGAGCTCGTTGCAGTCCAGGTGGGAATGCATTGAATAATTCTCTCGATTTGATTACTTCTGGATCATCACTCGTTGCTGGTGGAATTGTAATGTTGATAGTGGTACCGGGATCAACAGCATGAAGTTGAATTTGCTCAACTCCCCCGCCTTCATTCCCCTCTTCAGCTGCTCTTTGCTTCTGAATCTCCCTAGCTCTGGTGCGTACTCTGTCAAATGTAGAATTGACATCATCAAAGAAGACCTTTTGAGCTTGGTGGCCCTTGGTGGTGATGCGCTTGAAGAATAAGCCAACACCATCCTTTCCCAGCGCCCTGCAGTATTGAAGTAATAGAGCTTGGTGGACACATTGCCTAGCAAAATCATCTTTGTTTGCAATTGCAGAGTTAAATGCCATAACCAGTAAACCGTCGGTCTCTCTCTCTGCTAATACCGAAGGATTTGAGGAGATGTATTGGAGACATGTACGATAATCACCCATCTTAATTTGTGCAAACTTCTTTCCAAGCTCGGTAGCTTCTACCTCTTCATCGTCTTCTTCTTCATCTTCATCAACATCTGCATCAGCTCCCGAGGATTGTTCACCAGGCTTCGAGCCATCTTTATTGGCAAGGGCATGAGGGTTTAGAACTTCAACGGCATGGACTTTCTCCTTAGCTGGAGCCTTTTTCGATTCTGTGGCCTTTGGTTTTGGGTCCGCTTTTGATACGAAAGAGCTATCGAATCCAGTATGTATACTCTCACTGGTTATCTTCTTGCTCTCCTCTTTCTCCAAAGTTTCTAGTTCTACCGCAAGTTGTTTTTGAAGATCCTCGACCTTTGCTTGATGTACTTTGATTTCGGCAAGATATGCCTCGAAACGATTCTCTGGCTTGTCCTCGTCTACCTTTGTTTTCACTTGATCTATGAGCGCCGCCATCATCTTAGAGTATGTTGGAGGTGCCTCCTTCACGTGGGTATGTACCCCTTCTGGGGGTGGTGGAGGAGAATCATCTTCACCAGTTGATTCCATCAACGCTTGAAATGCAAGATCATCTGGACGTTTATCGGTTTGGGGACTGTAGGATTGTAGGGCGACCAGTAAAGCATTTATTCTCTTGAGAAGTCCATCATTCACGATTCGCTCGTATTTGAAGGTGTCTATTTTATTCTTCCTCTCGAATCTCTGTTGATGGATTTGATTTTGTTTTGCTCGAATGAAAGAGCGCTTATCAACATTTGGGTGAACTTCGATGTCCGAGTCGTCGCTCAACTCGAGCGCATCCTAATATTTTGTCAGCCTTGAACTTTCAGCCTTTCGAAGTGGGGGAGGAGACGACGATGAGGGGTATGTATTCCAATATTGAGGATGGAATGAACTTACCCATTTGCTATAATTTATTGGCATGTTGATGATAATTTAGAAAGTACTCGTAGATGTGCTGTTGAATCTTGTTAGAGCTGCTTTCAGAGATATTATTGTCTTAAAGAGAAGTCGGGTAACTTTTTATTGTAGAGCCTTATTATTTATTACTAGGTAGTCGTTCTTAACCTTATTACCTTTCAATCGAATGTTCTACAACAATTAGCTGGTGGCCCATTCACCCATTCACTCATCCACCCATCAATCATCCTTTGCGCTCATACATTCCTTCCTGCCCGAGCCAGCCTGGTGGCCCCACGTTTAGCCTTCATAAGCCACGAATGAAAGTTATGATTGGTAAGTGAATAACATGATGGAAGGAACCGATGACGGAAACTAAATAAGTCTACTAAATCGACTAAATCAACTAAATCTACTAAATCTACTAATAAATCTAAATAATAATTAATCTTCCAAGAAATAAATATTGTTCCCGTCTCCACGAGAATTTTGAGACTCTTTCTTCAATTACTTTCAAGTCGTTCCAATGCATTCATAACTTTTTAGATTCTCACGCAATAATGACAGTTCGGCGATTATATCTTTCACAGCTTCATCGGTGAAATCAGCGGATGTAGCATACAATCCGAGCGTCAAAACTTTACAATGCGGCGCACCTTGACTTTAGGCAATGCTTGGGGAGGGGCCTCGGTTTACGATATAGCTATAAAGCAATTTTCGAAAAACATTCCAGCTCCAGCAGCTTCTAGATGGACCCCTTCCGGTCCTTCCCAGGTTGCGAAAAGATATTCATCCAACCTCAACAACTGCCCATCACCATTGAACCCTGCGTCTAAGCCGGCGACCCCACAACTTTCTACCAGTCGTCTCTACCAGCAAACAAGAATTGGCTTGTCAGCAGCATGGCGGCCGGCAATATCACAATTGCGCCCATTCAACAGTTCATCTCCATTGCAAACTACTCCGAAGGGCTCAGATAGACAGGATCACATCGAACGAGAACGACAAAGGCGCGAAGAGGAAGAAGAGGATAATATCGATGAACAAGGGGATTTTGCACGAAGTGAGAAAGCTTCTAAAGCGACGCAGGTCAACCTGAGCGCAAGATTACAGAGTAGTGGAAAGAAACAAGGAAATACAGCTGCTTTTGGTGAAATATGGAGGTTACTCAAAATCGCTCGACCCGAGGCAAGATGGCTCGGTTTAGCATTTATGTTCTTATTGATATCCTCATCAATCACCATGTCAATACCATTCTCGATCGGAAAAATTCTTGATTTAGCCACTAAGGATCCTTCGGAAGGCGAAAAACTTTTTGGACTGGATATTTCTCAATTTTTTATTGCTCTCGCTTGCGTTCTAACTATGGGAGCCGCGGCTAACTATGGACGTATCATTATATTGAGAATAGTCGGAGAACGAATTGTAGCCAGACTTCGATCACAATTATATAGGCGAACTTATGTACAGAATGCGGAATTCTTCGATGCCAATCGAGTTGGAGATCTCATTTCTCGATTGAGCTCGGATACGGTTATTGTTGGAAAGAGTATCACCCAGAATCTCTCGGATGGTTTACGAGCCATGGTCAGTGGAGGTGCTGGATTTACAGCTATGGCATGGGTGAGCTTAAAGCTTACAAGCATTCTCTGTCTCATGTTCCCACCTGTCGCAATTGGTGCATTCTTTTATGGAAGAGCAATCAGAAATCTTAGTCGGAAAATCCAAAGGAATCTGGGAACACTAACTAAAATCGCCGAAGAGAGACTCGGAAATGTTCGCACCAGTCAAGCCTTCGCTAGTGAGACACAAGAGGTTGGCAGATACAATCAACAAATCAAGAAGATATTCTCATTAGGCAAAAGGGAAGCATTGATCAGTGCAACCTTTTTCAGTTCGAGTGGGTTTTTCGGTAACATGACCATCTTGGCATTATTATACACTGGTGGTTCTATGGTTAAGAACGGCATGATAAGTATCGGTGAACTAACATCCTTCTTGATGTATACGGCCTATGCTGGGTCAAGTTTGTTTGGTGTTTCCAGCTTTTATTCGGAACTTATGAAAGGTGTTGGTGCTGCCAGTCGTCTTTTTGAGCTTCAAGATCGAAAGCCCACAATTCCTGCAACTGTTGGTACCAAGGTTAAATCTGCACAAGGTATCATCAAATTTGACAACGTCTCCTTTGCCTACCCAACACGACCAGCAGTCGCGATCTTTGACGGGCTCAGCTTCGAAATTCCTTCAGGTACTAATGTGGCAATTGTCGGGCCCAGTGGTGGAGGTAAATCTACCATTGGTTCACTCCTACTACGATTTTATAACCCCACAGAGGGAAAGATCACAATTAATGGTCAAGACATAACAAAGATGAACGCAAAGTCTCTCCGACGTCGAATTGGAATGGTCGGTCAAGAGCCTGTCCTCATGTCTGGTTCTGTTGCCGAGAACATCGCCTATGGAAAGCCTCATGCCTCAAGATCCGAAATTATCGCAGCTGCACGAAAAGCAAATTGTCAATTCATTAGTGATTTCCCTGAAGGCCTTGACACACAAGTCGGAGCACGTGGCGCACAATTATCGGGAGGACAAAAACAACGAATTGCAATTGCTAGAGCTTTACTCAAGAATCCAGATATCCTTATACTAGATGAAGCAACATCAGCATTGGATGCCGAATCCGAAACCTTAGTTAACTCTGCCCTGGCAGCCTTACTCAGGGGTCAAAATACAACCATTTCAATTGCTCATCGTCTATCAACGATCAAGCGCTCTGATCACGTTATCGTATTAGGAAATGATGGAAAGGTTGCTGAAACTGGAACTTACAATTCTTTATCCAGCAATCCCAATTCAGCCTTCTCTAAATTGATGGAATGGCAAATGAGTGGAGGTGATGCAGCTGATCACAGACCTGTTGAATTAGAAGGACATTTCACAGAATCTGAGGAAATCTCGGAGGAAATTTCTCGTCTGGATGATTCTGATGAGGTCGATGGTGAAGCTATTGAGGAAGGAACCAAAGAGCGAAAAGAAGACAAGACAAAGACAGAGGCTGTTTTGGAAAAGACAAACAACCAAATGAAGTAGATTTTAAGAGAGGTATAAGGGGGTGGAAATAAATGTATGGATATTACTCTCGGTTTCTGTTGTTTCTTCGAGGCGTTTATATTTATAGAGTACTTGTATTCGAATATGAATATATTGGGTAGGTTCTTTATAGGACCCATCCACCAGCACAAGCACAAGCACAAGCACAAGCACAAGCACAAGCACACAGCGGGGAGATAGGAGGAATAATTACTAGCGAAAGCTAGATAGATATTGGCTTGTTATAAGTATCACCCGAAAGGGAAAAACACAATTGTATTATACTCCACTCTTATGATAATAGATTGAATCGTACTCATAAGATTATGTTTTCTTTGTATGAATGAATGGATGGATAGATGAATAGATGAATACTCGTATTCTCTAATCTCTAATCCCTGAGTTCCGATTTCTCTCTTCTCATAACGCACTCGCTATATGCTATATGATATAATTAGGTAGGTAGATATTTTATTTTAAGTTCTACCAGTAAACCCATTCTTTATTAGATCCGAAATCCGAAATCCGAAATCCAAAATCAACTACATCATCATCATCATTATTATCAACTCTAGATCTCTAATTAAATAAATAAATAAATAAATAAATATCACAAATGAGGTTTTAATAATCTATTTCGATTTATTTACTATTGGTTTTATTTGATTGAGTGCTGTGGTATGTTGTGGTGATGTAGATATTGATTGTTCGGTATTGTGACCAAAAGGGTGTTTATAGACCAGCAATTGTATTTAACTTAGAATCTACAGGTGAAGAGCACCTGTAGATGGGGATAGCTACTCTATATATACACAAATGAATGGCCTAGCCGCAATGGCTAGGCAAAAAGAAGTCATATTTATTCCTCCAATGATCTTACTTTACCGATAACCATTGATACCGAGTACTTGTCCGGATCTGATCCTCAGGTCACCTAAATCGCATACTAATCTCGAGTAATCGTATCATGTGTGGACATGGTTAATGTACCTGAGGTTTCTTATATAATAAAGGTGGGAGGAAAGCAGGGATTTCCGTCACAACGGATTTGTGTTACGAGGTTTGCCGTCTAGATCACGTGGAAGTGCTCTAGGCTCTCGAAGTAGGTTTATAACTAGGCGTCAAGCAGGGACTTGAAGTAATGACAATAATGATATGCAATTCGTAACTAATAGTAGAGTATACTAAATGATTGATCTTGAGCACGAAGCTCTATACAAAGGAAATCCATCTTGATTATATAGACCTTCATGCCTATGGCTAGTCAGGACCGCGCAGCGGTCCTGGACAGCCAGCGTTCCTCAGCGGTCCATAACGTGACTTTAATCACGTTACCTTGGTTTAGTCATGTGACGCGGCATAGAAGATAGCCGTTGTAACAATTTGATGACGGATTTGATGACGGATTTGACGAAGGATTGAGTAGGTACTGCTTAGAGCAAGAGCAATTCAAGAACTTGGACTAATAGATATACTTGAATGAACTTAGCCAGTATCTTTTAGCTCCTGACCTCCTGAAGGTAGAAATGGCTGGCGCTTGAAATATACAAGCAGGATCAACAAATACACCGTGTTACACGTTGCGGTATTTGAAAGCGATACGTACTTTTTGGTGACCATTAAACTGAAGGGTATTTGAATCAATTGTGTAGTTTTATCACAGAATGAAGGAATGATGAAAATGGATGTGGTAATAGCCTCTTTTTTGTTTCTTGAGAGTTGCTATTGAAATTCAGGATCTTTTCTCCTGAGCATTATGACTCGCTAAGAATTTAAAATCAGTTATGATATTGCTGCACAATTAGATGTTCTATTAATTAAGCCAATCCTACCCTAACAATCTCCATAGCGTTACTGCTCCTATCTAGCTGATTGCACCATCTATATAATTTCTGATTTTTCCGGGCAGAAAACTTCTCAGGCAGCCTGGGCTCCCATTCAGCAATATATTGGAAATTCTCAGATGCATATAATGCTCGAGCATACTCCGAAGATTCAACCACAGTTTAAGAAGTGAAATTTAGCGGAGCAAATATTCACAGGAGAAGATGTTTCGAAAGACGAACCCTGAAGCATAACCCGTTGTGAGGTTTGTTCCTTATTTTCACCAGATGACCTACTTAGACAATCGAAATTTAGGATGAACAGCCAGCAATCTAAAACTTCATCATCAAATCGGCTACCTCTTCCTCTCAATAAAAATATACTGCTTCTTACAAATAGTATTTCGACAGCATTATTTGATAGCCTCTCGACATGAAACCAAATATTCTCAAGCTAAAAGCTGGGCGTATAAAATCTGTCTTCAATATTCTTCCAAACTCTTCTAATTTAAAAGCAACATCTCAGAGAAGAAGAGTTCCTCCAACCGTATAACCTCAAGCCTCACTTACCATTAAGCATGTTCAAGTTTCATAAACGCAAAACCTATTCATAAATCCTTCCGAATCTTACTCGCTCACCTGAAGTCATATGTAAAAGATACCAATATATACCACGTATTATCGATTCTCCGGGTCCATAACACTCTGAATGGGCATAGGCGGAGTACACTCACTTTAGATACATTAGGCTCACTCTTCCTATCTTTGTGCGTACTTAATTAGAGCTCAATCTAACTTGGATGCGATCTCTTTCTCAAATTGAGCGATGGTCTGTTCTATCCCTCTAGAATTTAGCAGCATACATATAGAAAAATCTTGAGCGTATGGTGGGTTGCACAAAATCGGGTCTCGTTGGTCGCTTTGACTGGAATTGATTTATCCTTGTGAAACTTCATCTCAATTAACTAACATCTAACAGGCTAACAGACAGCACCACATAAGTACATTTATATCTCGCTAATATTTTCAAAGTTATGTCGACCCTTCTGTCATATAGTTTGGAATACCAAATGAGAATTAAAGTGATAGCTGCCCTTCAGACGGACAGGTGAATGACGGCGCCGCGATGATGCTGGCACATGAAACTCTTCCAGCCTGGAACTCAAACTCTATTAATAGAAGTTACGTGTTTATTTGAAGTATTATCTAGCTATTTTTGAAAATTTTCCAATTTTACAACGAGCGCACACTTCATGACGGATATTTCTGTATATTTAAGGAAGTATATAGTTCTTCCGTAAGACCCAAAGCATGTGTATCCTATAGAAGAAACTATCTTTGTTTGTGATGTAGGAGACTTTAGGGGTCAAGCGCTTTGAGCAATACTATTCAACTCACCCTAATGTGGCGGTCCATCTGGATGCAAATTTGTCGTTTCAAGCTTTAGAGAGGATTTCTGGTGCGGGTTTATTGATGTGTTGATGGATGGCCTTGCCCTTGCACTCCTCCCCTGTTTTTTTTGCATTCGGAGAATTGGGAGTGCAAGAGTAGATACAGTCTTATTTTATGACTGCTGCTGGTAGCTAATGGTTGTGATGGATAGATGAAGGCTGAGGATCATATAAACTAATGACCTGTATTTTAATGATCCAGATATACATCTCAAAGTCATTTGAATGGAATGATCCAGGACTTGTACCATCTAGAAGATTTAAATGTTCACAACCATTCTAAAGTTGTTTGGAATAGTTAATATTTGAAGATCTTTTACCGTTGAACCGCAGTACGTAAAATTGAATACACTAGCTAAAATACATGACAGGACACCACCACACTGAAAGCAGCTTTTATCTAACTCCAGAGACAATCTTCCATCACTTCCACTTGGTAAGTACTACTTACTCCTAAATTAGCCATCCATGACTTCTCCCAGCCGCCATCTGTGCTAATATCGTGCCCGTTCCAGATCGCAGAAACTGTAGTACTTTCACTAATCGCCATCCATATGCCCCTGGTTAAACTACTCAAATGTGCTCAAGGAAAGCTTCCCGTACACTCGCATCCAGAGCTCACTTGAAGTAATGATTGCATCTGATCTTTGTGATTGCATCAAGTATTCTTGGCAATAGCCGAAACTCCTGAACTGCAACACCCCGCACCTCTAATCCACTGGGCAAAATGACATATCTTAACGATAACCAGCCCAATTACACCGTTACATCCAGTTACCTCGTAAGGCGGCTCTTTTTGTGGTACGAGCTCGATGATATGGATCGAGGTCTAGACAGTCATATCAAGCTCATATCGTTTAACGTGGCCTTCTAGTTAATTTTATCCCAATTCTTATCTTTACTGCTTATCTGAGAAGCGGGGTAGAGATCAAGAGTAAGAAGTTAATTGCTTCAAGTTCTGTCTATTCGTGCATCTTCTGAGGATGTTCAATTCGCATCGAGATGCTTAGATATCATTGAACTTAAAGATACCTTGGGAGATATCCCAGCTAGAAGATTAACCGAAAGAGATACTTGGCATAGCCAAGAACCTTCGTCACCTATCATTTTAATTGGTTGTTATAGTTGCAAGATCGGCATCGAATCACTTATGCGTCGATATTGATTCACTATTTCTGATATATTCTTACATGGGCGTCGCCGTGCTAAAGAATGCGATTAATGACACTGCTTTGGACTTCAGAATCATATGCAAGCCGCTAGACTGGCGTTGTGCTCTTTTTAATTTGGCCTTGTGAAGAAGGTAAAGTTAATTTGCAAAATCTTGCCCTTCGGTAGTCTCTCTTCTCTAAAAGAAAACATGTCCGGAATGACCTGAAATTTGGTTCCAAGTAGAGAAAGTAGAACATTTGCAATAAAGGAGCAATGGTCTGAATCAATTGGAAGGTCAAGCTGTCTCGGCTCATCGTCTATTAAGATAGGTATGCCTTTTGCCACAAACGTTTCGATCCTTTTTGACATAACTCGCATTGCTGTCTTACCGGGACGGGTAACCTACTGGGGTGTCACTTTTGGGCTACTTCCTCGGGCAAAATTTACACAATGTCACTGGAATTGTGGTTGGAAAACTACCTCGCGCCAAGAGATACGGGCTGCCCCTATTCAAACCCGTCTACCGGCCAAGGGCTTACTATTCGTCATGGCCTAAAGTTATCCGGAGAATCAAAACAGAACGTTTTATTCTAAATGAATATGTGTCAACCAGAAAGAGCAAGACGTTTCTAAAATATATCAGAATCATAAGTGAATGATGCCATGTTGCCCACAAAAAGTGAGACCATGCAGTGGCTAGATAGGAAGTCGTTCGATTATGCTTCCTTGAATGTGGATCTCGAACGTAATATGAGGGGCTAACTTGCCACAATCCATTCGTCCAGAAGATATCTACATGACATTGATTCAGCAACTTATCTGTGCTAAAAAAAAAAGGGTTCATTGCGAAATTTGATCTGCGAGGGATCGACAACATACCTTACCTGTATAATCTAGAACAAAACTCTATCAAGGGATTCAAACAGAAGACGACTTGTGGGGATGATAGGGATGCTTTAAGGTTCGGTAGTCATTGTGGGGCTGATACTGCTGATCATTTTGGTCGCTCGAGCCACACTTACAGTTCGAGGATCCATCTTGGTGGCAAAGTCACCATCAACCCCCATTAATAAACATCAAAATGATCATCATCCACGACCCTTTAATTTGCACCATTTTCAATAAACGCAATGCTAGGAAGCTTTGAACCGACTGTTGCCAATTCTTCGCAGGTTACAACGCTGGCATCAAAAGGTCTTGGACACTAAGCCAACCTTCTGATGAGAAACCGTCTAACAGCGGTATCGTGCTTGGACACATTCTACCCGAGTATAGGTGTTTGCTCCTTCGTGACTCAAGTAAAGTAAATAAATAAAGTTGGGCTGCTTATCTCAACTAGGGCCTCTGACTGTTATTCATTTTCCATTTACAAAACGTGGTACGAAATTAGGTTTTAATTCGAACTTTCCCATGTGCGGGAGAAATTGCTGATAGAAAATATCGTGGCCAACGCCAAGATTAAGGAGGCGATCCTAAGTGCGGGGTCGCTAACCTTACTGGCCCATTATTAGATGATTTACATGTGAGTTTCCCTACACAGACTTACCGCTGATAACGAACACCATATCTGTACCAACCATATGCAATCAATTAATGCAGTGAAGTATCACTCTGGGGTATTTGGTGCACAGGCTTGCAGGTCGGCGCAGCATGATGTAGACCAAGCACTTTTTGTGGCTACCCATGCGTCTCGCTTGCCTGGGGTTGTCGCCCAAGCACATGCTATGACCAACAGCCGTCGTTTCTGATGATACATGACTACTAAGATTATCCTTCGGCGTTGCACGAATTGGAGTTTGTTTGGTGTTATCATATGATTTGCTGGATTTGCTGATCCCCCTTCAGCAGTATGACGTCTAGATCTTGGTTTCGCGGCTTGCCTATCGCTTCGGATAAGATGACCAGATCTAGTGAGATGAGCTCAGCCATCGAACTAAATGTGTATCAAGCTACCAAGTATATATAGGAACATGTTATCCCTCAATTCATGAATTCAGATCATTCAATAGACCAACAAAGTATACGATATCGCACATAAAGTCGATATCAAACAGAAGCAATATACCAACGCGTATCAAACAAACATTCATACACACCTAGACATTATGGACTCTAGACTCCAGCCCGTCGGCGAGCAAAGCGTCATGTTTTCAGATCCATTCGATAGCCAATCCATGGGTTCACCACTCAGTATGTTGTCACTCTTTCACACTCATATCTATTCAGAAACTAATACTGTATCCAGAAAAATCCACCACAAATACCTCCTCTCACTTAGATTCTCCTTTCGATGACTACGAACAAGATTGGAAGACCGTTACCCACGAACGAGACAGCTGGGCAACTCGAGAAAGACGACGCTCCACTCCTTTCGCAAACATCAGTAATGCTGCTTTCATGGGCAGCCATCACGAAGCAAAACATGGCCGTAGCGGCAGTTCAACTCAGCCACGAAAGGGATCTATTCTTAGCGTGTGGTCTGACCCTAATGGCGACGAAGAACCCGATGATTTATTAGTGAGAGTATCGAGCAGGAAGTCGGAGGACCCTAGGAGTGGGAGAAGGGGAAGTGTTCTGAGTTTGTTTAGTCGAAAGAAGGATGAAAATGGAAGGGACATTATTCATTCTGATGGCCACTAGGAGGTATCAACGTCGACAGGAAGGAGTATTTATTTGGATTGTTGTACATGGCGACATATGATACATGGGCAGGTCCCGTTGTTTGGGGCATTGGGACGATGATGAGTCACGAGTTTTATATCTACAAGTTGTATTATTAGCGATTTTGTACTGTACTTTTAGGTTTTTTTCTTCTGCAGAACTTGACAGATTATCGAAGCACTTGTTTGAATTGTTTTTCAAAGTACTTGGAGTTTTGTTTATTTATCATTCTCTGTAAGAGTAGAAAATCAAGACATTGGGGATCCTTTTTAAAAACGACAAATTCTTTTCTCCATCTTCAAATCTTCATTTTATAGTCAGTTGATTTGGATATTTCATGTCAAAACAATAACAAGCGATACTCCTCAAAGGTCTATTGCGCATGTGTAACTTTCACCCGCTATCTAGTTTCCTCCCGATATCATCTTACAAGAACATCTGAACATGTGAGCATGCTCCGCCTCCACTATTTCCTACCATTAGCATCTCAATAAGCAACTACAGATAGCGTACTCGTGCTGCTAAAGATGACAAACTTCTAAACACTAAGTTGTCGCACGAGTACTAAAGCAACGTACATACTCACTAACCCCAGCGCCTCCTCCACAAACTCTAATTTCCCCGCAACTCGTTTACTTACGCCATTCACCCACTGAATAATAGCCGTCTTTTAAAAGGCATATCTAGTGCCAACAAGTAGCGCACAATTTCAAACACTACAATCGTTAGCCGTCAAGCTAGCGGACTTCGTATATTTTTACTTTCCGTCACTTCATCACCTGCCAATCGTAACAGAATACTTATGGTATGGAAATTGGAGATAAATCAGATTTCCGAGGTGATTTATTGTCCCTTGCTTGAAGAATGAAATGGCGAAATGATTGCGTAACCCTGAATAAGAATCTAATTACAGTATCAAAGTCTGAGGAAATTATGCACCTACTATGCGGAGTAGACTTGCTATGCAATGAATATATGCACGCGATATTCGTGTTATATTTGCCAAGCTGATTGTCAAGATAGATGAGATAAGATTGGTTCACTACGAGATCATCTTATCTCATCTTATCTTTGTGGGTATTGAGTTGATAGATAGTAGTATGCATTTAGGTGAGTCAAAATGGTATGATGGTACCATAAATTTACGGCAAGTCTAAGGTGAATGGTACACATGTGGTTGAAGATATGGCAGATAGGATAGGATATGCTGCGACTAAATCTATGGCATATGCTTCTACCTAGTGAATAAATAAATATAGAATTAGGCAAGCAATGTTTGATATTAAGCAAGTTCCTTCCTATTCTGGTATTTTCTGTTCTCTTATCTGAAAACTATGATGTACACCATTTTAAGCATGGGAAATCGGAAATGCTTGGGTTTCCCTGCTTTGTGAATTCTTGACGAAATCTTTCTACCAAATTTTTCCAGTGACTACTATGGCATGGTATTCCTTGCGTTATTCAATTGCCGACACATGTAGAAGTCTAAAAAAGGAACAAACTATTGAAACCTGCAACAGAATGAACCTTTCCCCTCCTCTTCAATCCAAATACCTAGATTCAATTGAAGATCCAGATTGGCCGACAAAACGATGCATATGCATCGATAGACCTGCATGCCAAATCTTCAGCAGATTTGTATTCTGTAGAACAAGAACAAGACTACTTGAATGAAATCCGCAATTTAATCCAATTTATCCAACAAGCACTATTGAAGGCTGCAAGAAGATGGGCCAATCGCTCACCGGCAGGACTTGAAGAACAAACAAGACTACTGCATGTCCAACTCTTTCGTACGTTCTTGCCGAATACTGTGGGTGGGATTTTGTGATGCGACGTCTCGTGCCTCTTTTGTACAGACGAAGGATTTTAGGGTTAAACGTTCGGTTGGAGAACTGAATTACTAGGGACTGGGTGATTGCGTTACATTAACTGGTGCGTGAAAAAGCATGTGTTGAAGGAAATCCGGAAGCGCCGAGGAATTAAAAGAAGGTTATTTGAAGTACGTGGGTGTTCATGTGGGTTTGAATACGACACCCCTGTAGATGCGGGGAGCGATGTCTCTTTTGGGAAGTTGGGGTTGGTGGCATGTTGGATATACATACAGCTGATACTGTACAGACGGAGAGAACTTTATGAGGAGTGTGATAAATGGTAAGGTTGATTGGTTTTCTTTTCTTAGTTTCTGCTGTTTTTCATATGCGATTGCGAGTGTTTCATGGCGCTCACTGATATTTCTCCCCTTTTCATCGTTGCACGACATATTCGCTTATTGTGCCTTCTCCTCACAGTATACCTTCCTGTTACCATGGACCTAAAGACCTTTTACATTTGCCAGCAAATCTTGATCCATTCGCTGCAAGTCTATAGCCTTTATTCCTTTCCTGCACCCCACGGAACACCCACACTCACACAACTTTATGCGATGTCGCGCATAGTCGCCGAACCACCCATATTTCCCAACATTGCTGGCTATGGGATTGTTTTTAGACTTTTTAATCCATGTTATATCCTAGGAGTTCCATGCGTGGGGGTTCCTCACAGCCCTGTTATTGTCTGCAGAGTTGGGCTGGTATGGGTGGGTGGAGTGGGTGAAGTGTTCTTCTGGTCAACGCTAGATCTTGCGGCCCGTAAGTCCATGTTAATTCCGAGAAGGGAGCATGGTTGAAGGGACTGATTATTGAAGGTGAAAATGGTAGGTTTTTGTTTTTGGTATTTGATTTGGTGGGCTGTTAAAAGTAAACCACAGTCAAGTCTAATTAGACCTTCAGGGTGAAAGGCAAACGAAAAGCAGAAATCATAGGATAGAATGAACATCCGGACGTGAAGCACAGTATATTATTTCAGCATTGAAACTTCAGGTACTATTATCTAAGCTAGCAGGTGAAAGAGAAGACGATTCAGTAATAGCTGATTCAACGTTACCCATCCCTTATGCTACCCGAGGTTACACCGTGTGATGCATCGGACTACCAATGAAGTGAAGTGAACTTAGATTATTGAAAGCAGCGAAGTGTGAAAAGCCAATTCCTGAGAAACCAGTGAAGTGAAAGACTCTTCTTGTGTACTCCTTGAGCACACTGTGTGAAATTCTGGTTTCCTCATCTCATTGAACCCTCATGCCAACTAGTAGTAAATACTTGGGCTTGCTCTCACGGCAACAAATTCTAGACATGCCTCAAAACTCCCTAAATTGCAAGTGAATTGTGATGTACGTGTAGGGGAAGATGAAAAGTGAATCAGCCTATCCCTAGAAGACGAATCTCACGGGAGGCTATTTCCTCGACAATTAAATGATAATTTATATGGGAGTTAACTTCTCCTACAGGATGAGAGACATAAAATGAGGGGCCCAGAATCAGATATGCAACAAAACTCTTCGAAGCGGTAACGTCATCTCATCTTATCTAATCTCATATTAAGATGTACTTGGTTTTCTGCATAGACACAGCATTCCTCTCTTACCAAATCAAAACAATCAAACGAGACATATAGTTCAAGGGAGAATAATTACCTCTTAGTGTGAGCTCGAGCCGTCTTGTAGGCCGGCTCGCTCTACCGGAGATGGGAGTTCGACTCTCTCTATTTCTATTTTTTGTGTGTTTTTCTAGTGGTTGATGTTTGGGAGTAGAAGTTAGTGTGTCGTAGCTAGTGTGACGCTGGAGGATTGAGATAGATGGGACAGAAACTGAATCATTGCGAGGAAAAGAGTGGAAGATGCTAGTGCCTGTTTTGTTACTGAACATTAAGGTATTTAGTGAGGATCTTTCGGACGTTGAGGTTAGTTTGAGTAGCTGACATGATAATCCTCATACAGAAAATGACGGTGGTCAATATTTCCAAGGTGTTGTGCAAGAACTTGGAAGGATTGGAGGATGTGAAATTTGAAGCATACATCTAGAGCTTGCAAGGGTATTCCGAAAGTCGACTAAAAGTAAAGCGTAATGTTGCATCATACCATGTTAGATGTGCCAAGTTGCTGCCATAGTATTCTTTGAATGTGTACAAGACCAACTAGATTCACTTCACTTTTATGGTTTTAGGTGATGAACTAGGGGCCTTGCCTGTACATTCGTGAGTGAAAAGGCTCGGTTAGCAGATGGCAATTCACCCTTTACTTCCTCTCCGCCTGTGCTTCTTTGTGTCCTATTCAACTTTAGATCGTACTTCTACCAAAAACTTGCAAATACTTCAAGATCTCTCAGGCTGGGATTCGACTCACAAGGTTACGCTGAAAAGGAAGCTCAGTGTGATGCCGCAACCAGGAGAAGCGATTGGACGATGATAGGACTAAAAGTAGGAATTAAAGGCAAGTGCCAAGAAACATCCAGTTGTCGAACAATCCTGTTCAATAAGAAAAAAAGCATTCAACTTGCAGTATCACAACAGGGGTGATGAAAGTTCAGAGCTCCCTTATTATTAGGGCACCGTATCGTTGAAATTTCTAAGTAGTTCTTTTCGAGTCCATATTATGAGGCGGATAGGCTGCAGATTGATCTACCCCAGAGTCGATGATATCAAATCACACTGTACGATTTATCGTATATCAGTGAGACAGCACATCATGCATAGATTTGTAACAACTTCACTGTCGTTTGAAACTTCTGCGCAGCCACGTTAAACCAAGACCCGGGGCAAGTTTGCTGAGCGGGGCGGGGAAATGATTGAGTTGTGGCACCGGAAGATCGGGGTCAAGTCTTTCTGGCAGTGATGCTGCAGATTCAGGGTCCACACCTAATAGTTCGCGATGCGCGACCAAGAATTTGGTTATGGAAAGCCTCAAACAGTGGTGTATTTGCTTGATGGATCTTTGAGCTTGATAGAAAACTGCACATCGCGGGTCATTTATGGAATTTCATTTGTCGGAGAAGCTTCATACAGAAGGCCGCTGCAAAAACAAAAATCATGAGGACAAAAAAGCCTTTTCACCGCTATGAGCAGGTGACATGGATACCTACATCGAGAAGACTTATTATCACCATCTCCGTTGAAGAAAGTGACAGATCAGTTCACAGAAACCACTGGGGTAGTAGATATCTACTAGATCTGGAAAATATCACGCCATATCACTTACCAGACCATTAATTTTCACACAAATAGGCCCCTCTTTATCAAATGTTCGTGTGTGACAAGGCAATGTGGGGAAGCCATGAGCAATTCATGCAAGCCACTTTACCCTGCCCATGGTTTTCTCTGAAATCTGCATGAAACTGTCGAGTTGACGGCAAGCAGCAGCAGATACTGCAACCGGTAAAGAAATCATTGCAGATCTCAAGCCAGGAGTAGTACCAAAACCCGGTAAATGGATTGACACAGAATGCTACCTCGCCAGTTCGCTTATTGCTCCTTGATAAAGAAATCTCATGTGTTGATCTATTGAATAGTTCTAGACTCTTTTTTAATGTTGCCTCAATCTTCTAGAGACTTTGTACTTTCGGGCATATGGTGTGGAATGCGAAAAATTTGACTGATCAAAGTTTTAACACTTGCTATGCAAAGCTTTGCAAGGCCACTGGTTATCTAATTCTGTATACCGCTTTTGTAAGTCGGCTCACAGGCAAAAGTGGGGTGGCTTGTCGGTATGCCGCAAATGGTCGGTTCGATCGGGATGATGCCTCGTATTTTGTATCCGAAAACTTTTCTTCACAATAACCACTATCGCTAGATACACTCTCATCTCGTTGTAGGAGCTCAATTGATAATATAGAAAGAAGAGATTGTTGTGGACCAGAATCTCGAATTGAGATCGATTTGCATGCTTCATGCATCGGAATTATTCTGTTTAAGATGCACCTACTGGGTAAAATCTTGGACACGAAAATATCGGCTCCTATAACACTTTTTGAGAGGTCTCTTCCCGCATTCCACGGAAGTACCCAAGGAATTGAGGTATCATTGCAAAAATCTGAGCTATCAAAATTTTAGAATGCAGAAATAAAAGAATAAAATGCAAACTGCAAAATGGGATCGCAATTTTTCCTTGCTTTGGATTTGGGTTGCCATTTTTAAATGTACCAAAAGAAACTGTGAAAAAATAAGAAAGGCAAATCATCATGTCAGCAACCGTATAACCAGTGGTAGTACAAACTTATTGAAATTCCTGTTTATACACAGATATGCTGAGTATGGTCGATGCTCTAAGTGTATGTCACTGGCTTTTCGGGGTCATATATTGGCCTGTTTTATCGATATTAAGGGCCACGAAAAGCAATTGATCGAAATCATCAGCCATGTATCAGGCGTCAATGTAGCGGATCTATAATCTAAGATCTTATAATCTGCACATGATTTCTCCCATGGCTCTTTTCTTTGGTTGACTGCTCTCTCTACTTTTAGTCCTCTGCTGAATTATGCATTTCTACATGCACTTCCACCGGAGATAGAGTAGGATAGGACAAAGTAAAAGTGCGAGATGCGCGTCGATGGAGAAAAGGAAATGGATTTACATTGCATTCAGTGTGTGTGCGAGGCGAACGGCGTAGTTCCCCGTCCGTTTAGTGTATATTTTGGAAGCAATATCCTTGTGAGAAGTCTGGACCAGCCCCTGTCCGTGTCTCTTCCCCCCACTGGCCCCGTATTCTTCACGTACGGAGTGGAAAAATGTTGCCATCGCCCTGAAGTTAAAGAATCATTTTAGTTGATTCCCCCTTCTAGCGGGAGTGACGGAAGACATTATGTACAAATCGCTTATCCGCCGCTGATCGTTTTCATTCTATCTATTTTATTTCATAAGTCGGATTTCCTTTCTTTATTGATAAACGAAAAGCTATCTACCGACATGTAGAAGTTATATGAGTTCCACACCGCTAGTCACTTTGGGCCAAATACGATTACTACGTATAGCTGCGTATTGCTGCATGCAAAAGATTCATCAGAAAGTTATACTCGGTCTCGCCCGGCGTCTCTGCTCCGGAACGTTCGTTTAGCAATATTTCAAATCTAATTAATTAATTAGGAAATTAGATCCCTCCTTGCATAAATGGTCACAAAAGCTCTCTCACGGGGTTGGAATTTCCTTACATACACTTGCCCGCCCAACGCCCAAATTTTACTTTAAGTAAGGCTACGCATCGAATGCTTAAGGCTACACATCCAATGCTTTTCATCTTGTGTAACTCTCCGCGGCTATTTCGAACGCAAACACTATGAACAACTCATTAAAGTTATATCGCTTCAATATAGCCTCGTGTTTCCATCTTGTTGGATGATCCTCGGCTTCTGCTCTGCTACGCATCCGTTCTATCCCGTTAATCCTAGTAAATTCATAGCGTTACACAACCCGCGCAGCGCTTACACCAAACTCTGGGGATTTTCTAGTATCTCCATCACAAGAACATCTATTTTGCTTGAAACGGAGAAAGTCCAACAGCTAAGAATAAAATGAGAGGAGGCTGGATACATATCTTTGCTTCACTCTACCCGTTTGACAGTACATTTTCGTTCGCTCAGTTAAACCCGGTCCCCAGTATGTAAGGATCCTCGGGTGGGGGTGCGAATATCGACCCGTCACGGACGAAATGAGCTTCCTAATATGTAGAAATACAAGGTATTGTATGGTTTGACCCATTTATGTTGGGCACTAGTGATTCCACGAGCATTTTGATTTGTTACCGACTCCTCGGGTCTGAAATAATCACATGATAGTCATCTGCGTTGGAGGATGTTCCCTGCTGTCTCCTATGAGAAGCTTTTATATCGTTCAGAAAGGCTAAGGAAGCAATTGGGAAGGTCAGAAAACGATAACAAAATGAATACAAGGTAAGAAATATACTTTCAAGATAGAATATGCCAATTAGACCGCGCGGCAGGAGAAGCGACGGTGCGGCACTTTGAAAGGGTTCACAAGAAGGACAGTGTGGCGGCAAAGTTGTTTCTTCAATGAAATCGAGGTGCGGCAAGTGCGGTGGGACTGTATGTCTGTGCCTTGATGTCAAATCTGACATGGGGGAATATGATCGTTTTTTTTTGTGATAATCCTTGGCACCTATTGCCCGAACACTTGAGCAGATTCATTGGTTGTAACTTGTGGCTTTCATTAATTTCTTCAACGTGTATATGCAACTTCCACTTCAAGTCGTGCTATTCTGTTATTACATCATGTTAAAAGAGGAGCAAACACTCAAGAACAGTTAGCTACATACTAATTTTTTCGTAGACGATACTACATAACCTAGCAGAACGACTCATCAGCTGCAAGATATCAGATAAAGCCCACCAATCGAAAAATATGTCTAAAAGCAGTATTTTCGCAGGGATAAGCTCAGCCCCACACATATATCAGTCTCGGGCAGCCAATAGTTGTGCCTTCTCCGTGTCACTTCTTCAAAACCCAAAGCCACGGTACCTCGCTGCAATACTGCCAAAAAGAGCTACTCCAATATTTTAATTGCTTAGGAATAATTATAGCTAGACGACATGAAAATAAGAGGGCTTTCCAAAAAGTAAATCAAACACTCCGGTAGCCAGTCCGGTACACAAGAAATATAATGCATGTCCTTGTTGGAGAAAGTTGCCTCACCCCTTGGTGCCGACATAGCACTGTCTCAAAAGCTATCTGAAATTCCTAATTTTTATGCACTTCAAATCGAGTTGGTGCTGTGTTGGATTTCTCCTCATAGGGTGTATATTAGATTCTCCGTCCCTTCTGAAGTTGTGGATTCCTCTTACATATCCACACGGGACCTTGAATTTGCTCATTGCTATTTTCAGAAACTTTATCTTGTTAAACTTCTTCTTCGCCTTATCAAGCTACAAACTTCTTAAGATCTTTTAACATACCTTGGAACACACTGCCACCAAAATGGCAATGAAAATGGAACCTTCATCTCGAAAAAACTCAGCTGTTATGGATATTCCATCTATTGTCAACAACGCCGAAGATGTTATAACTCAGAAAATGGACATACTCATGATCCTAAATTCTTCGGAAGACAAAGTAGAAACAGTAGATCCCGCGGACAACCACTTGAAAGATTCCAAAATGGATGTTGACACTCAACATGAACCGTCGCACCACATAGAGAGCAACCCAGACTGATAACCAGCGGGCTCTCCTGTTTAGACCAATACCAGACCCAACTCGCAAACCTGGAAAGCCAAAATCGTATCCGTCTTAACACTGCACGAAGTGCAAGAACTCAACTTCCGCCAGCTCCTGTTCATCGTCGCCCTCTGGCATTCACCCCAATAAACGCAAGCCATAGATACACGAACCAGTACTCTCTACCCCTGATCTATTCCCTCCACGATGAGGAATATCACTCTCCATCTCCGGTTCATCGCCGTCGTCATGATCGCCATCATAATGTTGATCATCGTCACCATTCTCAATCAGTTTCGGCTCCCAAGAGGAGGAGGCCTCGCAGCAATAAGGCTTATTCGATTGAAGAAGTTGATTTTATCCGGTACCACAAAGAAGATTTGAACAAGCCCTGGCCTGAGATTCTATCTTTCTTCAAGAGATATTTCATCGACAGAGATTCAGAGCAAAGTCTTTCGTCGAGATACTACAGAGATAATTGCTTCAAGATGTACGATGCTGATGGCAGGCCAATGCGAGATGAAAATGGAAAGATTAGAATGATTTCAGCCAAGGTCAGACAAAGAGGAACACCGGCCGGAAGGGAAGAAGCTTTACCATACACCCTCGTGCAAAAGCATCCAGAAAGAGCCATGAGGTATCCTTGGGTGTCAGAGCAACACAAGGTTGAAGCACGGAGACTAGCGGCCGAGATGACAGATCTAGAGCGAGGTATGTGCTTTCCTTCGTTCCCACCCTCTGATTACCTATGAATGTGCAGTACAACAGGCAGCTAACACCCATGGCAGAAATCTTCAATTCGCAGAGAGTGCAGCAGTTGAGAAAGGACGAATTAGCAAGTGGCGTAGCTCAGGGTAGACAAGAATCCGCCAACGAGTCCATGGATGAATCCAGCAATTACGAGGGCTCATCTACAACATCAAGCCCTCAATTTACCCCACGATCTTCCCCTTGAATGGCCCTTTGCTTCATTCTTGCGTCTACACATACGTTTTTGGAAATTGGAAGATGGCAGGTACTGTGGTGGGCGTTGAAAGGAGTTAATGGACTTCTAATTACCCAGATTCACAATGAAACTGTTGATTCCTGTTTGGTATTTAGTAAAAATGATATATTGGTATGCTTGACTGCTATTTTCGAGAAGTTTTTTTTTTCTGGGGAATTTGGTGTGCATAATGGCAGAATTCTGCTAGGACGTACAAAATTATGACAACGAAATGACTTCACCAATTATATGCGATCTTTCTTCCATACGAATTTTTGACTTCATTATCGTGATTAGTTTTAGTGAAGGAGATTGATATTTATTTTAGCAACAAGATAAATCATCAAGTCTGTGCAATGGAATAGCCGGAGTAAATCACTTAACGAATTTTGTATGCCGGCCAAGAACCAGAAGATGCCTTACAAATAGCAATCGGCGATTTTCACTATTGATAGAACTTAGGATACTTGCACAGGATTTGCTCAAGGGCCCTAGGCTTCTTTTCTTCCACTGCTGCGAAATCGCACGATCCACCTTGCAACAACGACCTGCAGAAATTGTAGCACCAAAGTTAACTTCCCCAACAGTAATACGCGTAGCTTGCTAATCTACTTTCTCACAAGCTCAATTCAAGTCTCACGCTAACAACAGGGAGTGGTTCCCACTATCGACAAACATTCTCAGAACCTATTAGAATCTCTAGACCATCAATTCGAAGTAAGCGGTCTAAATGTAAATCCGTCTAAACATGCAGAAATCTGCCTAATACCCTGCAAGAACCGCAGGCTCATCTCGTGTTGGATCCTAATTTGTGAAGTTGAATTGAATGAGGCCGTTGGTCCGAGAGATTGGACAATATTTAGAATCGTTGTAGTAATCAAACCAACAATCGTCTCACTTTCCAATCTATTTTCAAGGCCCCCGGACACGGAGTAGATCAAATTTATTCAAAATCAGTTCATCAACTCCTTTTTTTACCTTCACTATTAGTTCCAAATTAGTTCCAAATTAGTTCAGTTACAAACCAACAACTTCTATCCCCGGATTAAATTCCTTTAGCATCCTCAGCCCAAGCTAGCTTCGGAGCGCCGCTTGGATGTTTTCCACATAACGACTGAGGTTGAAGACAATTTGCTACTCTTTTTACAGGGGCTCTGATAGTCAACCTAAATCTACCATCTCTCCAACTTCATTGACTACTTTCAAGGAGCCATGTCACAAATACAGTTCACTAACATCAACGTCAATCCAATAGGGGAGGTGATTAGAACCACCCAAGTAACATCAAGGTGCAAATTTGCGCTTCTACTTTCCATATAGAGATATATACGAGCCTCCTGAATATAACACCAAGATTTTAACCAACACGTACCCAACTCCATCTATAACCCTATTCGCCTTACGAAAGATGGCATGATTTTCACACCTAAAGGTGGACCCGCTATTTCAATCAACGGCCACTTAATAACCCACCTAATCTATTAGAAGTCTAATACCTATCAATCACTCACGGAGCTGAGCACCCCATTCATCTGCCAGAATACCATGTTCTTCCTAAGTCATCATGATCACTCAATCTTTACCAACAATTCACAGTCATGTCTTAGAAGCGCCACAATAACTTTCCAAGTCCCGAAAATCTTACTGCATAATTGACACTCAAAATTGCAATTGCCGTGCCTCATCCTTCACAACAACTTTGCACCTGCACCATAGCATTCAAACAGTGAGTAAAGAATAGAAATGCGATTGAAAGGCGGGCTGTGCGCCTCGAACAACAAACACTGGCACAGACCTTCCGTACCCGTCCCGTCGGGACTTACATCAGCACCACGCTAAATTGTTCACTATTACATTGCCACTTCATCCTATGTACTCAGGACTCTCTCGGGTTAGTATACCGGATATCGGGTAAATTGATCTGCAAATGTAGAATGTCGCTGCGAAATCAAATATCCAACGACCAAGCTTTCAATATCCCGATCATGTATACAGTCTGGCCGGTTGGTAATTTGTGATTGGGTACCGAAGCCGACTAGTGGTAGTGCTGATGCAAAATTTATGCGTATAAGCGAATGGTAGGGGGTCAAACCCCGTGGCAGTACAGCTGTTATGCTGTTGCTTTTAATGAAGGCCATGTATAGGTAAGGATGTGCGCGTTAATATAATATGGTATCGTTGTCTTTGTTTGGGGTTTATTTTTAATCGAGGATTTTATTTTTATGGTTTTAAAATGGTACTTCGGGAATGATTGGTGAGGTTGGGAAAAAGTGGAAGTGAATAATGAATTTTTACAGGTCTTGAATGCTTTTCTTCCGTCGTCCTCAATCCGCTGTTGGAAGTTCTGGACACATGATCTATTCTAATGCTCTTGAAGTAGATAGCCAGACATTCGGGATTGATCCTCGAATCAATGAATTGTCTTCGAACGAGTTTGCCAGCTTGGAAAATTAAGTGATTCGATGCATATTATTGTCGGGACTGTTTAGTCCAAGAGTCACTTGGCTGCCGTCTTTTGTCTGAAAAGGGCATTGTATGTACATTATTTCTCTACATACTATACCTCCAGTTTTTTGAACCTAAATTGCGCTAGGAAAGATTTAATGACTTTGAACAAACCTAGCAGGCCCACATCTTCACGTAGTTACGCTTCTAGACGCCTAAGTATACATCCATGGGAGGATCCTTCACTTCTCCGACAGTCGCCGACAAGCCTCGAAGTCGCCGGAGAAGAAAATGATCTATAAGATTCGAATGCCAAGATCAGTTCGGCCATTTCCCATGATGACATTAAACCATGCTAAACCCCCCTTTCAAGCTAGTCGAGATCCACTAAATATCACCAACGAACCCCATGGCTGAGTTATTCAATGCGGCGTATGTTACTCGACAACGTCAAAGCAAACATTTGGGATCAGCGGCTTTTAGAAACTGCGCAGTAGGCGCACAAAATTAGAGGGATGAACATACAACCGTTCTGAGCTTCATCATACACTAGCACACAGCATTATCTTTGATCATAATGCCTGCAGACTTCGAGATCACTAATGTCACACATAAAAAGACCTGATAACTACTCCGCGGACTTAGTAATTACGGCCAGATTAATTATCCTAGATGAGTTTGAAATTTAACGTAGATCATACCGGCAATTGTAGACTAGAATAGCAGAAATAAGTTACCGGAGCGGTGCACTAATCCAGAATTATTTATTTGGAAAAAGTTTATGATCATCATTGTAAGGAATCAAGGTGTTTTTTCTAGCAAGAATATATGAAGATCATTCAAGGAATTTGTGTTACAATGACTGTCTGTAATGCCTCCGAGCTTGAACTACACTGCACTATTATATAAATTTTATGTTTCTGTACTACAGTCTGCTCTTCACAATGCATTCCTTGAAAGTTGAGATCATCTTTGTGCAACCTGAGCGTTCTAACTATCACGCCGCATTTGCTGTCGGAGGTCTTCTTCCACCATCATCCAGTGTCTTCAGGTACTTGGGAGAGATTTTGAGGGTTAATTGGATCCGTATATTTCCTCAAAGAAATTAATATAGTACGATGCAAAACTGAGCAACACAAACGCCACAAAAAAGAAATATCGTGTGGATGGGATGCTCATCCTTGAGGCAGCAAAGTATCATCTTAATGAAGTCAGCTGAATGAAGTTATATTGATGTCTGCTCAAGTGTATCATATTCAAATCTTGGTAAATTATACAGTACGTAAGTGTTACCGGCAAAGTCTAGCTGAGGCACCCATCAACTGTGATAGCAAGACTTTCGGTGAGGTCCGTGATATCATCGAGATGGACTTGTCCGCCATGTCCAAACAACCACTCACTTCCATCTATTCTTCATTCACTGAGGTTCCCTTGAGTATTTCACTTATTATCACTTTTCCGGAAACGCACCAAGAAGCAATTTGCAGCTGAATTTGGCCTAGACCTGACAGAGATTCTGCTCCGATCTCTCCCTTAACACTTCAACACTTTAAGCCAGTCTTGATCCCAAATCCTGTGGAGCGTTTTAGCTTTTGATTATGATGTACCAAGATTCAAGTATCACTACCGATACCGGATAACCTCTTACGTTATGCTTTAGTGTTGCCTTTACTGCACACATATGCGGATCGTTGATTAAAAGGAAAGATACGAGTCATCCTTAAGTCACATTGCCATGAGAACACAAGTGAGCTCTCTATGAATGCGGTGCAGTCCCAATGTTGGTACAAAGCGGGGTATAAGAGTTCAAAGGAGAAAGGAGTGCCATCGTCAATTCCAGTCAAATCTATCCCGCACCACGATCAGTAGAAGAGCTTCCTTACTTTCCAGCAATACTAGAATGAACCATAAAGACCTTTCCGCAAATATCCCATATAATTTGTCAATATCAAATTATTGCCTGTGAATATCTTTGAGTGATTTTGGCAAATCCTAGATGAAATGGCCATCTCACTTCAGTGCAAATTTGCCTTCATGGTACCTAGCCTATGTATTATCAACGTCATAGATCACCAATATCCTAAACATAGCTCCAGTTACTATCTCCTCAATTTAGAGGTTTTTCACCATTCATTCGTTCTAGTTCATCAATCAAAGATGCATAACTGTGGCACACCGGACTTCAATGACACCAGTGCATATTATTAAGTCGAGTGACCTTCAATTATCTAGATAGTAATACCTATCATTGATAAGTCTTTGTTGACAGGTTTCTTCCTGATCATTCTATTACAATGTACTATCCTGAGTGACGTAGCTGTTCTGGCATTTTCGTCTTGTGCATGTTATACCGCGCCGTTCAGAGACATTTTTCACCAAGTTTGTCAGACTCGTAACGATTTCGTATCCTCCAAAAATTGCTTAAGCGGCCAAAGTAAAACTCTCACCCATGTTTTGAGCTATCCATGGATTCCCTAAAACGAAGATGGCATGGGACTTCTACTTGGATCTCAACTCGTGTCATAGCTGAGACGATAGATGTTATTCACCACAAGTGTCGTTGTATCCCAAGTGATAACATCGGATCTGTACCTCTTCTAGAAATACTATGAGCCTTTTGCAATTCGACACGCTTTCTCATTAAACAGTTTTCACACCTGTGCCTTCCACCATTGTAGGGATCCGGAGTGGAAGTCAATAGTTATTTACCGAAGCTATCAAATAATAGTCGGCTACCTGGAAGCCGACTACGAATTAGTAGGGGAAAGCGAATTTTCCCGTTCCAGCCTTATAATATTGAATATGAAGTTTCGACGGTGGAAAGCGGGAGGGACTATTCGCTTTCCCCGACTACTTCGTAGCCGGCCTTTCAAGTAGCCGGATATTAGAACCACAAAGTTGCATGGAATATTGACCATCACAATAAGAAGATTAAGCCCCGGATCCAGGATATTTCACTAAATTGCATGTAAAATGGAAGCTTATTTCCAGCTTTCATTTTACAGCGATTTCAAGGGACAGTTTTGCTATGGCAGGAGAAGTGGTCCTAAACCTTCGAAGAGCCATCCGAGTAAGAGTTAAAAGAGTTGATTGGGAGAATCAGATGATGTGACATTTCCCTACTATGTATCCAGCTTATTTGTTTTCTCAAAAGACCTTTTGATTTCGATGTCTCGAGACACTTAAGAACCTCGGTAGGTGTAATCACACCCCAATCCACGCCAAAAAGTACCTAATATATGTCAGTATTTTGATATAAAGTCACATATAGAAAAATTACCGATTGATTTGAATGTTTTAGCGAGTTGAACATGCACAGCAGTTTCCTATTGTGATATTAAATCTGAAATAAAATTATTCTGTACTGGGGAAAAAAAAAGTACTGACAATAAATCAATCGATGAGACTCTGAGATCAAATATTTGTACTACCATGATCGCTTGAGTTCCTCGGTTACCTCGCTTTATGGGTGGCGAGATCTTGATTCTCGCTTCCAAATTAGCAAAGCGATATCGACGAGGATAGCTCTTCCTCACTTCCATTCCCCTCATCCTGGTTAGATAAGCTTCATTTAGGGGTGCTTGTGCCCTAAAATATGGTGGGAAATCAAGTATACAATATAGAATACCCTCTTAAAAATTAAACTTCAATATGCACAAAGTTTAGCGAATTTGGATTCTTGCATGATAAAACGCCAAAAGGATGAAATATATGCATTAGAAAATGGGAAAATGAGAACTCAATTCCATCTCTTCGACTTGCCTCAGTAGAAGCATACTCATCATCAGATCTAGTGAATCATCTAGAATAGGAATATCTCCTTCACCTTTGCATGGTCGTCTTTTGACAGTTTTGAGCTACACATCATGGATACATCTTGATGAATCGCACATACAGTCACACAGCACCAGAAATAATGAAGTGAATACGTTCATAGTGACTAATATACATGCGACAAATCCATAGACACGGAGATCTAAGAACTACGATGCTGTTTGATAATCTTCAAACGTACCATTACTTGCAGCCACAAATTTCAGACACTAAATTTAGCATATAGTAATATACGAGTACAGGTATGTAATACTCTACAAACAATCTTGGGTATTCTACTGCTCGTTAAGTTTACTGATTTTACCAGGAATATGAGTCTTGACAACTTTGAATGCTCGTACTTACCACTACTTCGAATCCTCACCACCATTAAATGTCGAGGTACTGAGCATGATCAAACTTACGATTTTAAGGGATTAACTGCTGATAAAGCTCATTCACTCGAAGTGTTATCTCATTGGAGTCAAGTTGCCTCTTTCCTGGATATCGTATGTGCAAAATAAGAAGCATAATCGTGAATTTACCAAGGTGGCGTGGTGCGATTTCGTATGCTGGCAAGATTTATGTCATTGCTGATGTTTTATACACTTTAACACTGCCTGCTTGTAAACAAATAGAAGTTCTTGATTGAAGACCATGCGCTCATCGATTTTGATAGCTGCAATGCGCATATGGCGAATGGTTTGCAGATTTTAAGCCGGTGTCTCAATCTACAAACCTTTGCTTCGATATTACTTGATCGTTGGTCAGAGTTGCTGTGAGGAAATTACATCTGCACACTTTAGAACCGGCGGTGGATGGTCCCTCGTTTTCTTTGATAGGTGATGCGGCTATAATTTTGGGGAATAGGATAGCTGACACCTCCATACATATTCACGGCCACCGAAGATGAAGATAATTATACCGATTTCACCGTAGACTTTGGGTTTGGATATGTCACTCCGTGAAGTAAGAAGTGAAACAACGTGTGTTAGTTGAGATCAAACAGAATAGTGCTGTGTGTAAAAACACATCCACATTCTACAGCTAATCAAGTCACTGTCATTTTCTGGCATCTTTCATACGACACACATGCCTAAGTATAGAAAGTATAGATTGTTAATATGAAAGAGACTTCATTTTAATACCACATATAGACTCGAACTGAATAAGTTCCTTATCAATTGTAAAACAACAAGTCGCCCACGTTTTGCCTGCAGAGTTAAATCCTCTCAACGTAAAACTAAACCTTGATTACCCAAAACCACACATCTCATATCATCATTAGTAAATGCTCAATTCACAATATTAAGATGACTTTTTGGCTGCAATATACATATAGATAATTACTGATGGAAGTATGAAAGATAAAATGTATCGAAGTGTCATTCTCGACTAGAATTCGAAATTCAAAGTCACAAACTCGGAACTCGATGTCCTTGACTCAGCTCAACGCCCCTCCTGTATATTTCATGAATGGTTCTTAAAATTTAAATCTGCACAATGAAAAAGTATTTTCCTTAACGCACTTCTCCTTTTTCATTCATCGTTTTTCAAGGACTCATAATAAATAATGAAGCACAAAACATCCAAATCAGTTATTCCAGCTAGAGATATAAAAATACATCCTCAAATTAAATCCACCACTTCGTTTGACACAACTCCAACCTTCGCATCCCATTCTCATATATGATTCATAATATATATACATATATGAATATTTACACTCACAAAGTAAAGGCTCTTCAACCATCACACTCACATTTTTTAAATCAAAGACTCATCCATAATTAATCTCACTTAACTTCCTATTCACATCCTCATCCCCATCCTCCAGTCTATTTAAGACCTGTATACTTCTCTCCTCTTCCTCTATCTACTTTCCAAAACATCCCAAGCTTCTTTCTTTACTACAAATGAAAGTCAAAAAGTCGAAAAGTCGTTACAGTTCATTTAACCACATACCCCATAAATTTATCACAAAAACACCCTTACGAGAAGAGTCAAAATATCCAATCATCTCTTACAATATCGAAGCCCAAATCTCAACTATACTATCTCCATACACATATATCAACTCCACTACACTACACTACCACTATCACCATACCATCCATCATGTCGCCCGTGGAAACGTCGTCTATTTTATATAGTACTTTGAATCAACGGGTAAGTAGTTGTAATCTTAATCTCCCAAATCTAGCATTCAGCCCTTTTTTCCACATCCGAATATTCATTTATTCACCCTGCCCTAAAAGTCAATCAAGCAACTAACTTCCCCTCAATAGGATCTCAATCTTCCGCAAGCCACCCCAACCTCCATCTCCACCTTCATCACATCCACCATCTTCCCAAGCTCTACCAATTCGAATTCCAGCATTCCCAACCCCTCAACCCCACCCACTTCCATATCCTATCCATCCTGGTCCGTCCACTTTAGTCTCCTCCTCTCCCTCCTCAACCTCATCGCCATCTGTCTACTTCCCCGAGGACAGGGCAAACTTCTCCTTTTGTTAGGGTGGATTGTAATTTGGAAATGTGTAGAGTGGGGACACTGGCTAGGGTTTCTTATAGACTCGCTTCTGATTTGGTTGACATGGGGGGGTTTTTGGGTTTTTAAGAGGATTTTGATGTGGTTGTGGGGGGAGTTGGTTGCGGAATTTGAGTGGAGGGAGGGTGAGGGTGAGGGTGAGAGTGAGAGGGGAAGACAACTCGATGAACAAAGACAAAGCGATCTTGAAAAAGCAAATGAGAATAAGATCTCTGAGAAAGTTAAAGTTTAGAGAAGACAATAGCACGCGAGAGAAGGCGGGGGGGGGTTTGTATGAATAGGTCACCTGGTGGAGATATCGAGATCTAGATCTACTTACTTCTCTCTATCCCGGCCTCTCAGAACAGGAAGGAAAGGAAAGAAAAGGAAATGAAAGGGAGGGAGGGGAGATTGTGCAGAGAGCGAGCGCAGATACACAACCGACGAACCAGCAAACCCACCACCAAAAAAAAAAAAAAAAAAAAAAAAAGGGAAACGAGAATAATGAGTCGAAATATTGAAGAATCGAGGAATCAACCAACAAACCAACCAATCTCGCCAAAAAAACAGGAAGCAAACGAGAACAACAAGTCGAAATATTGAAGAATTGAGGAATCGAGGAATCAACCAAATCAACAAACCCAAACCCCCCCCCCCCAAAAAAAACACCAAGAAGAAAATAAGGATACATACACACACATAGGACAGGGACACTCATTTCATTCATTAATACCTCCAAGAAGCACAAGCATCAATATGTCGGATAGCAACATTATGATTTATATTTGGATTTGGATTTGGATTTGAGAAAGCTAGATACACAGATGGATGGATAAATGAACATATAACTTTAATTCTATTTTCTTTTGTTTTTGTCTCTTTTTCCTTTCCTTTCATCGAATTTTTTTTTATGTTTTTTTGTTTTTATTAAATGAATATAATATCTTACAATACATCTATCAGTGACCTATGAATTTATCAATTTTATTTTATTCTATTATTTGAATTTGAAGTTGGAATTTGATAATTGAAATTTAGGAATTGAAATTGGATTTTGATGATTGAAATTAGATGTTTATTTACTTGAATAACTATTTATTTATCTACCTGTCTACCAAGTGATATATCCTGTGAAGTGAGCTGTATATACTGTATACTGTATACTGTGCGAAGAAGATACAGGACACTTGTTCTTGTATCTGCACTCGCACTTGTTCTTGCACCTGCATCTGCACTTACTATTGCTAGCTTCAGCTTGACTTATGTACTTATAAGTGGTAGAGCAGAAGGCATTTACATACTACCTAGGTAGCTTTACTTTTTAATTGTCATCATAATCATCATCAATCATCATATCAAAATATATATATCAAATCGGTCCACGACCATATAATTCACTCGTATGCTATGTATGCGTATTAACACAATTGCTCGATCGTGATCCATTCCACAACCATTCATTCATCCATTCCTTCCTTCCTTCAACCCTCTAGACACCCGTCCAGTACCAGGGAGAAAACCATAAAACGCCATGCAGCTAAACAGCCTGAAGAGCCAACAACAACAAAAAGTATTTACGCCATCAAATCATAGATCTTCCCTCACAAATCCCAACCCGCGGGGTATCAAGTGTCGTTGAACAAAACCATAACTTCCAGGAAAACTCCTCCCGTAAACAGGATGCTAGACTGTCTTACATACCAAAGCGAGCAAACAAGCAAAGGTATAGACTATCAAAAAGTTTTTAAATCGAGGAATGTATGATTGTGTCAAGACCAGTTGAGATAGAAAACTTAATCGAATGTCGAAAATAATGATTCAAGAAAAGAGTTAGATAAGAGCGAAACCCTGCCGTAAACAGCATGCTAGACCGTCTATGAAAGACTATCAAAAGTAACATAAGCCCATCCTAACTCAACCGAGAACCATAATCGAGAGTGTATTGTCGAAAAGTATGTGAGAGTATTGAATGATTTCATGACGAAGATGGTCAAAGATGAAGAAATATTTAACCACCGAAACCATAGAGGGTACGGCCTTGTCTCTTCAAAGCGTAAACGACATCGAGGGAAGTGACAGTCTTGCGCTTGGCGTGTTCGGTATAGGTGACAGCATCACGAATGACACCCTCAAGGAAGGTTTTCAAAACACCACGGGTCTCTTCGTAGATCACTGTAATGAGACGCGTCAGAAAATGGAAACGTGGAAATGATATTGATCCAGGTCATTGGACCAAGACGCAATAGTATAGAATGGGATAAAACTTACTGGCAGAAATACGCTTGACACCACCACGACGAGCGAGACGTCTGATAGCTGGCTTGGTGATACCTTGGATGTTGTCTCTCAAAATCTTACGATGACGCTTAGCACCACCCTTTCCGAGACCCTTTCCACCCTTTCCGCCTGTGAAAGAAGATCATTAATACATGTAATAATTAATGCGACGATGTATTGAAGTAAAGTAATTATTATTGTAAGTATATCGACATCATAAAGATGGATACCTTATCGCGTTATGTAGAGGTGGAGATCCAAAGACCAAAACACCAACACCAACACCAAAACATCTCAATCCAAGATCGCGACCGAAGATGACAACAATTGCAAGCTCAATACAGTATATAAAAAAGAATAACTTACGTCCAGTCATGATGAAATAATTATTAAGAAGTGTATTATTTGAACTTTGATAATAAAACGCGTCGAGACGATGTATTGATGATACTTTGATGTAGTAAAATCAAAAAGTAGTAAGTAGTGGGTAGAAAAGTGTTGTTAATAAAATAGAAGATTAAAAAATCAAAACCAAATCCGGGAGGGAATTTGATTCTTTTTGATGGGGAATTGAGTGATCTGTAAAAGGTTTGACGCTAGTACCTTCTTAGAAATTAATGGAAATGTGTAAAAGGTGAGAAACAAATGAAGGTGTTAATTTATTGCCGAGAAAAAAAAATTAAGTTGGTTCAATTTAAATGTTCTTTTCCTTACTCCGTTACGGCTTTGGTGGTTGATGAAAATTGAACACACGGCTCATGGCTGCTGTTTGTTATGTTTGCCTGAAGTGAAGTACTGCGAGTAAAGTGTTCGGTCCAAGCGTGAATCGTGGATCGTCAACTTCTCCTTATTTCCAGGGGTGCATAGATAAGCGAGTACATAGGAATTGATATCATTATCATTTCACTTATTATGAATTGAACTGAACAGATAATATCTACAGTATGAAAGATATTGATATTATACAGTTTCATTGTACATATTTGATTCTATTATATTTTTTTTTAAGTTTATACATAGGCTCAAATGAAAGTAATTAGGCATTGAAATGACATTGGGGTTCCTTCTCATCAATGGAGACTGCAGCTCCTTCATACACATCAGGAATTTAGAACCATACAAGGAAACATAGGAAATCATTATTTTAAATATAGCCCATCTCAAATATCAAAGCCATCCATCCATAAGGAATGTATACCATAAATTCTCAAAACCATTTACTCACCAACCCCAAACTCGAATGTTGGGGAGCTTTATAATGTAAGATTTATATTGTATACAGTAGCGAAAAGTGATCCAGTAAAGAAGCCTCATCCTCATCCAGAGTAAAAAAACACTATAATGAAATCATATCATCACAACAGTGCATGTTTAATTAGTAATTATGGTGAATATGAATTCATTGGATATACGAGTTACTCTAGTTGTATACGCCTTTTGACTTCACTGAAGACGGTACTCAGGGGTGAGCACTAAGTGGTTCGAGGGACCTACTATTACTGAGTTCGTCACCAACACAGTGCATGTTTCCCAAGAATTGCAATACTCTTCACGTTCAATGTTTTAGAATAGTATTTTAGTTCAGCAAATTACATTATTTCTGTATCTTTTCCTCAATAATATTTCCATTGTTCTCAGAACATCGTGTCACTGACGTCATATTCCATGTCTTGCCTCCTACACCTTCATCAGCCTCGGGTTCTGTATGCTTCGACCTGATGGGGGATGACCAAGCCAGTTTCAAGCCAAGTATGATCCCGAAGACATTTCCGACCAGGAGCATTGGAATGGGCTCCATTGTTAGAATCCAGATTGTGTGAAGGATAGCCGGGAAAAGGAAAAGAATCCCAGTGTATCAAAAGACACCTCCCAGCGATATTTGTTCTGATCCAACAACGCAGAGAAACATCCCATAAAGTCCCTGCTCATGAGTCTCGATGGATGAGCTCCCTGAAGAATGTCCATAGACGAAACACAGCGCGTATATCTCCAAGATATACCACAAACTGTTATCCACTATCGCATCATCCATTTTGAAAGAGGAAAGTCTCGATACTTCAATCCTCCCTCATACTAAGAATCGCAACCTAATTTCCTGCTTATGCTCTTGCATCACCTTCGTATATCCGCAGAATTGGCAGTCATCCACTGGATTCGATAACTATGATAATTCCTACACATACTACACCCCTCACAAGTATTTCTTTCCAGCGGCCGCAACACGTCCCCTAAACACCGGACTCGTAACTGGTTGATTGACTTGATAAAACGGGCTCATAATTGTCTTTACCCAATTCTCATAAACTTCGGTAAAGAATTGTTTGATCGCCTCTTCTGTCTGGGGTGAGGTAGGATTTGCACCTATCGACGTACTCGTTCTCGAGGTCGTTGGATTGGCAGGTTGAGAAGGAGAATGTAGAAGCATAAATTTAACATCTGCGCATACATTAGCATATTCTCGATAATTGAATAGAGAAACTTACTTCCGCCCGTCATGAAGCAAGAAACGTAATTATTGTAAAAACGATCAATACATTTCAAATACCTATAACCGCATCAGTTTCCCATCCGAAAACATGAGAAATAATTCCATACATTTGTCCACCACCCCATTGAACCTCCTCGACAATATCCAAACTACTATGAACAATAAATTGATTCATATGTCTTGCCTGTTCTGGAAACCTCGCAATTCCATCACCACCCTGTTTCGCAGTCCCAAATTCATATTCGAAGAGAGGATTATCCTGCGTTCCAATTATCGCGAAATAATACGACATTTTTGCGATGCTTGCTGAAGTTGATGATGAAGGGTTTAGAGAGTTGAGGTTAAGTAGTGGATGCTGATTGGTTCGCGGAATTTAAAGCTTGGCGCGGAGCGGAGGAGCCGATTCTCGAAATTTGAAGAGGATTGATGGAGCGATGAGGTACGACTGGAAAGAACATTGAAGTCAACACAATGTTTGGAGCTTTTAGACCTACGAATGTTATGTCTGGGGGTCTTCTGTGGTATGTTTTGATCTATCCTATGCTGTGATCTTATTTCTTACTGGGCATATGCTAATGGTGGTGCGATTACAGGAAGATCCCATGGCGGCTCTCCAAATTCCAAAAGGCACGACAGCGCAAACGTTTAAGGGCTGTCGATGCGGTGGTTGCTACTGTGGATAGAGCTTTGGCTGCTAAGGGTATCACGACGAAGGCTGTGGAAAGGTGGAAGGAAGAGATGCCTACAGAGCAGGAGATGTTACCAAAAGATAAATACACCATCTTTGATCGGAAAGAGAAGAAATATAGAAAGGGAATTCATAGTAAGTGAAAGATGTGCCATTTAATAGAAGACTAGGTCACTGATTCTATTGCAGAGCTACCAAAATGGACGAGATTATCACAACGACTCAATCCTCCCGGTTATTGACATGGATATTTTGGGTTGGGCTCAATTGCAAGGTCTCTCACCGGAAGATTTGATGTACAATATGCATTAATGGCGTTTGGGACATGTTTATACGAAAACATATGAAAGGGCATAAATTCAATGCTCTGAGATGGCTAGAATCCTAAGAATTCTCCCTACTATGCAGATGCAAGTCACTATTCTGATATCAAATGGATCGCCGCAGTCTTCCTTATACGCCTTCCCGATCACTGCAAAATATCGTACAATCGTCCATCTTTCCAATAATCTATCTACCTTTCCCATATTCTTCTTCTTCTTTCTGTCTTTCGGCTTGAATAGCTCTACCAAGACCTCCTCTGCCCTCATCGTATTCTTCACGGTACTCGTCGCGCACTTGGCCGCCAGACTTTCCACGTCCATATTGTCTCCCTTCCTGAAATCCAGGATCCAAATCTGTTCTAATGATTCGTTCATCGAGCTTTGTGCCACCAATATACTTCATACAATCAAGTGCATCCTGGTGAGTATAATATTCCACGAAACAGAACCCGCAAGGTGTCTTATTGAACCTATCCAATCCCATAATCAATCTCTTGATTTCACCACATTTTGCAAATAATTCGTGAATCTGTTCTTCAGTTGTGTAGAAGGACCTGTAGCCGGAATTGTTAGCTTATGCCCTGAGCCATTGATTGAAAGTACTAAATGCATTTAACATACAAATTTCCCACATAAAGTGTTGTCGCGTCTTTCAAAGGATCATCTGCTGGTTCCTCTGGAGTTCGTTCTCTTCTATCATCCTCTCCGTCTCTCTCATATCTGCGCTTCTTATTCTAAACCGAATTGTTAGTCTAGCTCAGCGCGAGGTTGAAAAGAGATCAGATCAAATAACTTACTCTACCTTGATAATAGGCACTGGGTTTATCCAGCCTATCAACAGTATTTCTTATTGAGCCAGGCATTTTTCTTTTTTTTGAAATTTTGTTGTTTCTTTACTTTACAATCTTTCAAGCAAGGCTGATGTTTTTCTTTGTTTCCTGGGGAACATTTAGAAGCCTTCCAATTAGGTACCTCTGTACCTAGCTTTCGCGACGCGCTAACATAGCCTGATATCAAATCGTCCAACCTTCAAAAAAAGTTCCAGACTCAATTCTCTTCTATTCCTGGCAACATACAAGAGCTTTCTATTTCTGAGCTTTTACGAATGTGCTGAGTATCAAAAAATATATAAAATTGAGCTAAGAGGTATCCAGAATGCCTCAAGTTCTTGGTTATACACCTACCTGGCTTTCGAAGCCAAATCCAGGCCATGAAATATTTACAGCCGGACCTACGATCAATCAGCAAGCTTCGGGAAATGGTTACAACTCCAACAATGGGAAATCGAACAAATCGGGACCGAGAAAAACGATTGCACGTAGGGGAACGGAAGTTTTCATTGCTGTTGGGAAGGAAATTCGATGGGCGGATCTCGTATATTTGAAGGAGACATGGGAAAACAAACAGGAAAATCAGAGAAGCTTTCTGAAAGGCAAATCACTAGCTGCAGAGGAGATTGAAGCTGGACCGGATGTTGCTCAGGGCTATAGAGTGAGTTGTCAAGCTTGTGTTTATCAATTCTGGATGCTAATGTTTAGTAGACACTCAAAATTCCAGTGGCAGATGAAATCCGACAGTTAATCATCTCCCCAAATTCGAACTTTATGGCGATTCTAACGACTCATACTGTACATATCGCAATTTTACCTGAACCTTCGCATCTTACATCTTCGGAAAAAGGTCCTATGAAGATCAAGACTTTTCACCTTGGCCCAACGACACATGTTACATCTCGATCTGGAATATCATCTGCACTGTGGCATCCATTGGGCGTCAATGGGACATGTTTAGTTACAGTTACAAAGGATGCGGTTGTTCGCGTATGGGAGCTTTCCACAACTGACCGCTGGTCTTTTGACAAACCGACCCTTGCGATTGATTTGAAGAAACTGGCCGATGGAGTGTCGGCTGATCAGGACTTTGGAGCTTCCATGGCTGGACAACCTAGTAAATTCTCTCCGGATGCCTTTGAGATGGAAGTAGCATCAGCATGTTTTGCTGGCAGAGGATCTGGAGGGTGGTCGCCAATGACTCTTTGGCTCGCAATGAGAGAAGGGGATGTATATGCTCTTTGTCCATTATTGCCTGAGAAATGGGCTCCACCGCCCACACTAATTTCTTCGCTCTCCGTCTCGATTGTATCCAATGTTGCCGCCATGGAAGATGATCCGAATGTACCTCGGATTAGTAAACTACTTGCACAACAACAATTGGACTGGATGTCAGACATTGATAGTCAAGATCCGATTCAGGTCCAGGGATCTTCGGGCGAGCCACCAGTCGAGGTCTACAGTAGGCCCTCTAGGCCAGGGAAAGTACCAAGGTTACAAGGTCCGTTCGGCTTTGACCTAGCTCCGCAAGTTGAAGATGACGAGGAAAATGAGCTTTTCACCGACATTTACGTGATCGGGCCAAAGATAGACGCCGAAGAGCTCATGGATGGAGAGGAGGACGATGAATTCGAATTGGATGAAGTTGACAAAGACGGATGTTCTATGAACGTAATATGTCTGCTTACTACGAGTGGACGCCTCACGATATGCCTAGATCTTGTGGGCATTGAGGCACAATGGTTGCCAAGATCGAATTCAAGGATACTACGATTTCTGGACGACCCCGAACCGCCTGGCTTGTTAACATATGAAGTCTTGGAAACTTCCAAATCAAAGGAGACCTGGGCAGGATGTTGGCCTGTTTTCAGCCATGACGTCGAGTCGAGATATTCATTCTTCGTCACCAATAATTCGAACATCACATACATATCACTCTCTTCATGGGCTTTTAAACTGGAAGATGAATTATCCAATGGCGCAGATTCTAACGTCCGGTTAGGTGTAGTCATCAGCACTCCATCGGAAAGACAAAGGATCTATACACCACCCATGATTGACCGAAATGCTCCTCTTGCAGCCAGCACAGTTATTCAAGATCCAGACCTTGGTTATTTCCTTCTCTCAGCAAATGCTCATGGGCCATTATCTGTCATCTTTGAATCACCCGATTTTCAAGTTGGTTTCAGCCGTAGCCGTGGGCGTTTAGAATCATATGATTCCGAAACAGACAATGAAAAGCCTTTGGTTCTATTCGAAGCTCGGCCAGTATATCAACCCTCCTTTGCATTCGAGCAAACCTCTGAATTGCCCGCCTTCCACGAAAAGATCTCTCATAGCAAATACAAGCGTTTACTAAAAGAAGAGATCAGGTTATCACCTGCTACACTTACTGTCATGACAGATGCCCACAAGGTTCTCAGCGAAGAAACCCATCGCATTGGTACCGCCGCTGCAGAATTGTTCCGAAAATGCATCAAGCTACAAATTGAGCTTTCAAAACATATCAAACAAGCTAACGACATCGCAACGCGTGTTGAATCCGTTATTGGCGAGGATTACGATGAGGGTGATGATAAATCTCGACTTCCACCAAATGAGAACATAGAGCAGAGGATAAGGAAAGCGCAGGAAAAGCAAAAGATGCTCAGTGAACGTATTGAAAATATTAGGAAGAAAATACCCAAGAATACTCAGCATGAGCTAAGCGACAAGGAAAAAGCGTGGGTGGAAGAGGTCCGCAATCTTAGCGGGAAGGTCCTTGGTGAAGATATGGAGGGATCAAATTCGAGCATGGTGAAGGTTTCAAAGGATCCTTGGCAGAGATACGAGGAGGTTAAAGAAATCAAAGATGACGTTTTGAGTCAGGCGAATGAATTGGTGGTTAAAATAGAGAAGAGGAAAGATGAAGCGGAAGGGGAGGAGGAGAGGGATGAGGATGTAGGAAGGGATAGGGATGTACAGGTTCCTTCTGAATTAAGGAGGAAGAAGGTGGGACAGATTATGAAATTGCTGGATCGGGAGACGGCTTTGGTGGAGGCGACGAAGGGAAGATTGGAGAGATTGAGTTTAGCTTAAAGGTAGTGGATTATGATTGGTGGTGGATATTGTTTAGATGGGACTTTGTGCTATGGAATTGGGGTTTCAATGGTGATTGTGAGTTGAAAAGGGCAAGAGGTGAAATTGTATGATATGAGACGCTAGGTATGCTATGATAACCCTCCCGATACGTCATGCGCGAATGTTTAGATAGATACCTTCATTTTACATATATTAGCATGCGAGCATTGAGCAGTGTATTTGTCCAGATGAAATAAAATAAATGTTAGTGGTTGTTGATGTCTGGAATCTGGATGGATGGATAGATGGTTGGGGAAGTGCAGGTAATCTTATATATTTGCAAAATTTACAAGCAGCAAGGCAGGCTAACTCGCCCCGCTGTAGAACAAAAGGTTTTCTTGAACGATGGACGATGAACAAAAGTTGAAAATTTTCATAACTCACTTTGTCAATCTCGTGGGCTTATTTTTATGGTACTAAATCAATGGTTGGGCTCTTGTTTGGCTGGTTGAGTCTTCGATTCTCAAATCGACCCTAAGCAGCGTTTTGAGGTACTTCAATATCTCCTTTGTTGATATCGATCCAAGTGGAACGATTCGAGTAGAGGGTAATCTCAATCATGCGCTTCCAAAGTCTACTCTCAAGGAAATCAAAGATTTCTTTTCAGTCAACTGCATTAGCTACGACATTCATAGTCAGCGTTTTGAAGCACTTCTAAATTCATATGCTGGTTGGCCTTGAATGGAATTCTGCTCTGTTGATGTTTAGGCTGGGGAATTCTCAACAAACACATGTTGGCACCAAGTTGTCACGGAATCCAAATTGGATCAAATATGCAGAGGGGCGGTAGTAAGCCAGTGCTTGTCCAGGTGCTGAATTATGCGGAAAATCTGTTTATTCCTCGCAGTTCTGTGCGGAAAATGGTGGAAGATTTTTCGAACTGGGAGAATCTAGCCCACTATTTAGTTGTTTACATTTCCTTTATCTCTTTTATTTTCACTTGATATATAGTGTCTTTCCCTTACAACAGCATAGCACCGATCAGTGTTCCTTTATGAATGCTCTTACCCTCAACAGAGTGGTTCAATGCTCTGCTTTGTAGTTTACCAGTTCCATCTTGGAAGTAATGACATTAGTTCAGGCCTTCCATTTTCAACACTTGCTTTGTTGCATACATAATCAACGATAAAGACAGGGATCTAGCTAAGCTTGAAGTTACTGTCTTCCCCGTGCACATCAGCTGTTACGCAGTCTTTCTCAGGGTTCTTTAAGTAACATACAGCGATGGAGTGAGTAGGTATAAAAACGTCCTTTCAGATTTTTAGTTTGAAATCTCTATAATCTGAGCTATGTAGATTAGGATTTAATCCCCACAATTCTAGCGCATAACCCACGACTACTCCCGCTCAACTCAGCCAGGCAGAACGAGATCTAGTTTTCAGCCTCAGACATATAATCAAAAACTATTCAAGCTATATAAGATGATTTCTCTAAATTCCAGAATTTATGGGGCAATATTTGATTCTCGTGTAAATCTTTATTCGATGCTATCGGATCATTTTTCTTATCTAGCTTTACAGGACGAGGGGTTGTCAGATATTGCACTACTCGAGTCAAATGCTACTTTCAACCAAAATTTAACAGAGTATTTTAATGTTCCTCACTCAATCTTGAGTCGATTCTATTCAACCTGAACTCATTCAGTATTCAACGATGCTTCAGTCTCTGGTATCTCTGCGAGGCACGGGGTACTAGCAGCTAGGAATAGGTAACAAATAGAGTCATGTGTCCTGGACAGTCTGTTTGTGTTTTGCTTTCACCGGGTCATTGTCTCGCCGGATTTTCAGAGTGAACAACTAACGAAAGTCAAAATCCAAAATTCTGAAAAAAGGTTCTGCCCCTTCGCTTAACTGTGTGGCTTTGTAGTCATTTTCAACAGACTGCCGTACCTGCCGTACTTAATCAACTAGTATACTCATTGACGGCTGTACTCCATCCAATTTGGTTTTTGAGTGGCTGTAGTGCTGAACTAGCCCCATGCTCAATATATCGGTACGGTCACTACGTCTCTATAAGAGAATCTTCGAGCGTAAAAAAAACACTCTCTCTACCAACAACTACATAACACATACCTTCAATAGTTGACTTCCAAAAACTTCAAAATCAACTGTGCCACTCCAAACAGAACAAGAACAAGCTTTCGAGATCAGCCAGGTCTCCCTTTTACCAACTTCTAAGTTCGACCCAAACCTCTATCATACCGCCAGCAACAGTCGAGAAAATGGCGATTTGTGTATACTACCTCGTCGGCCGATGCTTAGCGGGAATCAAATGTCATCACAAGCACACAGGTCCAGCCTTCCCTACCCCATGCAAGAATTTCGTTCTCCACAACACCTGTACCTGGGGGGCGAGATGTCGATATGCGCACCCAACTCCGGTTGCCGCAGAAGATCCCGACCCTTCTCGTTCTTCCTGCAAAAACTTCCTTTCGAGACGCGGATGCAAGTTCGGATCCAAGTGCCTCAATTATCACCCAGGAGCCGTGAAAAAGGCAGATCCTAGCTCGATTCCAGCTCCGCCATCAACTCAATCCACCACAATTACACTGATAGCTTCGAAGGCTACAGATATTGTCAGTAGCATATTGACTCGGGATGAATTTGCTAGTATAGCGTTGGCTTCATTAACGGAATCTGATTCCACTCCTGATCTTCCATCACTTCAATCTATCACGGCAGCACCAGCAGGTTCGAAGGCCACAGACATTGCCAATGTCAAATTATCTCGGGATAAACCTGCTAGTACAGTGTCGACTCCATCAATTGAATCTAAGTCTACTGCAGGTCTTTCGCTACCTCAACCCACCATGACCAAAACGACAGCTTCAAAGGCTACAGACGTTGTCAATGTCAAATTATCTCAGGATAAATCTGCCAGTGAAATCTCAGCTCCATCAACGGAATTTAGCTCCACTCCAGATCTCTCACTACTTCCATCCACAACAACGAAATTGGCGGGTTCGAAGGCCACGGATACTGCCGATGTAAAATCTTCCGATGTTGAGGTTGACACAATGCTTGCTTCATTAGTGAATCCTAGTTCTGATGACGCTGCTACATCGCCACCAGCACAAACCCCTCTTTCACTTGATAGGGATCAGATGGATGCTACCTACATGAGAAATTCCTATGATGAATTTAATAGTACAAAGCCAGCTCCATCAATAAATCCTGGTTCTAATCTGACAGCTCCACCATCCCAATCACTCACATCTGTTCCAGCCAGTTTGAGCAACACAGACGAAATCGGTGACGCATCTTTGACGGATATTACGTCCGTTGGCGGTAGCTACGAGCTAGTTCGATCTACAACTCGAAGCCCATCCCTCATCGACAGCGAGTATGACACTTCGTTATCCACCGTTTCAGAAGAAGCGACTACAACCAAGCTAGTTCAATCTGACTCAGGTATAGATCTTGCTGATCGCGTGAATAACAATCAGCAATTTAACAATTTTGCGGATCAATCGGCTGCACCATTAATTACACCACCAAATGATTCTTCAACTGGCCTCGGATTAGTATCCGCAGTTCAGTCTGCCGATTTAGATCCTCCGACAAACCAGTTACCCAGTTTCATGGATGGGGTAACGCATGTCCATAGCCCGAATGACACTATTCTATCAACTGCTACAGAAGAGATATCGATTAGCCCATTGATTACAGCACCAATCAACCCTAATATTGAGCCTACACCAGCATCTGCAGTTGAAAGCACCAACCCAGATCTGCCAGCAAACGATTTCTTTTACAAGTTGATTGCAGCATCTGCGGCTGCGGATAAACAGCGTTTGGAGGAGACTTCATCCATTTCTACAAATGATCAAACAACTATTAATAAGCTCTCCCCTTCAGTCATAGACTGGTCAGCTGCAACAACACCCTCTAATCTTGAGCTAGAAGGACCTGGCATCTACGGGCGCGAAATTTGGTACGTATACCCTTAAAGTGCTCTATGTTTTCCCATCTCTAATCACACCTATTCCATGCTAACAAATTATTTTTATTACAGTCATAGTGTAGTTCTATGCACATGGCCCCAAGAGTGGAATATCCCAGCATTCGCCATAGTCGACGCTCTTACTAACCTAGCATCAACCTTTGGAGAAATCGTATGCCAACCATTTTATCGCAATGCCGGCTTCAGCCACTCCCTTCAATTCAAATTTCAACATCCTCATGAGGCGGCTGCGGCTTCTGCACAATTGAACAATCAGTATATCAACGTTGCTGGTACATATATGAGTGTTCAGACCTCAGTTACTCACCAAATCACAGTCACATACATGATACCTCAATACATCATCGAGTCACTAGGTCGCCACGGTCAAGGAAATCTCTACACACTCTTCGAGCAAAACTTTTGTCAGCTTCAGTGGAATAATTTCCATCGTTATTACTTATCCGGTGAACTAGTTACCGAAGTTACGATTATGGGTATGTACGAGGGACAGGTGGCGCAGTGCAAAGCTGTCCTTGAGGACCTTATTAGAGGTAGAGTGTTGACTCATGAGGAAGGTGATAATAGACCTCTTTGGCACGACTTTTTCCATACAGAAGAGGGAACAAAGTGGCTTAGAGAGAAGACGGAGGATGCTTTTTATTTGAGGGTGCGGGCGGTGAGAATGGCGAATTTAAATGTTTTGATGATTTATGGATCGAGTGAGTTGACGAGAAATGAATTTGGAGGGATAGTTAAGAAGAAGATTGCGGGGTTGGTGGAAGGAGATAAGAAGACTGCGGAAATTAGTGCTGTGGTAGCTGAGGAGGTGAGATTGATGAGATTGAGAGTTTAGGGGGGGGGGGGTTTAGGAATGCTTTGTTCGGAGGTTTTAAGCTAGGAGGGAAGGAAGGATAGTGATAGGTTACATGCTTTTATGACTTCTTTGCGGAATTCTATTAGTGTTATTTCTTTGAAAAAAAAAAAAAAAAAAAAAAAAATATGGGATATATGAGATGCACTTACAGTGACAAAGTGAATATATTTTCCATGTAGCTTTTCGACGATTTGGGTTTTAAGGGGAGGGGAGAACTTGCGAGAGGTTATAATATTGGCAATCCCAACATGCGATTTCCTTCCGTTAGCGATCTGCTTTTCTTCTTGAGCGAAGAGCTTGTCTCAATGTTGGATGTTCTTTATGTGTGCAGCCTTCGGCTTGGGAGGAGCTTCTAACAGATGGGAAAGGGTTACTTTGATAGGCATCGAAAAGTCCATCGTAGGGGGTAATTCCTCGGGCCATATCAAACAGCGTTGTCGAAAGTCAACGGGAATGTTGTGATGTGCAAGCCATTTATCACCGAGTATGATATCATGATTTCCTAGCTTTAAAATCAAGAAGGGCAGTTGATCGATCCGTCGATCGTCGATTCGCAAAGACAAAATGATAATATAAGAAATCAAGGGACCCAATGTATCATCAAAACCTTTAGATTAGGTTTGTTAAGAGGGATGGGGTCAACTTCCAAGAAAGAAAAAGCAGTATAGGTATAGCGAATATCAATAAATGCGAAACTGGTTATCCTTTGATTTCGCAGTGATCTTTTGGAGCTTCAGATTACCAGGGCAATCAGGGTATTTGTGTTCAACCTTGTTGCATTTGTAGCACCTACCGACATTAGGATCAGCCTTGTTGGTGCGATCGTGGTTCTCCCTTTGGTGTGGTTGTCGACGCTGGAGCACGGAATTGAGGTCTTGGCTTATTTGGGTCGAACAGGTTGGTAGGGAAGGCATTACGGTTGTTACTTGTAGGGTTCGATTTAATGTTTTACTTTTATTGAATCAATCTTGTTTATACAAGTTTGGGGGTAGAAATAGCGAAGAAGCCCGAAATTGATATCGAGTTTTACCTAAAAGCAAGCATATCAACGAGCTTTCCGATTTTAATCCTGTAAAAGTTTTAATTGGAGATTTCAATACATTTCTATGTGAATATAGTAAGTTTAGAATAATATAAAAACTATATCTAAGTAAATCACATAGAATTCAAAAGGCTCTTTCGATTATAATAAAAATATAAAATTCTAAACTAAAAAAATAAGAGAATAAGAGAATAAGAGAATAAGAGAATAAAAGAATAAAGTTAATAAGAAATCTCAAAGAAAATTCGGTTCCCTTATCTTAAAAACCCTTATCAATCAATTCCTCATGTGACCTAAGTGAAGGTCCGTCACAAGTTGGTTCAGACAGCGATGATTGAAGGATCATGGGAAAATGCACGGAAGGCTGATGAGGCTCGCACGATAACACTAGTAAATCAGAAAATTTAAAAGATAATGACAAATTAAAATGACATTTTAACATATTTCAAGTTTCGACCTTGCTGAATTGGTATTACGGCACTTAAGCGCTCCAATGATAACCCGTGCATACTACGTTGCATCACAACCTAGTCGACTCATAATGGCATTTGACTTACAACGACTTCTCCTCTCTCCTCCTCCCAGCGCACTCTTCCAAGAGCACAGATATGGAGGAAGCACCAGCACCACAGGCCTCTCCCTTGCTGGCTGATTCGGCTCAACCTCAGGATGCCGCTCAGGATATCAATCCCTGGAGCGTTAGCGGTGCCGTTGTCGACGGAAAGCTGAAGGAGATTGACTACAATCGACTCGTCCAAACTTTTGGAACACAATTGATCTCCACCGACCTCCTGGAGCGCTTCGAGCGAGTGACAGGCCATCCGGTGCATCCTTTCCTTCGGCGAAATCTCGTCTTCAGCCATAGGGACCTTGACTGGATTCTTAGTCGGCATGAGAAGGGCGAGCCCTTTTTCTTGTACACCGGTCGGGGACCTAGTAGCGACAGCATGCACCTGGGCCATATGGTTCCCTTCACATTTACCAAGTGGGTAGCTTTTTTATTTCATGGCGATGGGTCCAAGAAATACTGATTATTATGCTCAGGTGGTTGCAAGATGTTTTTGATGTGCCTCTGGTCATCATGATGACCGACGACGAGAAAATCATCTTCGGCAAAAAAGCTCACACTTTGGAGGAGATGCGAGCATTCACCCGCCAAAATGCCAAAGACATTTTGGCCGTAGGTTTCGACCTGAAAAAGACATTCTTATTTAGTGACTTCGACTTCATGGGCAAAGCTTTCTACGAAAATGTGGTGCAGATATCTCGCCTCATCACGTACAATACGAGTAAAGCAGTCTTTGGCTTCAATGACAGGTACCACAATCCCTTTATGCCATCGTGTTTGCAGGGGAAGCATTTACTGATCCTCTGTTGCGCCCTCGTTACAGTGATAACATTGGCAAATCTCACTACGTTGCAGTTCAATCAGCTACAGCCTTTGCAACCACTTTCCCTCACATCTTCGGACCAGACCAGAAAAAAAACGCCAAAATCCCCTCTCTCATCCCATGCGCGATCGATCAAGATCCCTATTTCCGCGTCTGTCGCGATGTAGCACCGCGTCTCGATTACTGCAAACCGGCATTGATCCACGCTAAATTCTTCCCGGCACTACAAGGCCCTGGATCCAAAATGAGTGCTTCCATTGATTCCAGCGCCATTTTCATGAATGACACCATGAAGCAAATGTACGTCTCATTCTGAAAAATAGCTAGGATATCTCCTAATCGTGTCTACAGTGAGAAGAAAATTAATAAGTATGCATTTTCTGGTGGTCGTGACACATTGGAGGAGCAACGTCGATTGGGTGGTAATCCAGACGTGGACGTTTCCTATCAATATCTCAGTTTCTTCTCCGATGATGATGAGGAACTCGAGCAGATCCGGACTGGCTACGTGAAAGGAGAGCTTCTCACGGGCGAATTGAAGAAGAAATGCATCGTCAAGCTGCAAGAATTTGTGAAGGCGTATCAAGCTCGTCGTGCAACAATTACGGACGAGCTGCTTGATGAGTTTATGAAGGTGCGGCCTCTTGTGTGGCATCAGGGTGGAAGAAATTCGGGTAGATGACTATGAAAATGATAATGAATTCAATGATAGAATGATATATTTAAAATATTTGAGATCTCCCGGGCAGATTTTGTCCAGCGGTTCAAATCCCCCATCCTCATCCTCTCCCATCTGTTACGAGGTTTGCCGTCTAGATCACGTGGAAGTGCTCTAGGCTCTCGAGATGGTTTATAACTAGGCGTCAAGCAGGGACTTAAAGTAATGACAATAATGCAATTCGTAACTAATAGTAGAGTATACTAAATGATCGATCTTGAGCACGAAGCTCTATACAAAGGAAATCCATCTTGATTATATAGTCCTTCATGCTTCCATGATTACTGGTGATCCTTCATGATCATTAGTGATCATCTATATCGTGATCCTTAGTGATCCTTAATGATCACCAGTGATCACCTATACCGTGATCCTTAGTGATCCTTAATGATCACTACTGATCATTTGTGATCACGTGTCTTGGTAGTTGTGTAGCCCGTCGTAACACCATCCTATCCTAGGCCCAAAAAGGAGGCCTTATATCCTGTAAATTTTATAAATATCCTTATTCTATCTATTCTTTAAAAAAATCGAATTTATCTCATTTTAAATAAAAAGATATAAATAATATTACATAATATATATCAAAGAAATAATAAATTGTTACAACGGATCTCACATACCTAACATCACGTGATTAGCATCATGTGATATGAGGATCCCAGTAGGCTCAGCTGTCCCAGTACAACTGGGACAACTGGGAGCACTAGGACGCATGCCACGATGGTCTATATAATCAAGATGGATTTCCTTTGTATAGAGCTTCGTGCTCAAGATCAATCATTTAGTATACTCTACTATTAGTTACGAATTGCATATCATTATTGTCATTACTTAGGTCCCTGCTTGACGCCTAGTTATAAACCACCTCGAGAGCCTGGAGCACTTCCACGTGATCTAGACGGCAAACCTCGTAACATAAATTAATCTTAATATTAAAGAATATAATAAATTATAAATCGAAAATAAATTAATTTATAAAAAGAAAGGATTTAATAGATTATTATTATAAAAATATAATTTTTTATAAGATAATAATAAGATTACAATTATAATAGGAATAACTTTAGATTCATCTTTTTTTCTCCTATTCTATTCTGAATTCTATATATCCTATTATATCCTCAAAAATTTTTATATCTTTATCCTACTTATCCTTCAAGTTAAAATTATCCTGCTTATCTTTAATTCAAGAATAGGATAGGATGGGAGATATGAAACACTGATTTTGTCTAACTGATTGGCTCAACAGTAAATGGTACTTCGCTCTCCAGGCTTTCCACTCGGCCTAGCAAGAATTCCAAATGTCTGAACGCCGCACTAGGTTGATACTGGGGAACTGAAAACCACATTAGTTTGCGTTGACCCACGATCTGGGCTGACTTACTCATATGTCCGCACAAATTGACTTCCACAAACGTCAACCCTCTTTCCGACCTTGTTCGACCCATGATTCCTGACGCGGCTGACATGTTTGCATCCGGCGGGACATAAAACGTCCCATCAATCGGACCTTGAAAGCCTTGCTGCCCACTCCACGTCATATTCTGGATCGCAAGGAGCGTCGCGTTTGGGAGAATCGTGTAGTCCATGTCACCTTGGCCAATAATGGCTCGACTGACCTTTTCGATGACCCGTGGCAAAACCGTCTGACTGGTCCACAGACCAGCGGCGGCCGTCAGATCGGTGTCGTTGACGAAAACCGGGTTGTTCGTGCACTCGGACCAGGTATAGTTAGGAGCATGAATAGCCTTTTGGACTTCGGGTCGGTTGAAATAGATAGATGCGCCAGCTGGAACGTAGCTGTATGCCCCAGGGGAGCCGAGTACATCCCAAAGATTTGGACATGTCGTCGCTAGATGATAGGGGTCCCAACACTGCCTTTGGTGAGCAATAACTAGGAAAATAGGAGAGAGAAGCGCTTACCGGGTTGGGAATGAAAGCATTGTCTCCGATGGTATAGTACAGATCACAACCCGAGGGAGCGGGTGGCATCGGCCCAATTGGAGGAAAAGTCATATATTTCTCGATGAAATCGGTCGCGCCGCATGACTTGGCTCGTGTACGAATTTCATCAGCAAACGTTTGATTGAATGCAAACAGCTTCGACCAAGTCTCGTACGTAGAATATGCAAAGAGCTCTCTCTCGACATCATTGGATGCAATGGTCGGGTCATAAATCATGATGCCGTCCAGGTTGTAAAGACTGGTATCATTTGCATCTAACATTGCGTTCGCAATGTAAGGAACGAACATTCCTGCAACTCAGAAGGTCAGTGGTTTACGGCCTATTTGACCAGAGAAACAGAGTACAGAAGGCATCACGAACCAGCATACGACTCTCCCGTTAGGTAAATTTTCTTGCCCTGAAGTCCGAACAGCTCCACAAAATTCTTCATGAAACCTAAGAATTGTGTAGCTACATCCACTTCTGAAGTCACATTTGCCTGACCAACCGAGAAGCCTGTCCCGAGAGGTTGATCGATCCAGATCATGTTAGTGAGACGGTGCCAACTGTATGGATTGGAGACGGGCTTGAAGGTGCCATACTGCCATAGAAAGGGCCCGTTCTCTTGGAGGAAGCCTTCCAGTGAGCTACATCCTGGGCCGCCGTTCAACCATATGGTGATCTCCTCAGTCGCATCAGGATTCGTCGAGGGGAAAAACCAGAAGTAGAGTTTCCGGTCCTCGTCGGGGAGACTGGAAATTGGGAGTAGACCAGCATATGACTCTCCCACGTCAAATTCAACATCTGGGATCGCGGAACCATCCACGGCGAAGGCTGTAAGAATGGCATCTTATCAGCATCTACAATTATATCCTGAAGTCAAGTCAGACGAACCTTTTGTTTGCTCATTCAAATATTGTCCACTACGCCTCTCGACACTCTGATGCTGCGAGTCCTTAGCCGAGTGAGCTGCTTGGTGTAGGCGGCGCTGCTCATGGAATGCAGCATGGCCACGGCCAGGACCACCATAGCTACTGAAAGCTCCTGCTGCTACGCTTGAAGCCCGCAGCAGCCACAACAGCCAGTATGCTACGGCCGCAATGCTTCTCGGCCACATCTTACGCTCTCTCATCGTTCAATGGAGTCAATTATGCACCTCACTATTGAACTCTCAGTGATAAAATTGGCACGGGATTTGAGGATCGTAATTGGAAAAACTCAATTAATTGGTACGTGTCATGTTATTGTTCTAGGTCTAACACAAAGATGGCCTATTATGTAGGTATAGCCAGTATCTCACCGTCTTTCCCGGTGCATTTCCTAGCTAAATGGACGCCTGAGCCAAGACTACTGATTTCTTAGTCCATTTACATATCTCGAAGTAAAATTAAAATTCAACCTCAAAATACTATAACCTCAAGTTGAAGTATAATTTATAAAACTGGACTTGCTATAATTGTGACAAATTAGAATACCAATTTTTATCGTTCCGGTGCTAGAATTTGAGCCCAGAATATTTCCCATACAAATTTCGGTGATTCGGCTAGACGAGAAACATCCATCAATTACGATTAGACTACGCAGAAATAACCCACAACCCACAGGTACCCACGGATAATCTGCTCTATAGATTACCCACCAAGACTATTATCTGTTTTATAAATTATCTATTGAGACTTTAAAATAATCTAATCTATATAAGTTATTTATTAATTATTTATATAAATATTAATATAATATTAACATAATATTGATACAATTTTATAATTGATAAAAAAATTAATATAAATACTATAATTTTAAGTTTGGATTATATAATAATCCGAAAATAGTTTCAAATTTTAAATGAGGCATTTAAAATCTATAAATAATCTATAAATATCTATTCAGGTTTCTCAATAATCTATCCTGTAAACAGATAATCCATAGATTAGCCATTAGGTCGATAACTCGCTCTGCGGGTACCTGTTGCGCGGCCTAATTACGATATCTACTGGTGGAGTCACTGAGGATACACCAGGTGTCGCTAAAGCCCTGCGGGAACCAAAAACTGCCGAAAGCGGCACGTGTGCATTTATATTATATAAGGTTGTAATTCGGAGTGGCATTTATTTAATACTCGTGCGGCCAATAAGTATAAAACACTCCACTATTAAGCACATACCACAAGATGGTAAACTATAAAGAAATTAGTGGCCACCTATAAGTGGACGTGTTTTCTACTTTCTGGCAGCATGAGTAGTTTGTTATCGCGACTCGCTAAGGCGGGGCTAAGTACACCTTCCTATGCCGGTTAATGGGTAAAGGGAGGATTGTTTTCCTTGCCTTCATCAGTGCTTATGGTGCTTTATCAGTAAGACCTACTCGTGCTGCCAGAAAGTATATGGCTGCTGTCCACTTAAATATGGGCCACTATTCCTCTTGTAGTTTACCATTATGTGGTATGTGCTTAGAAGTGGATAGCCATATGCTTACTGGTAGCACGAGTAGAATGACAACTCACTTTCCCACTTGCCACAAAATGGCGCGAGATTCGGCCCCATAGCACGATCTGACATGCATAAATAAACTTTGAGTTGATCTCGCCAAGAAAACCAATCAAGCTTTCATCAAGCTTTCGTTTAGTACCTGCCCAGCTTATCAAGTAGGGTTCTTGTCAATTTGCCATGATGGCACGAAACACACTTGATGAGCAACAACGCGCGCTTTGCGTTTCCCCCTCACCCCAGAAAAATTATTGAGTCAAGCGATTGTTGTCTTCGAAGCGGAAGGTGGCATCAGAGTGTGAATACGAGTAAGGTAGAATTCCTTGAAGGATGTACGATCTGCATGATAGTCCCTTCCTGAACCGTGCAATTAGAACAATAGGCAGACTGCACAGAAATAATCCGCAATCTGCGGGTACCTGTGGATAATCTGCCATGTGAGTTATTTATCAAAACTATTATTCATTTTGCAAATTACTCATTGCAATTTTAAAATAATCCGATCTATATAGGTTATTTGCGGATTATTCACAAATAATCTATTTAATTATAGGTTAATAAATTATTTATAGATTACAAGATTAATTATATAAATATTGATATAGTATTAATATAATTTTATAATTAACATAAAAATTAATATGAATATTATAAATTTAAATTTGGATTATATAATAATTCAAGTATAATTTCAAATTTTAAACAAGGAATCTATAATTCATAAATAATTTATAGATTGATGAATAATCTACAGATAATCCACAATTAATCTACAAATATTCATTTATATTTCTCAATAACATACTCCGCAAACAAATAACCCACGGATTATCCATTAGATCGATAACCTGCCCCGCGAGTACCCGTTGCGCAGCCTAACAGTAGGTAAGACCTTGAGATGTACATACTGCATGAACAAAGGATGTTTTTCCGGCCGATGGCGGAATGGCGAGGAAGAGGGGTTAAATGCTCTCCCATCGTAGTAGTGATCATGAATCTTTTCGATTCCGAGTGGCATACAGTTCCTTCAAAGTCCTAGCCCTTCTAGTGCAAAAATCCAAGAGCACCCAACATTAGAATGAATCAATCTACCAAACAAGATGGGCTCTCTGAGCCTCTGATGTCCGACTCCGATTCTGAAGCTGAAGCAAAACCTCAGACCCGATTTCCAAAACAGATGACCAAGAAGAACCGCACTCAGATCCTTCTTTTCGTCCTCCTGGGAGTTCTTGTTACATCGTTGCTATGGAGCTTGGTTGTTATCGCCCTTCTTAGTCAGGCACGAAGAGCGAACTCGCAATCCTCGTATGACGGAAGTCTTGAACTCAGCAAAGGAGGAGACTCTCAGAAATCGGGTACATCGTCTATCAACATTCTCCATTGCGGTGATAGCCCCGATGAGGCGAGAGCAATGGGTTGCAAGTTTCAAATCCATACCTATGCATGGGTTCCCGCACCGTGCTTCGATCCAGTCTTGCAAGAGGAATGGCTGAATCTTCGAGACTGGGAGTACTATACCGACAAGTACGACGAAGGCGAGCAGGTGGACATCTCTGTGGCCTTGGCGGGGGAGAGAAATCTATATTCGACGTGGGGTCAACACATTGAGCACTGTGCCTTTACATGGAGGAAATTCACTCGTTCACAGTCAGGCTCGGGGGTTTTGTTGACTAATCGAGATCTCTCTTACGAACATGTTCATCATTGTTCAGATGCACTGCGGACGAAGTTTGAGCATCCATGGACCGACGTGAATACGAGGGTGAAGGTGGAATTTCATATGTGCTAGACAGATTTAGCCACGGAATTGGGGCGGAGGGACAGAATTTCAATCTTTAGATCATCTTGCTGTGTCAAAACTTAAGCCTAAATTCAATTGCAATTCATTTCGCTCCTAATTTCAGAAAGCCAAACATGAATGTGAATGTGTATGCTAGAAACATGCTTGCTCTGCTGTCCACTCAGAAAATATATTTCTCATTCAGTTATGTAAGAATATTTTTCTCATTCAGTTGTGTAAGAATATATTTCTCATTCAGTCGTGTAAGAATATATTTCTCATTCAGTTATGTAAGGAGACATACTACGGATTTTCTATATACAAGGAAACCTAAACTTAGAATATACTATGGCTATGGCTATGGCTATCCTCATGATGTCCAGAGTGGCCGGCCATTCCTTTCGCCTTGTCCTGTTCCTTGGCCATCTGCTGCGCCGTGCCATTAAAAACCACGTGCTCCTTCACCCAGTCCACAATAGGCTCCCACTTCCGACATTTGTGTAAAGTGTTGAAGCTGGGACTTTCACCATCGAAGCCATCCGGATCGTTCCAAATGAGGTACGGAGTAACATCCGCAGTGCACATCAAATTCATCCGCAATGTCTCGATGCAATGATCGACGTGCCAACGCACCATTTCTGGTCCACCGTGCCAGGACGACTCGTTGCTGTAGTCCCAGTCATCTTTGTAGGTGTATTGTCGAATGAGATTCTGAAACACTAACTTAGCCAACTAGATCTGAAATGATCCAGACATACATACCAGGCAATGGATTTGATGGAACCCCTCCAGTAAGCCGACAGTAGGACTATCAGGCACCCCCGGATTGACACGACGCCAGTCGATGTCCTTTGACTGATTCAGAGCCTCGATTTTATTAATAGGAACCGGAAATGCCCCATCTGTACACGAGTCAGAGCTGTCCTTTGCCAGTATCTTTGTGACATATCCACTGTGCAGGACTGCTATTCAAAAATAAATTTTCAGCGAGGACTGGACTTACATTTCCACAAATCCGTCCATGCCTGTTCAAGTCCAGCATTCGGCTTTCCTCGGTATTTCGTAGGCGCCGTAGAGAACTCGTTTTCGAAAGTGACCCATTCATATTCAACGGCATCCATGACCGGTGCTATTTGGAAAGTACAATTTAGCAATTTCTTCAGCAAAACCTCAACAATCAATAACTTCACCATATACTTACAGTATGCAGCCATTCTCGTAGAGCACTCTCGGTCCGTTGGGCCAAGCGAATGCATGACCACCGACCCAAAGAAAAGGGCTATAGAAGCAACAAATAGCCCAGTATTCAAACACAAAGCCCAACGTGGAATTGAAGCTGGCTCTCGCTGGTAGGTGTGATCCATTTCCTCGGCTGTAGGACTGTCAAGGAAGGGAGAAGTCTGTTCGTCCATTGACGAGTTTTGCGACAACGGGCTGAAAGCTTTCTTCTCTTCCGCTGCCATTCTTTTGCTTGAATTCCATGGAGCCATCTTCTATGTGAGAGTTTAGCGTAGGAGAACGAGTTGATCGGGAGAAATTGAAGGAAAGAAATGAGGGTTGAACGACTTCAGATTCGAAGTTGTTTTTAGGATGGGTTCTTTAGTTAGCCGCGGGTCAGCACAATATTGACTCAAGTCAGTTAACAACTAGCTACTTATTACCATGCGGGTTAGCGCAATATTGACTCAAGTCAGTACTGGAGTTTCAAAGGGAGGTTCCTTTTACGGAGGTAAATCGGTTAAGCCGATTTGTCTCTGCGCAAAAGACTCTGGATGATCTTCACTGTTGACAAGTAAAATCATGAACAAGATAAGCATTATTCATGCAGTGGAGTAAGGATATCGGTCTTGTGGTTTCAGAAGGTACAGCTTGAAATGATAAGCTTTACCTAATGCGGTACAAGGTAGTTGTTGTGCTTCTAAGCGCTAATGCGGGCGGCTGGAGAGGTAGCATTATCTCAGCAAACTCTATTTCAATAACCCTAATCCAAGGATGTACATTAAGGTTACAGGCGATTTATGGATCAATGTACGTACAGCTCATATTTTTTTCAGTACGCCACTGATCTACAATATGCAAAAAAGTATATTCCGAAATCGGTAGCGTTGAGAAAGTGGAATGAAGCAGTAGGGGTTGGAGACGAAGCTTCGCCAACTCAGCATAAGCTGTGCAGAAATAACCTGCAACCTGCAGGTACCTACGGATAATCTGCCCCATAAATTGTTTACAAGAATTATAACCCACTTTACAGATTATCTATTAGGATTTTAAAATAATTTGTTTTATTAATGAGTATTTATAAATACTTACAAATATTTGTTTATTTATAGATTATATTAAATATATATAATATTAATATAATTTCATAATTAATATAAAAATTATAATAAATATTCAAAATAACAATTTTTTAACTTTCAATACCTCGTTTAATAATTGTTAGTAATTGAAATATAACAATTTCTTTTTTAAATGTTATATAGATTTTAAGAATCTGAATTATACTATATTTCAAATTTTTTCAATTTGATATATAATCTTTTAATCATATATTAAATAAATAGATAAGAATAATAAAATAATAATTAAAAACAAAATATAATTTTTTATTAAAATTTTAATTCATTTTTGAATATCAAATTATAAAAGAATTATTCAATATTATTAAATAATAATTAAATATTTGAATCGTTTAAAAACTAAAATATATTTATAAATACTAAAAGATTATTTTATTAATTGTTCTCTAGATCTATACTAGTTTAAAGTATTAATTGTAAACGAATTATTTTAAAATCCAATAGATAATTTATAGATTATTTAAGAGTATTTATAAATATTTACAAATTATCTATAGATTAATAAACAAATAGATTATTTTTCGAGTTGATAAGTTATTCATAAATTGATTAATTACTTGAAGATTACTTATAAATAATCCACAAATAAATAAATATTTATTAATTTTTTTAAGTTATTTCCAAATTATTACAAGATCTGAATTTAATTAAAGATACAAATTCAAAATCATAATATTTCTATTAATTTTATCAAACACTCTGAATAACAACTTTTTAACTTTCGACATCTCATTTAATAATAATTAATAGTTGAGATATAACAAACTTTTAACTTTTGATACCTCGTTCAACAACTAGTGATATCACTTTTGACCTCGTTGCGTAAACAGATGATTCGTGGATTATCTATCAAATCGATTATTCGCCCCGCAGGTACCCGTTGTGCAGTCTAACTCGGCAGTTAGCAAACTAACTGTCCTTGTGCTCGAAGTTTAAAAGCAGCTCATTTTTCCTTAAATGTTTGATATCTTCACTATCATTCAGAGTCATCATTAAAAGCTTGCCTCAAATTACTTCCCAAATTTCAACTTCTTTATCTTCAGACCTCTTCTCCAACAAAAAACACTTTGCCTCAAAATGAAGACCGCTACCGTCGTCACTGTCTTCGGACTCGTTGCCGCCACCATGGCTAGCCCTCTCAAACGAGATGTCGAGTGGACTGAAAAATACGTCAAGCCAGCAGTCGAGGCTCGTGATGACGTTGTATGGACTGAGAAGTACGTCAAGCCAGCAGTCGAGGCTCGTGATGATGTCGTCTGGACCGAAAAATACGTCAAGCCAGCAGTCGAGGCTCGTGATGATGTCGTCTGGACCGAAAAATACGTCAAGCCAGCAGTCGAGGCTCGTGATGATGTCGTCTGGACCGAAAAATACGTCAAGCCAGCAGTCGAGGCTCGTGATGACGTTGTATGGACTGAGAAGTACGTCAAGCCAGCAGTCGAGGCTCGTGATGATGTCGTCTGGACCGAAAAATACGTCAAGCCAGCAGTCGAGGCTCGTGATGATGTTGTATGGACTGAGAAGTATGTCAAGCCAGCAGTCGCGGCTCGTGATGTCGAGTGGACTGAGAAGTACGTCAAGCCAGAGGCTCGTGACGTTGAATGGACTGAGAAGTATGTCAAGCCAGCAGTCGAGGCCCGTGATGTCGAATGGACTGAGAAGTACGTCAAGCCAGCAGTCGAGGCTCGTGATGTCGAATGGACTGAGAAGTACGTCAAGCCAGCAGTCGAGGCTCGTGACGTCGAATGGACTGAGAAGTACGTCAAGCCAGCAGTCGAGGCTCGTGACGTTGAATGGACTGAGAAGTATGTCAAGCCAGCAGTCGAGGCCCGTGATGTCGAATGGACTGAGAAGTACGTCAAGCCAGAGGCTCGTGACGTTGAATGGACTGAGAAGTACGTTGCTTCTGAGTAAATCAACTACACCTGCTCAAACGGCTGTCCTTAGCTTCGAGCGGTATGATGATGCTGTTATGACTTGATGATGGAGATGAGCTTTTGTGGGAATGAAAGAAGATACTAGGCGTGGGACTGTGAATTGGACTTTTAGCGGAGGTGGTTATGGGACTTGTTGGACTCTACTTTATAACACTCTTTAAAACCTTTGAATCAAAGTGCGATTAGTAGGATGATGCTCTCAAGATTGGACGTTCATTATTACCTGTCTCTCTCCCTGTCTATGTGCCCGTTCCTATGCTCGTGTCTTTGTGCATGCTACACTTTCGTATCTTGCTTGTGACCAAATAATAGCGTTTACTCAGCACTTCCAAATGCGAGGCCATGATAGATCACGCTGCTTCGAAAATGCGGCGCATGTAATCATTCAACCTACATAGGTTGGGTGTCAAAAAATACTCGGTAGTTGTTTAGACACCTCAGGTATCAGGCATTAAGTCATCCGCAACCGTAAGAAGATTAAAATTTCATAAATATGCAGAACTCACATTAGCATGCACGTGTATGAACTAATCCAACAACATGCGACAAGCAGCTTAGGAACCATATGGGAGCACATTGAAACACAAGTACGTAGTAAAAAGATTACGGATACGCCGTACCCCTTAGGGCGGCACTAGAATTCATTATGTAAGGCTATTAAGAAGAAAGCATCCAACCCTGCGCGGCCCGACCCCCCGACATCTGTAAACTCACTTCGTTGTGATGCGAGGATCATGGAAAATTCGCTGTGTCAAAGCAGACAAATGGAAAATGAGCACAAAAGGCGCATCTGTATAGCCAAGGTACAGCGCAATAGGTGATAGGTAAGTATATACCAAATTTTTGTCATCATGTCACCAGCACAACGCGCCCGCGTGCCGGCAGTCGAAGTAAGAACACCGCCAATGAAGCCAACAACAGGATGACACCTGCAGCGATGAAAGGCAATCCGGTAAGAGAACCACCAGCCTTCATGCCAGCACGGAGGCTAATAGATAGTAACGGCCCATTGATTAAGCTACCGATAGTCTCACTCACGGCAAGCACATTGTACAGCATCCCAACATGAGCTGAATCAACGAGAGTAGAAGCCAGACTCAGGAGAATAGGGGTGAACCCATGGCCGAGAGCAAATAACGTGATGCCTGCAATTTCAGACATTAGCAGGCAACTGGCTAGTGGAAGATGGGAGGGGGATAAGTACCGATGACCACAAATATAGCGTTAGGGGCTAGTCCGATAGCAAAGGAGCCCAAGGCCATGGAAAAGGTACTTGCTCGAAGGAGCCATAGATCTTTGGTCTGCGCGCTAGTTTTTCCGTATCGCAGTATGAGAAAGCTGAGTCCGGGCAAGATTCCTATGAGAAGGACAATATTCACAGTGGCGCGGTATGAAAGCAAAATTCCTGCGTCCGAGATCGTCCATTCATATCTTCTGGAAACATATTGTAACAAAAATTCGGTTGAAGAGCGATAGAGAGTTCCAACGCAGAAGACTACTACAAGTAGGAGGAGTTGATACGATGCAAACACAACATGCAGGTCCTTCAATCGGGAGCTGATATTTGTTATAGCGTCTTTCCAAAACCGTTTTTCTGCATCGAAATCGATCTGGGAGCTTTCCTCTGGCTGTAAGACGGGAAATTGTCGCGAATCGTGGGGAGGAATCATCTGAGGAAGCGCAACGAGAACCACCAAAACGCTGGCGAGAATAGCTGCTAGGCCTAAAAGAGCTGGTAGCCAAGGATTACTCTGCATGAGAGAGGAGCTCAGTGGGGAGAGGAAGATCTCTGCTATCAGTGCCATGGCATTGAGTTGAAAGAAATTTGAAGCTCTAGCAGATAGAATCAGGTAAGTCAAGGGACATGTATCCTCCAACTAGGAATTGACTCATACCTCTCTTCATCGCTTGAGATATCTGAAACGACTACAAAAATCATGGAACCCCCAACCACCTGACCTCCTCCTACCAAGTAGAAAGCGGCGGAAATCCAAGTCAATTCGATTGGCAGCTTCTCCGACCAGAATACTGACCAATGGAGCATGCATCATTAGCCAAGGCGCGGTGAAAGTATTTGTGGGAAAGGCGAGAGAGAAACTCACAAACAACCTGAATCCATATAGCACCAAATGACATCCCTAATAATGACAATACCAGAACCAGACGACGGCCATAGTGGTCGGCAAGGGAGCCATAGAAGATGCCTAGAAGAATGGCTGGGAGATAATCATTAGATTGAGTGCCTACTAAATGGGAGGCCCTAGGCTCGTTGGTCAAAGACAGTACTGCTGCTCACGCACCTGGGAAACAATCCAGAAGCTGCTGCCAGCCTATCAATGACGCCAACGCGCTCTGAATGGGTTCGGCCTTGCAATTGCTCAGTGGCTCCCAGCGTGCCCTGTAATAGGATTTGCAAATGGCTAGCTCCTTCAGTTGTGTGATTGGCGCTATGAGGAGGAACTGCGAGCTAGCGACTAAAAAGATAATCAAAAGGCCGAGGCGAAAAATGTATCTCACTTCCTTCATGTCTCGGTACCTATGGTGGCGGTGGTAGTGGTCACTAGCGCTCACGGAAGTGAGGACTGCAGGGGAGGAGGCAAGCAACGGTGAGTGCTCTGAGACTTCGTTGTCATTGAGGCTCGTGACATCTGGAACCGCAGCCATTGTTGCGCTCTTCTTCGAACTACGTACGAGATGGATGGGGAATGAGGGATTTTGGACATATGCGCCTGAGGGGTACATAGATAGGTACTCGATGGCTAGTTTCGTATTCGGTAAAACACAGGATAAGATAAGCACTAAACAGAGTAGATAGGCAGGTAGGTTTTTACGCCGCATGATCGACGCTACGGCTACGGCCCCGTATGTAGAACTAGCAATGATGGGGGTGGATTTAGAATATTTACTTTTTTCTTAAGTCTAATCGACACTCGCATGAATATGTGGCGCACTCCTAGACCCATGTAAATATCCATACGAGTGTCAGATGTAAGTAGACTATGCAGAAATAACCCGCAGATACCGCAGATAATCCACCCTACAGATTACCCACAAAAGCTATAACCCACTCCGCGGATTACCTACTCGTGCTGCCAGAAAGTATAAAACACATCCACTTATATTCCTATTCCAGTTTAGATTTTAAGCATTAAACCTCAAAAAAGGGGTAGTTGACTCAGTAGGATCATTCGTTTTTATAATTCCATTTTAAAAATCTACAGAAAAATACGTAATCAAATTTTTTAAGTTTGCTCGCTTCAGAGATTGACCTTACTATATAATGTCACACTCAAGAATACTGGGTAAAGTATCTTGTATTAGAAAATACTAAGCTAAGGAGAAAAGAAGAAGGAAAACAAGAGTAGAGAGTTTTCCTATGATTAAATACAAACGGGGCATGCCACGTGACCCGGAGGTGTGAGGCGTCACATATAAAGTATAAATAAACAAAAACTAAACTATCTCAAGGTCTCGGAGAATTTCCTCACTACTGTTTAAACTGTAATAGGAATATAGTGCATGTGTGACATACTTTCTGGCCGCACAAGTACTCGTGCTGCCAGAAAGCATATTGCTGCCCACTTAAATATGCGCCACTATCTTGTAGTTTACCATTATGTGGTATGTGCTTAGAAGTGGATAGCCATATATTTACTGGCAGCACCAGTATTGGGATTTTAAAACAATCCGCCCTATTGACGAATACCTATAGATATCTATAAGTATCCGTTTATTTGTAAATTAAAATAAAATATATACAATACTAGTATAACTTTATAATTAGTATAAAACTTAATATAATATTACGATTTTAAATTCCGATCAATAATCTGAGAATAACTTCCAAAAAAAATAAGCAAATATCCATTCACCCGTACCAGATCGATTATCCGCCAAGCGGGTACCCTTTGCGCAGCCTAGACGTAAGAAGAAGAAAAAAATGAATATGAGTACTTACACTGATCGCAAACCCTCACTGTAGCCCGAAAACTTGATCATCAGACGCCCTGAAGAAGATTGGCTACTCAGGAAAAATCATGGCATCCCGAGTAATAAAGAGATCAACAAAACCCAACAACCGCCACCTCCCACGTGTTCTCTGCCTCCACGGTGCTGGGTCATCAGGAGCCATCTTTCGCATCCAAACCCGAGCCCTACAAAAAGCCCTTCAGCATCACTTCAGGCTGATCTTTCTCGACGCTCCCATCGAGTCAACACCAGGCCCAGGTATCCTCCCTGTATTTGAGGGTGCAGGCCCGTACTTTCGCTGGACCGACACCGATGCCAACAAAGCATGGAAAGTAATTCAGCAAGTGCTGAACAACCCCGACGGGGCTCCCTTCGTTGGCATTCTTGGATTTTCGGAAGGGGCCACTGTCATTGCGGACATTCTGCATCGACTCCAGAATGATGACGGAGCAGCAGCAGTAATACCTAGGTTGGGTTTCTGTGTTCTCATGGCGGCTACCATGCTACATATAGAATCTCCCCCTCTCGATGCGAGAATCCAAATGCCGACTATACATGTGCATGGTAGCTCGGATCATGTCCTTGAAGAGTGCAAGCAACTGTTGACGGAATTCTTTGATCCCACCTGTTCTGAAGTGCTTCGATGGGAGGGGCCACACGAGGTCATGGTACAAAAGGCTGATGTGAGACGGCTGGTTGATATGATACTTGAGCTGAGCATGCGGGATCATCTGAGCTGAGGAAGGAGTGCGGAAGATTGTGAATGTTGTTGGTAGTTAATTATTTTTGAGATTGATAGAGAACGAGAAGCAATACGCACAGTAGTCCCCCCCATGAATTGCGTGTCGGCGGACCTATTTCTCCCATTGTACCTCCAGAAGTGTATATAGTCGCCACCTATTTCACCATTTCCTTATCAAATAATTACCAAACTTTATCTTTATTGTTCTTAAACTATGTATAATTTGATATGGGTGTAGTACTCAAAGTTTCTGTTGTACCAAAAATGGCTTCACCGGCGTGATGATCAAGAGGATTACTACACGACCCATGGCGTAGGTCAGCAGAATTAAGCGAAACCGCTCCCAGGCTGTCAAAAAAAACCATCGCTGATTTACGACTTAGCTCGCTTCAGGTACCGAAATATAAATATATATTGCTCTTTCTATAACATATAAATACTATCAATCTCGTCAACCAAAATCAACTTCAGACCGAAAACGACAATTCGTCATCATGACTCCTCACGCAGAAGGAATACCCAACTCAAATTCGATTCCAGCCGTAAATAGAGGATGCTCCTCATCTTTTCAATTAGAAGAGCATCCACTAGATGAAATATCGTCCATCAAAGTCATAGTGGTCGGAGGAGGTATCTCTGGCATTCTGGCTGGCATTCTGCTGCCCATCAAAGTTCCTGGGCTACAACTTCGAATTCTGGAGCGCAATTCAGATCTCGTGAGTGAAGTTCTCCCCTCATAGTTGGTATATATACAAGATGTGTGCTGATATGATAGTCTAGGGTGGTGTATGGCATACAAATGTGTATCCGGGGGTCAAATGCGACATTCCAGCAGATGTCTACCAAAGCACATTTGCTCCATCTACAGCATGGACCTCAAACTATCCTTCTGGGGATGAGATTCAAGAGTACTGGAAGAGTCTGGCCATGCAATATGATGTTGAGAAGTTAATCAACTACAATACCTCAGTGGAGCGAGCACAGTGGTGCGAAAAAACCGCTACATGGAAAGTTTACGGAAGCAAAGGCGAGGAGACTTTCGAAGATGAGGCACATATCCTTATCACTGCGACCGGACTGTTCAGTACCCCTGTGCTTCCTGACATTCCAGGATTGAAAGATTTTGAAGGTGTTGTGATGCACACCGGAGGTTGGGATCCATCTTTCGATGCGAAAGGGAAGCGACTTGCTGTCATTGGCAACGGCTCATCTGGTCTCCAAATCCTACCTCAGTTGCAGAAAGTAGCTCATCAACTCGACCACTATGTCCGCAGCCGCACTTGGGTCGCTCCATCTTTCGGTGGAGATGGGAAACTGACCGAGAAGCGGGAAGCTCCTCCTATCAGCACAGCGGAGTATATTCAGTACCGCAAACGTATGGAGAATATGACCTTTGCTCGCTACAGTATCCTCATCAAGGACCAACCCATGAGCCAGAATGCCAAATTCGCGTTCCAGAAACTGATGGCCGAGCGTCTAGGCAGTCGAACCGATCTTCTCCATGCCATAGTTCCAGACTTTTCACCTAATTGTCGTCGACTGACTCCCGCACCTGGATACTTGGAAGCCCTGGCAAAAGATAACGTTGAATACATCACCACCTCTATCACCAACGCCACCAAAACTGGGCTCGCCACTCAAAACGGGGTTCACCGCGACTATGATGCTATTGTGTGCTGCACTGGATCCGACACGTCCTTCGCACCAACCTTTTCGATTCTCGCTCGAGAAGGATTCGACCTCCAGCAGGCGTGGAGATCTGATGGCTCCATTGGATTCCCGGATACGTACCTAGGCATAGCTGCCCCCAGTGTCCCAAATCTTTTTTTCATTCTCGGGCCTAATTCTACTGGCCATCCAGGGCCTTTGATTCATACTATCGAAACGCAGATTGCGCACCTGGCCAAAGTGCTGCGGAAAGTCAGCATGCAACGCATTCGAACCATCACTCCAACGGCGGCAGCGGCAGCTGATTTCCGAGCGGTCTGCGAGGCTTATTTCCCTCGGACCGTCATGAGCGAGTCGTGTCGATCCTGGTACAATGGTGGAGTCCCCGGCGGGCGCAACATGGTGAGTCGTGTCTCGTACAATTCAATGACCGCAGGTCCCTCGTGTCCTGAAATTGTAAGTGAAACTGGAAACATAAGAGCTGACGATATTACCCCTGCCATAGGCTTTCTGGCCCGGTAGCGCGTGGCACGCGAACATCGTTCGACGAGACCCTCGATGGGAAGATTACGAGTATACCTATCAGAATCCGTCCGGCAATCGATTTGCATACTTTGGGAATGGCTGGACCCTGAAGGATGTCGAAGCAGCGGCGAACCCGCAGGATCCTCCGGATTTTACTAGCTATCTTGACGTAAACTCCGTGACAGGAAGTGCTGACCTCAAGATGTATCACGAAAGCTGGTGCGAAGGATGGACGGGTGTTTAGACAAGGGTACCTAATTAGCCACAATAATAATCATCTAGAACCTAAACTACACTACTGTGATGATCCTGTACCGGTCCGACTGTACTTAGGTAGTATTTGTGGCTGAAGTGCTGTGCTGTAACAAAAGCATGTGGGGAAGAGCAGGGGAGTGTGGATCCAGAGTACTTGACTGTTGGCATGGTTGTTACGCGGCATCTCCATCAGTGATCTGCACGATTTGTTTCTCCTGGCTTCCCCCTCCTGCCCAATCAAGCAGATCCTGCACGCCCACTAATTTGCGCCGCTAAACTTTATCGCAACCAGTTTAAATATATAGTTGTATTTGGACAGGGGTTAGTCCCTAACTAACCCGGTTTAGGTTAGGTGGGACTAAACGCTTCTTAGTATTCTTAATTAGTTTCAATTTTCAGATTATACCTAGGTGATCTAATCGAGTAATTTTATTTAGGGTAGGTATTTCCATGTACGTAGTGATCTGACCAACCGAGTCAGTTCAGGTCGAGAGACTTTCCATGCCCGTATCACAATTAGGCTGCGCAGAGATAACCCGCAACTCGCGGGTAATCCATTGTTTTCCTCCCACCATTGGTATACCAGGATCCTTCAGACACCAGAACACATGTTCAAATGACTCGAGATTAGTATGCGATAATCACTATACTACGAATATATCTTCTTGGAGGCCGATGATACGGGATTCCCCTATAGAAGCAACATTCTGATATTTAATGTGAAAATTTTCAATTAATTATTATATTAATTTTTGTATAAGTATATGAGAGATATTATATATTTTGTAATAATATATTATAAGATTTGTTATTTAGATTATATAGAAATGCTTTAAACTTTTAAGATACTTTATAATTAAATATTAAATAAGAACTTAAATAATGTGACGGAAAAGTCGTAAACGGAGTCAATTCAATCACTTAGAATCTAAAACTAAAGAACTAAGAAGATTCTAAGTAAGAAGGTCTTTATATACAGGGCTAGTGCACGTGAGCCACTAGTGGGTAACAACCGTCACGTAACAAATAACAAATAATAAATAATTACAATTTGTAATTAATAATAGACTATATTAAATAATTGATCTTGAGTACAAAGTTCTTACAAAGGAAATCTATTCTAATTATATCAATCTTTGTATCTATAATTAATTAAAATCACTATATAGTCCTGAGCGGTCTATAATATGACTTAAGGTCATGTTAGTCTAAGTTAATCATGTGACGCGGCGCTTGATGATAGCCGTTGTAATATAATATTTTATATATTTTCTATTTGAGTATAGTTACATAGAGAAAAATTACAACTTTATAAGAGTTTCAGAACAATTAAAGTAAAAAAAAATTTTATAATAAAGTTTTTAAAATTTTATTAAAGTTTTTAAAATTTGTATTTCTTTTATATAAATTATCAAAATCTTATATTGAATATCGAACAGTTGATTATCAAAAAGTTATTTATTATAAAATATCTAAAAGAAATTTTTGTACTGATCCCCTACTCAAAAATTTCTTCGAACTATTTTTAATAAAATATATATAATATTAATATGATTTTATAATTAATATAAAAATTAGTATAAATATTATGATTTTTGAGTTTGGCCCTTTAATTTTAAATTCGGATCCTATAATAATCTGAAAATAGCTTCAAAAAAATGAACGAATATTCATCCATCTATAGATTATTTGCAAATAACCCGCAAATAATCCATCTATCCACCAACCTATAGATAATCCGCAGATACCTACAGATACCTTCAAATAACCCGTAGGTTATCCATCGGAATTTTGGAATAATCCGCCCTGCAAACAGATAACCCGTGGTAAACCTTATCCATCAGATCGATTATCCGTTCTGCGGGTACCCGTTGTGCAGCCTAATCACAATCAATTCTGAATATGACTTACCATACCCTACACCGGTCGTAAGCCTACATTTCAGGGACTGTGCACGCCATGGAGCTTGAACTGGTCGATTGCGTTGTGTAGAATTATTCGAACCGCAACACTGTTAGTTAGACTTCAATTCGTAGCACCATTGTATCACATATATAGTACAGAGTACTAGTTGAATTATGTCTAATTCTTCTAACTAAGTAAGAGACCTAAGCTACCTATATAGCCAAGTTTTCCTGTATTAAGGGCATTCCTGTAAACGACAGTACTGTAGTTAGGAACTATTCCCATAGTACTCCTGTAGCCGTACAGGATTGGTTCATATTATCCGACAAACACCAAGTGACTGGACTAGAGGAGGCAGGCTTGCTTACTTTAACGAGAAGCTGTTGCGGCTGTCTCACTCCAAGTACAGCAGCAGCTTCAGCTTGGTGAGAGGAATAAAAATAGACCCTCTACAGAACACCTTTTTATAACCTCAATCTCAAACTCGAGCTCACAATGGACCGGCATCATGAGTTCCCGAACGGTGAACCTATCGCCATCATCGGCACCGGTTGTCGTTTTCCTGGGGGAGCCTCATCACCATCTAAGCTCTGGGGGCTTCTTCGTACACCCCATGACCTTCGACAAGACATTCCACCAAGTCGGTTTGACCACCAATCATTCCGGACCATAATTCAGTCCAAGCAAGGCTATTTCCTCTCGGAAGACCATCAACACTTCGACCACCACTTCTTCAATATCCCTCCAGCAGAAGCAGAAACGATTGATCCTCAGCATCGCTTACTCCTGGAATGCGTTTACGAAGCACTCGAATCCGCCGGTCAAAGCATTACCGGCCTCCAAGGCTCGTCCACGGCCGTATATACAGGCCTTACCGCATCCGACTACACAAATATCACCACTCACGACCATCAGAACATCCCACGCTATGCGGCGACAAGCACTCACAACAATATGATCTCAAACCGTGTTTCCTACTTCTTTGACTGGCGTGGCCCGTCCATGACCATTGATACTGCTTGCTCGTCCAGCCTGGTCGCGGTCCATCTCGCTGTTCAGGCCTTACGCAGTGGAGAGGCCGAGCTGGCAATTGCCAGCGGGGCTAACCTTTTGCTGGATCCGGAGCGCTTCATTGAGGCGAGTAACTTGAATATGCTCTCTCCTACAGGAAGATGTCATATGTGGGATCGAAGAGCGGATGGGTACGCTCGAGGAGAAGGCATAGCTGCCATTGTGATGAAGCCTCTCCGTCATGCCATCCGAGATGGAGATTACGTCGAATGTGTGATTCGGGAAACGGGGGTCAATCAAGACGGCCGTACGCCAGGTATCACAATGCCGAATGCCCAGGCACAACTAGCTCTGATCGAGAAGACGTACCGACGGGCTGGGTTAGACTGCAAGAACGAGAAAGATAGGTGCCAGTACTTTGAGGCACACGGTACTGGAACCGTTGGAGATATCAAAGAAGCGGAGGCGATCCAAACAGCCTTCTTTGGCTCAGAGACTGCTTCAGAGCACCTTGTAAAGTCACAGCCGCTGTATGTCGGATCTTTGAAAACTGTAATGGGTCATTCGGAAGGCTGTGCAGGTATTGCAGGTCTTCTAAAAGCCTCGCTTTCCATCCAGAATGCCTGCATCCCGCCTAATTTTGGGCTTGAATCCCTTCACCCAGATGTGCAGCCGTTTTGCTCTCAACTCAAAATTCCAACCCAGTTGACTCCTTGGCCAGAGCTGGAGCTTGGTGAGCCGAGAAGAGCGAGTGTGAACAGCTTTGGGTTTGGGGGCACAAATGTGCATGCCATTCTCGAACAATATATCCCTCCTCCTACGGCGGCTCAAGAAGCATCTCTAGAGCTTCAGGGCACTGTGGTACTACCATTTGTCTTTTCAAGCAACTCTGAACAATCACTGGCTACGTTGCTACAATCTTACGCGCAATGGCTCGATGATCATCCCACGGCAAACCTTCAGGAGTTGTCACACGTCTTGCATTCTCGACGATCAAAGCTGGCCATTCGGACATACTTCTCAGCTTCTACTATCAAGCAGCTATCTTCCAAAATATACGAGAGATTGGCTTCAGTGAAAGTCGATTCACCCACCATATTTGGGGTACGCACAAACTCCTCTTCTCGACAAGCGAAGATTCTAGGAGTCTTCACTGGACAGGGTGCCCATAGACCTGCTATGGGGAAGATGCTGCTCAAGATACCGTTCCTGCGTCGCAAATTCGACTTTCTCGAAGGGATTCTGGCAGACCTGCCCGAGAAAGATCGTCCTACGTGGTCTCTCATCGCTAAACTGCAAGACGAGGGACAAACATCCGATTTCCAGCGACCAGATATATCACAGCCCTTACAGGCCGCTCTTCAGATCGTGTTGGTCGACCTATTGCGGCACGTTGGTGTGGAATTCCAAGCCGTTGTAGGACATTCATCTGGGGAAATTGCAGCGGCATACACCGCGGGTTTCCTTGACGCTTCAGACGCAATTCGAATCGCTTACTACCGTGGCCTATGTGTCCAGTCCATCATTACAGCTGACGGTCTCACGGGAGCCATGATTACTGCCCATATCACGGCTAAAGATGCAGATACTTTAACTAAACTTCCTGAGCTGTCAGGACGAGTCAGCATTGCGGCTATCAGCTCTCCATCATCCGTGACAATCTCTGGTGATGCTGAGGCCATCTCGGTAGCAAGCAATATCTTAACGAAAACGGGCCATTCATCACGACCATTGCGAGTAAACGTCGGATACCACTCTCAGCAAATGGCTCGATGTGCAGACCTGTATCGCGAATGTCTTACCTCTCATGATATCCGAGTTCATTCCCCTGCAGAAGGGGCACCCGTCTGGTACTCTAGTGTCGAGGGATGGGGAAGAATCAAGGATTCGAATAGCCATCAACTGGCAGCTACTTACTGGACCGAGAATCTACTGAAAACAGTACACTTCTCTCAGGCTGTATCCCAAATCATGGATTCAGAAAAGGCGTGCAATCTAGGTATTGAAATCGGGGCTGTTACTATGCTGAAAGGAGCTGTTTCTGACATTCTGTCTTCTTCTTCAACCCTCCCAGATTTAGGCCGCCCGCCAGCCTTTCCCTATATGGGTGTTCTTCAGAACGACAAAGATGAATTGGAATCTATTTCAGACACCCTCGGGTTTGTTTGGTGCTCTATAAGCTCATCGTCATCGGTAAATCTAGACGCATACACTCGTCTCTTGAATACCGATGGCGGTTTTGACCGAAAGCCAATGCCAAGCAAAATTCTGAAAACACTCCCCACCTATCCGTGGGAACATAATCGGCAGCTCTGGAGCGAGTCGCGGAGACATCGCTTCTTTCGCACATGTGCAGGCAAGTCCCACTCCCTTCTAGGGGTGAAGAGCCCAGAAAGCACGGAAGACGACCACCGCTGGACGAACGTGCTGAAAGCGAGCTCGGTTTCATGGTTCTTTAGTCACAATAGTAGTAATTCGATGGGAAAACGAAGGAAAATGTTTCCTATAGCCACTTACATCTCAATGGCATTGGAAGCTTCCCTGGCCCTGGCAGCTGGTCGACAAATAGGATTATTGACTATAGAAGACATTGAAATCCTCCGGCCGGTGGTATTTGAACGTGAGGATTCTCAGGTCGAAACTCTGGTCTCTATGGCACTGGCAAAATCAGTTAGCAGCTCTTACATTGCAGCGGGGTTCAAGATTTACGCTTCTAGTGACGATGACGCTTCCACAGATCTGTTAAAACTCGTGGCAAGAGGGACCGTAAGGGTCATGCTGGGAATGTCGACTCAGTTGGTTTGTAATCCTGAAGCTGTTGGACTGAGTGATACACCGTCTCATGTGGATGTGGACGAATTCTATTATTCTTTTAAAGATTTCTACCAGGGAACAGATGGAGTGAGACAGCTGTTGTCTGGGTTGAAACGGACACCATCTGGCTGCGCGGGAAGCTTGGATTCGTTGAACCCGGAACTGCTTCGCGAAGATTATTCTTTCCATCCTGCCATGCTCGAAGGAATGATACATTCGGTGGTAGCTACTTTATGGCTTACAATGAGTGATCAGCAATGGATGCCAAGTAGCCATATTCCGACAAAAATTGACTACATCGCAGTAAACCCATCTCTGTCAACGTCGGTTGGAACCAGAATGAAAACCTTGGGCATTTCCCAGTGTGAAAGGGGAATCATCCGGGGTAGTTCGGAGCTCATAACCAGAAACACATCACAAATTGTCGCTCGGTTAGAAGGTGTTACTTTCGCATCGCAGGCTGTTGTGGCGAAATTGCCACAAACCTTCCCATTGCCACCAAAGAGACCAGTGACCGTGAAGGAGGATTCCACAATCAAGCAGAAGATTCTGACAACAGACACGAAAGAAGCAGCAGTAAAATATCTCCTTTCGGCTTTCATTGCCTATCTTTGCCAGGCTCTTCGATTCTCAGAAGATGACCGGCTTGGATTAGAGGATGTGCCATTGATTGAATTGGGAGTTGATTCTCTTGTCGCACTGGATATCAGGTCGTGGTTCGCAAAAGAGGTTTCGTTCAGCATTTCTGTTCTAGATGTTCTTGGAGGGTCCTCGGCATTGGAGTTAGCATCTAACGCCGTGGAAAAGATGTGTCATCGTCAGCCACCAAGTATGAAATTCCCAACTAACGAGGTTCCACAACCTTCTTTGGACTCGTGTGGCCTTGATAGTCAGTCGACTTCAGGGGGAACCGCAGAAAGTTCCTTTGTCATGGTTGAAAGTCCGCCGGTACAGCAATCAGACCTTCCCCTGTGCGAATGGTCTGGACCTCTGTCCCAGGCGCAGGTGAGAGCTCGAATCTCCTATCACACTCAGATCATAGAATAATCCCCTTCCTTCTTGAAAACAAGCTAATTCTAGGGTTTTGAAAGTCCCGGTTCTGGTTTGTGCACTCATCTTTAGACGGGTCAAAGGCTCTCAATGTCTCGTTCTACTACCACTTCATCGGCCCGCTACGTATGCCTGATCTCAAAGCTGCCGTACTTACAATGGGCGAAAGACATGAAGCGTTACGCACCTGTTATTTTGTTCAGGGCTCAAGGCCAATGCAAGGAATCATGGTTAAATCCCGCCTTGTTCTTGAGCACAAGGCGATATCTGGCAAGGAAGATGTTGATACCGAATTCACGCAGCTCAAGAATCACATATATGATTTGCATCATGGTGATACCATGAAGATGCTTCTTCTGCAAGAATCATCAACATCCAACTATCTCCTCTTCGGTTACCATCATCTTACCATGGACGGATACAGCTTCCAGCAAGTTTTTCTGCCTGAGCTTGAAAAGCTCTACTGCGGAGAGTCTCTCAGTCCGTGCATTCGACAATTTCGAGAACACTCTCAAATGGAGCATGATGCTCTACAAAACGGGGATCTGTCAGCCGAAATTGCCTATTGGAAGACTCAGTTCCAAGAGCTTCCTCCAGTACTGCCTCTTTTCCCCATGTCTAGGACAACATCTCGAAAGAATCTTAGCCAATATGATTACAGCCAAGTCGAGCTTGTGATTAATGCAGCAACCACTGCAAGAGTGCGGAAAGTAGCTCAGAGCTTGCAATCGTCTCCATTTCACGTCTACGTAACGGTTCTCCAGGTTCTTCTCACGAAGTTACTTGGAATTGATGATTTCTGCATCGGAATCGCGGATGCCAATCGGGTGGACGAGAAGGACGCTGGCGTGATCGGACTTTACCTGAACTTCCTCCCACTTCGCTTCCAACGGAATAGAGAGCAGCTATTTTCGGAAGCAGTGAAAGTTACAAGGACAACGGCTTACAATGCCATGGCAAATTCTCAATTACCTTTCGATGCCCTCCTCAAGGAATTGCACGTCCCAAGATCAGCAAAATACGCGCCACTCTTCCAAGTTTTTGCAAACTACCGCTCTGCGCGGGTCGAGAAGGGGTCTTTTGCAGACCTTCAGGGTCGAAGTCATGACGTCCAGTTGACTAAGGCCGCCTATGATTTGGGGCTGGATATCGGCGAGGGTGTAGATGGGAAGACTCAAATTGTGTTTATGCTGCAGGCGTCGCTCTATTCTGAATCTGATGCAGAAATGATTCAGAGAAGTTACAGCCACCTACTCGAGTCCCTGACGCTTCAACCAGACAAAGTCATTGAAGATTTTACCGCGTACCACCCGCAGGATATTCAAAGTGCTTTAGATCTGGGAAGAGGTGAGTAAAATCTCTCTACGATTATAGTATATGACATGCTAACATGGTAGTCCGAAGGCGAAGTAATTCCCTCTGAGTGGCCCGAGACATTGCTACATCGGGTGGATATAATGGCACAGTCTCGAGGTTTCGATGTAGCTGTGAAGGATTCCAACGACAGCCTTACCTATGCTGAATTGGAGAGGCGATCCAACAACATCGCCCAAGAGCTACTCAAACAGGGTCTCTGTCCCGGTGATAGGGTGGCTATTTTCCAAGAACCCTCGGTCGATTGGGTCTGCTCCGTCTTGGCAATCATGCGTGTTGCAGCAATCTATGTGCCACTCGATCTACGAAATCCCATATCACGGCTGAAAATTATTGTATCAATCTCGAATGCGGCGATAATTTTGGTGCACAATGCAACTCTAGCAGATGTCAAGAATCTCGAGTTTACGCCAGATAAAGTCGTAAATATCTCCGCCGTTCATGCTGCTACGCCATTAGATTCGACTGAACACACTTCAATGAACAATTCTCGCGCGGACTCCCCTGCTGTAATACTATTCACGAGTGGCTCAACTGGTACGCCCAAGGGTATCACCTTGACCCACGCCAGTCTTCGCTGTGCTATTGAGTCCCATGTTGTGGCTATGAGGCTTAGCGATCGAGAGGTTGTTCTGCAACATAGCGCCTACTCGTTCGATATTTCCTTGGCTCAGATCTTTATGGGTATTAGCACAGGAGGTACTGTGTATGTCGCAAGCAAAACCCAACGAGGAGACCCTGTTGCGCTCGCCAAATTGCTTCAGGCCGAGAAAATCAGTTATTTCATAGGCACATCTTCTGAAAACCTTGCGATCATTCGGTATGGAGCAGAGTTTCTGTCTCAGAATACCTCGTGGAAGTACGCTTCCTGCGGCGGGGAACCATTCATCGAGGCTCTGCGACAGGAATTTCGAAATATCTCACTTCCTCAGCTCCGTGTTTTCAATGTATATGGTCCAGCAGAGGCCACGATCGCGGCTACACTGGTGGAAGTCCTCTATCAAGATGATCCTCTCCATAGCCAAACAGAACAAATTGGCAACCAAATAACTTCGATTGGGTTTCCCTTGCCGAACTATTCTCTTTGTGTTGTTGATGATAATCTAGATCCGGTAGCAGCTGGGGTTTCGGGTGAGTTGCTTATCGGGGGCGGTGGTGTTGCTACCGGTTACCTCGAAAACGAAAAGTTGAGTAGGGAACGCTTCATTCCCGATCGGTATGGCTCTTCTGAGTTCCAGGCTCAAGGGTGGTACACATTGTTTCGCACTGGTGACCGAGCACGGTTGCAAGCTGACGGGAGCTTCATCTTCGAGGGTCGAGTCGACGGCGATACTCTCATTAAGCTTCGAGGACTTCGCATTGACTTGGGTGATATTGAGAGCACCATCTTTACTACCGCCAATGGTAAACTGTCCGAAGTTGCGGTTTCATTGCGTGGAGAACCGCAGTTCCTCGTCGGCCACGTAGTCCTCTCACCCATGTTTGCAGCCTCGGATCTTGATATCGACTCCTTTCTCGAGGAGTTACTCTTGAAGCTTCCCCTAGCTATGTACATGAAGCCTGCCATGTTGATTCCTGTCGATTCTCTTCCCATGACAATTCATGGCAAACGCGATCGCAAAGCTATTGCCACACTTCCGCTTGGGATGGACGATGAGGACAATAGGCTCGGAGATGTTGAGGATCTTGATTCTGTAACCACCGAAGATCTTACTGAAACCGAAGAGCGGCTCAAAAACATTTGGTTGGCCATCTTGCCAGCTGAAGCAGTTTCCGCCCGCCAGCGCCAAGTACCAAATGGACAAGGCAAGAAGAAGAACTCTGATGCTATACATTCCCACACCGATTTCTTTGCGGTTGGGGGTAATTCGTTGTTGCTAGCACAGTTGCAGGCTGAGATCAAGAAGGAATTTGGTGTCATGTTACCTATTAAATTGCTGATGGAAGTCTGTACTGAGGGGTTGGGCGAACTAGCAGACATGGTGGAGGCGGCTGAAGCGTGATTTCTCCCCATCGGATGAAAACACGCCCTATGTTAGCAACTTTCGGCTTTATCGAATGTTTACAATGTGCACGGTCATAATTTAGTCAAGATAATAATATATTACTGTAATTGGACTAGTTCTAACATCTATTAAAAATAGTGCACAACTTGAAATAAAAATAGTAAGCTGCACGATTGCCATAGCCGATTGAGTCAACGCTAGGGTCTATGTAGCAGGAGCTTCCCCTTCGGTCACCGCCTAAATGTGATGCAGTACCCACGTGTCGTTATGTACTATAGGTTTTACTCAGCACTGCCAGTTGCGGCGCAGCTGCATGACACTCTCAGATACTACATTTATTCATAGGTGCGCAAGTCCTTCCAACCTGTCACGAACATACAAGAATACAAGAACTGAAGAAGCTCTCTTCCGCGTAGTCAACAACATTGCAACAGCCAAGCATGGCACTGGGCCCAAAAACTGAAGTTGGCATAGACCCGCAGATCCGGACGACAACACCGGATGGTAATAGATCTGTTCATGAAAGCTCTCCGACGGAATCGGTAGAGGCACCACTCCAAGGCCCCCGCGGCTGGAGGTTCTGGGCCATCTTTCCTCCTCTATGCCTGGCTGTCCTCCTTTCGGCACTCGAGTCGACGGTCGTCTCTACAGCTTTGCCCTCCATCACCGCAGATCTCCAGGCCGGTGCTCTCTATGTCTGGTTTGTGAACGGCTATTTCTTAACCATGACCGTCAGCCAGCCCTTTTACGGCCAGTTTGCACAACTTTTCGGGCGCCGCGGGCTCATGATCAGCTCCGTAGCACTATTCGCCCTCGGAAGTGGAATTGGAGGAGGAGCAGTGAATGCGGCTATGCTGATCGCTGGAAGGCTGATCCAGGGATTTGGAGGAGGAGGTATTGGTTTAATGACCAACATGATCATCAGTGATCTGGTATCGGAGCGAGAGCGAGGGAAGTTCTCCTCCATCCTTTTTGGAACTTTTACCCTGGGCACAGCCATAGGACCAATTGTGGGAGGAGCGTTTGTGCAACATGGCTCTTGGCGGTGGGTGTTCTACCTCAACCTACCCATTGCAGGCGTATGTCTAGTAATGCTATACTTCTTCCTTCAGGTCAGTAATCCTGAGCGGGAAATCGGATTACGAACTAAGTTAGCCCGCATCGATTGGATCGGGAACTTCCTTTTGATTGCTTCGGTCAGCAGCATACTAATTGCCCTCTCTTGGGGTGGAATTGCCTACGCTTGGTCATCGTGGCACGTTCTGGTTTCTTTATGTATCGGATTTGCGGGTTTGGCGCTCTTTGCCGTCTACGAAGGGACTTCTTTTTGTGTCGAGCCCATCCTTCCTCATCGAATCTTTATCAGCAACCGCACTACTACTATCACGCTCTATATCTCCTTCATCCAGTACCTCCTCACATACTGGATCATCTATTTCCTACCCGTCTACTTCCAAGGATCGCTGATCGAATCCTCGACTCAGAGTGGCATCTTGCTCCTGCCGACTGTTTTATTTGGGGTTCCTGTGGCCATGATATCTGGGAACGTTCTATCAAAGACCGGGCGATACAAGCCTATCCATCTCAGCGGCCTAGGCATCCTCACCCTGGGACTCGGCTTATTTGTCAAACTAGACCAGTTCTCTAGTGTAGCGGAATACATTATCTTCCAGCTAATCGCCGCCACTGGAATCGGTCTTTTGATGGCCACTCTCCTCCCTGCCGTCCATGTAGGACTTGCCGAGAGTGAGGTCGGTGTTGCTACTGCTTGCTGGGGTTTCGTACGGTCATTTGGGGGGATCTGGGGAACTGCGATTCCAGCCGCAATTTTCAATTCACAGTTCCAGAATCAGCTAGAGAGGCGGATTCAGGACCAGACGGTCCTGACTACCTTGGGAAGTGGGGCGGCGTATTCGAAGGTTTCGGGGGACTATATTAGAAACCTTTCGCCCGAGGTGAGCAGCGAGGTAATTTCAATTTATACTCACGCGTTGAAGGTGACCTGGATCGTAGCTGTGGTCATTAGTGGAGTTTCATTTGCGGTTGGATTCCTGGAACGGGAGATCCCATTAAGAACGACCGTTAAGTCGGATTATGGATTGAAGGAAAAGTCTGAGAAACTGTCGGAAGGTGAGCCTTAAGTCAGACTATGTATAGTGATTGAACGAATAAATTTTCTGCCTCTTTAGGTCTGTCTTACTGTAGCCGCCTGCTAGCAGTGTATTAGAGCTGCTCGAACTTTGGCAAGTAACGCATAAGAATTAAAGAGCAACTAAACGAAAATCCTGCCATAAACCCTGCCACTCTTGAGACCAAGTAATAAATCAAAGAGCATTTCTCAGAAATAAGGTATCAGTTTTATAAATCTGATTTGATTTCTGATTTCATCTTCCGCTCTGTGGTATATTGCTCTTTTGTCGGATTAGGAAGGGTCCCAAAGGAGCTTGAGCTTACAGCAACTACAGAAGAGGTAATAAAGGCAGCGGCGGGGAGTTGGAAGACTGGAAAAGAGGTGATAAAAATAATTAGAAGTAAGGCAGTATAGTTAGAATGGAGAGTGTCGTAGACACACCTTCAAAATTGTCATGGTTGAATATCAGGGCTGGATCGAAAGATTAGCTTATCGGAGATGGGTCAGCGGAAAAGCGGGATTGATGTGGGGTGAGGTGGGGGAAGAGTTAGGAAGAGATCTCATATATAATGGTGTATAAGAAGGAGATTTAGAACAAGTAAGAGAGGGATAATGATTAGTTTGGATATGAAATCTGATCATTAATTGAACTATGAAGTTGTTCGGAGCCAGGGCTGGGCACCCTACCCTACCCGGGTTATTTGACCTCTATGGGGTGGTTACCCTACCCTATAGAGGTTTTATAGGATGGTACCCGGAAATACCAGCAGGTGCCAGGGTACCGCAGAGTAAATATTATGTGATCATCCAATAGTTATTGTCTAAAATTGAGATTAACTCTAATTTTATAAATGATTTATATAACGTGGTTTATCAGCGAGCGGGCCATATCACCGAGCGGGCCACTTTTACCTCAATTTATATCTTTCAACTTCAATACGCGATTTATCAACAATATATTATGGAATCGAATAATCAAGAAGTGTTACGACGGCGTAACATAACCCGCATCAGGTAACCAATTAGTTAGCAGAATCATGTGACAAGTGTCACCTGATCCGAAAGCCGACCGACTCCCTGAGAATCGATCGGCCCTTCAAGAGTCGATCGAATTTCAGAACACGAAGGTCTATATAATCAAGATGGATTTCCTTTGTATAGAGCTTCGTGCTCAAGATTAATCATTTAGTATACTCTACTATTAGTTACGAATTGCATTATTGTCATTACTTTAAATCCCTGCTTAACACCTAATTATAAATCATCTCGAAAATCTAGAGCACTTCCACATGATCTAGACAGCAAACCTCATAACATCTAGTACCCTACTTCTCGACTACCTCTATATTACACCAAATAACAAGAAACTCTTATATATAATCAATATCATATAATTGATTCAATAAGGATCAATAAGCTTAGTACTGAGTTGCATTGATCCTATTGAGTAACCATTGGTATGAAGATCTATATAATCTAGATGGATTTCCTTTGTATAGAGCTTCGTGCTCAAGATCAATCATTTAGTATACTCTACTACTAATTATGAATTGTATATTATTATTATCATTACTTAAGTCCCTGCTTGACGCTTAGTTATAAATCACCTCGAGAGCCTAGAGCACTTCCATGTGATCTAGACGGCAAACCTTGTAACATCGAAATTCAAATAATTCTTATTGCTTCTAAACGTGGAGTTATAATAATATTTTCCTTTTTAAAATTGAATTTTATAAAGGTGATTATAGGGGTCAGGTTTATTAGGGTAGCGGTGATGATAATTATAGATTAATTCTTGGGTTTCATTTAGATATTCTATAGGATCTTCGGTAGTGTTACGAGATTTGCTGTCTAGATCATATGGAAGTGCTCTAGGCTTTCGAGATGGTTTATAATTTGATATTAAGCAAGAACTTAAATAACAATAATAATAGTATATAATTTGTAATTAATAGTAAAGTATGCTAAATAATTGATCTTGAATATAAAGTTCTATAATAAGGAGACCCATTCTGATTATATAGTCCTTCGTACTAATTGGATCCCTTGGATCTAATAAACCTAGGATCCAAATTCCTAGCTCCTCTAGATCCTCAAGGTCCATCATATGACTTTAGGTCAGGTGATACAATGCTCTATGGAGTCAGACGTAAGATGCACCTGCCAAACACTTTTCTACTAGCGAATTCTGGATCGGGCATTTTGTTTTTGGATCAAGAAACAAAATTTGGGATGAGGAAGTGGCCCCAAGGATGGTTGGGCATTGACTTAGTGAATGGGAGGACATCCGAAGGGAAGATGGGTGATATGACGAAGTGTAGATATTGAAGGAATAGAGAACCTTGAGGTGGTAAGGATTCGCAATAAAAAGAGACCTTTAAAGTAGAGGGTTCGGTTATTGGGTACAAGAGAATATCTAGAGTCTTGTCTGTATCATCACATCTCCGACTGCTACTTTACACTCCTCGTCTCGATTGCCACGCGATTCTACGTACGAGTACACAATTATAAGAAAGCATGCCGATTTTCTGTAAGAATGCTGAGTTGTTCATCATTAAGTAATGACGAGATCAAGAATCATGTTCCGATAGTTGCATGATTCCATCTCAGAACTATTAAACTAAAGTATCAAACAAACTCGAGATGAATGAATGGAGATGTGATAATATCTCTAAATCTTTCTTGCTGGCACGTCCCAGTGGACTAGAGTTTCCTCTTATATATAAATGAATGAAAACAAAATCAATTAAACGCATGATGATATCTGTTGACCTCCTGGGATCTTGGCAGCATATGCATATATAGTACATATGCATATAAGGAGCAAACAAAACTCAACTTTTAATTCATTCTTTCCTTTGTGAACGTCTAGAACCCTGAATTATATGGGATACGTCGATATCGGCACGTATTTGCTCTGCCAAAGGTGCTGTATTATGAGATGATGTTGTAGTGATGATATCATGTTGACTTAACGATGATGATGGGGAAGATGAGAGTTCTGACTCCGGTAATGATGGTATAGGAACATCTCCAGTAGATTGTCTTGTAAGTGCTTCTGGTGATAAGGTTGCTCTAGGCGTTGGCAATTGAGGGTTAGTTTGAGGAACCCCCTCATTGGTTGGAATACCATCATCCGTCTTGTTTGAAGAGCTTTCATTCGTTGGTCGCTCGTTTAAGCGATTGTGTTGTAAGTTCCATGGCCCTTCAACTACAATTATATCACCAATACTCTCATCTGATTCTTCACTCAACAGATTCGATATTTCTATCTCTTCTGCCCTCTTTTCGTGAATAGCTGCAGTATCCCGAAGTTGATCCTTAATAAGAAAGCCAATATCTATATCTTCTGGTCGATAATACCGGGTTTCATCAAATTTGACATCCCTACTTCGAATGACGCGATTTATGGAAGGGAGCCAGATCCTGAAGATATTCGTTGAATCATACCCTACAAGATAGCCCAGTTTTGCACGAGGTTGCATCTTCGCACGTCTTGGAATCTGCTTGTTGAGCACATATGCCAAGCACCCATATGGATGTAGATGTGCTAGCGAAGGTTTATTGCCAGTAGCACTTTCAAATGGTGTTTTCCATTGAAGAGCTCTTTTTGGAGTACGGTTTTCAAGATAACCGGCTGTTTTAATTGCTTCTGGCCAAAGGTTTTGTGGTAGGTTTGCTGAAAGGAGGAGGGCTCTTGCTCTGACCATGAGCATTTTACCAGCATTCTCTGCAGCGCCATTCTGTGCTGGTGTATCTGGTGGAGTGCGTTCGACAATGATGCCACGTTTGTCTGTGATCCTCTTGAAGTCGCCCCCTAACGTGGTTTCACCATCGAGGCGTATGAATCGGACCTTTGAGCCGAATTGTGTTTGTATCAGAGAGAATTGAGTATCCATAATATCGATCATCTCTGTTTTCCTAGTTAGAACATACACCCATTGTATTTTGTGTGTCGTACACCAGAAGTGGCTGATATATCGGGTATTATTATAAGCCTCATCCATCTCGAACAGATCCCATGCCAATCGATCTCCGACATGGCCGTTCTCTGGCATCTCCTTCCTTGGATTACGAGATATAATCTGTTGAGCCTTCGAGAGATTACAAACTTTGCAGGTAGAGAAGGAAGGTGTCGAAATCGTTTTGTCGATAATGATATCAGTAGTTGCTGATTCTAGGTGCTGAAGGGCTTCGAGAGAAGGATGGCCTAGAAGATCATGTAACTCTGTTGTTGTAACCTTTCGGCATATTGATTTGGTGTGGTTTTTGGTGGCAAACGAAGCATGCTGAGAAGGGATAATAGGATCGAGGGTCCAATGGTCTCCTGTTTGCTTCAGAGTAATAAATGCAATGCCTTCTTTTGTAAGGACATCTGGGTGTTCAGTGTTCCAATGTACACCTTTCTTTGAGAGTAAAGCTAGAGAGACTAGGTTTGTAAGAAACCCTGGGATGTATGCCACTCTTTTTAAGGTTATTTGCCCTGGCCCAGTTGGTGTATTGATCAACATAGTGATAGTACCGAATGCTTCAATTTGGAATCGGTCCCTTCCAGCGCTTATCATATCGGATGGCTTTCCAAACTCTTCAAGAACAAAGTTATGTAGAGAGTTAGTGACATGGGTATCGGAACCACTATCAATTAGCCATTTGTGAAGGATGCTAGCATTGTTGTAGGTAGGACTTTGTTTAGTGAGAAAAGCCCCAAGATCCTTATCTTTCTCTTTTCCAGATTCTGAAGGATTAGTCAATGTTTCCTTCCATGCTGGATCCCAAGAGAGATTTGCTAGCTTGAGAAGTTCCTTAGTTCCTTCATGTCTACGAACAAACCAGTTCCTTCGTTTTGTTGATTGCCTTCCCCAGAACTTCTTGAAGTATTCAATATCGGCATCGATTGGTTTCCAGTTCCTTGGTCGATTATCCGAATATAGATAGTAGCATTTTTCATATAGATGTTTCTTGCCACATAGACAGGTTCTCTCTCCTTCCTTTTTATCTTTATTCCCATCCTTATAGGTTGCAAATGACGTAGAAGAGGTTGAAGTAGTTGATGCCTGTGTGAGTCGAGTGTAGTTTCGAAAGTCTTCGATTAAATCGTACACATCAATCGTTTCCTCAGGCTGATTCTTGAGCTTTTTGGTGATCTCCAACAGAGTTGAAGTTGCCCAAGAGGAGCTGTGATTCATAAGGGCTGTAGAAAAGTCGAACGCAGCTCGATTTCGATCGACGTCTGGCAGATTGAGAGTCTTAGCCTCAGTGTAGATGAGTTCCCATTCGTTCAACCATTCATAAATATCCTGATTGGATTTGTAGGGTTGTTTTACACAATTGTATCGTGCTACCACGGTAAGCTCTCTTGCACGATCAGTTGGTGCTAGCCTTTTGCGTAAATCAGCAAGCACTTGAGGTGCTGTGATACTGGTGGTACTAATAAACTTTTCGCAATTGCGGTTGATTGATGAAAGTATGTACTTGAGAACCTCTGAAATTGCCTTGTTGATTTTCTCGTACTTGGTATTCTTGATACAATAGTTCTCTAGTTGCATCTGATATTGCTTTAAAGCCCTATCAATAACAGCCTCAGAAGCATCTTCATCAACTGTGGGTAGTTCCGGTTCATCTAGCAACTCTGGTATAGGTACAACTGTTGTAGTGGGATCAAGGTATACCCAGCATTTGATGCCGCCGGATTCTGCAATACGCTGAATATTTCGAATCCAACTATTCCAATCCTCTGGTGAGGAAAGGATGATTTTAGTTGAATTATCGCCTGTAGTCATATTGAAGAAATAAAGTCAGAATTATCGAGGTTTGGGTTTTATAGAAACCACACTAAACAAGGTAATTCTTAAAAGAGTGAAACTTGAAGGTATCGTAGAGTTTCGGTATATGTGAATCAAGTATTGTGCAGGATGTTTAATTGAAAGCCAGCACCGGGCTCATAACTGTTGGGTTTCTTAAGACCAGAAAGAGTATCAGATTGAATTGATTGATTCTCTAGCTAAGCAGTTAAGCTGCGAGCATATATTCAAAAAAATGAAGGAATAGGTTGGGTATTCGGCCTTCGGAATTAAAGTGCTTTGAAATCAAAATATTGAAAGCAAACAAACAGTATACCAAAAAGGAAAGAATGAATTAAAAGTTGAGTTTTGTTTGCTCCTTATATGCATATGTACTATATATGCATATGCTGCCAAGATCCCAGGAGGTCAACAATATCCTTCTCTTCCTTGATAGTATGTCCCAGTCGACCAAATATCCTTAGCTTATGGAAACAAATATGATAAATAAGAACAATCCTTCCTGTGCTGATTCCCATCTCAACGGCACGACACAAATCTGCCAAAACCCTATTCCCGAACCAAGAATAGTATTCCCGCAACTGCTGATCGGCTTGATCAAGACCCAGGCACGAGCTCAAATATGAAGGAGCTATTCATCTTCTCGTTTGATGCCGACCTATCTTCCACTCCTTCCATCCTCCAAGCAGTGTCATGTAGTCTACTGACCAACAGTCCAATCAACAACATCCAAGGGAAGATGACGAAGAGATAGATATCCGCTGAAGCAGCTGTCTTGATCCAGAAATATATCGATGCGCCAAAGGCAAGAACATACATTGGGGCACGTAGTTTTTCATGTTTTGCAGCGTCGTAGATCCATGCTACTAAGGCGGCAGATAAGCAGATAGAAGCTTTTGTCAAAAGCTCTGATGCTTGGAAGTGGTTACTGGATGGAGGTACGAATATTGTGTTGATTGAGGGGTTGGTGATGAGGTGAGGGAAGGTCCATGTGTCGAGGAGCTATGGGAGCATTAGTTTTCGTCTCGCGGTCTATGAAGGTACCGTGAACTTACTTCTTCGTGTTGACTTAAGCTAAATCGAGTGCTGATGACGAGCGACCCCGTCGCGATCAAAAAATCGAAAAGCTTCATTGATGCGAAGTGAAGTTTCATACCGAAGTATTGTGCAGTTTCGGCGATGCTTTCGCTGCTATGAAATCCAAAGCAATATGAATAGAGATTGATTAAATGCTGTATAATTAGGGTTATTAGGGGAAGAAGAAGTGAAAAGATGGGATAATATAGAGGAAGGTTACACCTCTAGGCTGTGCAAATGCATGGCACTTCTGGCTTCGGGTCCACACATTTACCCAAGAATTCTGCCTGACTTTGCCGAACTCATGTAGGACATTGGAAATACATTCGAGTCATTAAAGGATTTAATTGTATGAATCGATAGAGTTTTTCAAGCCCAAGAGCTTTGCTGGATTTAAAGTCTTCTTCCCTCCCCGGATATTCTTACCCTTAACTTACCTGATACTCAGTTGAATATCACAGTTTCCAAGTCTGTACTAGGTGTGTTTCTTCAACTTCCTTGCAATTTATCCATTTGATACAGAGAATTAAATGTGTTAATACGAGTTCTAGATCCCTAGCTACCAAGATCTAAATCGGTTACGTCGGGGTTAGTCGTCTCCTTGCCTTTGCTCCCCTATTGAACGACTAGCGTGAGCCGTAATCATACCCTTGTGCCTCCTCTCACCTATGGATGTCTAACTATAGAGAGCTGCAGAATATAGTCGCTGGAAACAAGAATTTCATCAATCCATAACCACACCGGCACCACATCAAGGCATCGACATGAACACCGAGTCTACCATTGAAATGGAAGTCCTTCCACGCTACCATACCCAGCCAGTAGCTCAAGGCCCAACAACTTATTGGCAACGATGCGGATACAACATATTGGGTTATCTGAGAACCGGCTGGAATATGATTGTTTCATATCGTTTAGTAGTAACAATGGCTTGCTACACTACGGTAGTCATATCGCCCTCGGCTCCTACATTTGATGTCCTCACCCTTTACAAAACTCCTCAAGGATGTCTCATTTTGATGTGAGTGCATAAATTCAGTTCATATATCTATGGCTAATAATCGATAGCTTGTTACTTTTACTTCTAGTCTTCCTCCTGCAACGTTTGAATGCAATCATGGGAAAAGGAAAATTGCAAAGTGTGTAAGTTGTACTCGCACACAATACATTTTCAATATCGTAGCCCGCGAGCCTAACACTCTCAGTATATTTCTAGGCTACGTGGCTTTCGTTTTTCTCTTCGATTATTTATTCAAGAACTCCATCGTGCCCGTGATTGGGACTGGAGGATTCGAAGCATTACTTACGGCAATTAAGCTGAGTCCAATAGCCTTCGTACTTCTTGCCATACTATGGGATAACTTTATTATATGTGTACGCCTTGGTTGGGCCGGCTCCTTAATCTTGCTTGAACTCCTTTTTTGCTAGAGCTCAGGCAAACTTCTGGAACACATATGCTGGGTTGACCAGATGCCTTGGCCACATTCCTGCCACCCATGGCCACCACGAACTCTAGGAAAATACTTGATGGCAGTGTAGAAGAGTGGAAATGGAATGAATACACATCTACACGGAGCAGGAGGATCTCATTGAAGGAAGTTACTGGCAAGATGGGTGGTTGGTGTTCAAGGAGATGCATGTGCTGGATCGAGATTGTATTGAAGAGTTTTTGGAAAGGGATTAAAGATTGGAATGTGTGAGATTTTAAACGGCATAGCAGAGGAGGACTTTGAGGGCAATTGTTTCTTTGCTTATTCATGAGTTACTAATATGCGAGACTTTTGTTCTATCTTTTTGTATTGTGACTGCTGTGGTCGTGCTTCGAGACTATCTCAGCCCCACAGAATTAGATCAATACAATAAACAATATTTATCTACAATTATGGCACTACCGGTGATTAAAATGTTGAGAGCGTTCATGGCAAACCTTGATTTTAAGCTAGCATTTTATACGATAACTGACCGGTCTCGATGTCCGCGAAAAGTGTTCTACCTGAAAAAAAAAATGCTTTCAATATTTTGAACTGTATCAAACATTAGATCCATCTTGGTATCGCTCTATACATCGTAATCATTCTACATATTAATTCAAATACTAGCGGTAAATAGGTTTGCAATACCGAGTTTACTAGAGCATATTCAAGATATATGCAATTTTACACACAGAAAGATCTCAAATCTAACCCACTAACCTACTAACCTACTAATCGAATTAATCGCACTATCGGACTATCGAATTTCGAAAACACTGCCAAATAACCTTACAATTCGCCCTCAAGACTTTTTTGTAGCACAACGGATAACTGCGCCCCCGAAAACACTCGATTACATGAACTATAGAACACGACGCCCAGAGAGCCTCAAAAATTCGCCTCTGGGGTATTTTTAACACACAGAAGATAGTTGTCCATCCAAAAATACTTCATCGCAAGAACTATCAGCTACAATGTCTGGAAATCCTCAAGAATCTACCGTGGGGGCTTTTATTGTAGTACAATATTCAACGGCTTTTGATAGAATGCCCCACCCGTTCGTACTTCTGAACGAAGAGAATTACTTGTACAAGACTCGTACGAGGCAGTTCGGTATCACGAAAAAGAGCTACAGCGGTTATTTCATTCTTGGCAAGCTCGGTGAGTTCTTTTAGTATGTTCATTTGATGGAGAAACTAAAAGAAGTTTATCGAAATAGTTCTGCGCCTTGTGATGGAATGAATGAATGAAAGAAGTCCAAGCTGATGACGATTTCTCCGTCATAACAATGCTTTTCCTTTTTTGGCAGATTGAGCAAGACCGCATCGTACCACATGCCATTCCTCAAGGCTCCTTGCCCTGTGTCTCAACCCCGAAGGACTGAGAGAACTTCGACAGATAGCTACCTTGATTCGACGAAGTAGATACTTTCAAGTTCAATTCAAAATTAGCCATTACTGCAGGTTGTCCCCTCTATCTGCCATATTCATCATCTCGTATTCCTCAATCTATATACTAATACATTGGCTTAAGCAGCTGGCGGGCACGCGGCAGGCAAGTTTTCCTCTACATAGCAGTAGCACCTCTTAAGGTTTTAAGAACTACCAATGATGGCTCGATAACACCGGGTATTAAACATCTCATCGCAACCAATGATAATCGATGAATACCACTATAAAAGAAGGGAAAGAATGCATATCCAAATCGAAGCATCAAGCACTCATGAGCATACTTCCCTAGCCACCAGATTACCGTTGCAATCACGACAGGTATGTTCGGTTAAAAACAACAAGCGAAGAATCTTAATGAAGAGTTCAGCGAAGTCACCCATGTTATCAAAGAAAGAGACGTGAATTATCTCCTAGGCACTTATGTACAGCAATCTTTGGGGATAATGAAACCCTAATTCGTACTTTTTCAGAGATTAAGTGGTCATCTACAGCTACGCCAAATCCATCAACTGCAGAAGCGAAACCAAGAAAAATTACCTCGGGGTCTTCCAAACAAACTATTTTCTGTACAGCAGCTTGCTGTCATAAGTTGGGCATTCCACGGTGGATAGGATCGACAAGAAAGCAGGGAAGACCTCATAACACCCTAGGAATAAATACAAATATCAACTCCGCATAACGTTTATGGCAATATGCACATCCCAGGTCAATTCTCCTCTATTACGACATCGTTTACTCAACGATACTAACGTCAGGATGGAACATACATTGCGGTGCGATGAAGTCGGGAGTAATTACATGAAGATAGGTGTAAATTAGGATAGGTATAGAATTCAGGACATGCATAAAAAAAATTTGCCCTAACAATAGGTATCCTGTTTATTTCCAGCGAAGATCCTTCGAAATGTGCTTGCTACCTGCTCTTGTATTTCTCCGGGCGGACGAGTACGATTGCACACAGAATACCTCAACTGTCGTCTTCGTGCTCCGCCGAAAGAAAAAAGATCCAGGAAATACTATCCAAAAATTCGACCTTCTCTTCAAAAACCAGACTGCAGAATGGATTATTAATCAATTGACATTACTACAATTGTATACTGTTATGTTTTTTGGGATGTGGATAATTGGAGCAACTTGGATATTGACAACATTGGAAGTGAACGCTAGTTCAGGGTATTGGGACCGGAGTTCATTATTTGATAAAGGGAATATGTGTTTGTAGGATGCGTGTGATTGCATACACTTATATGAAGGGGTGAAAGGAGGGAGTGCGATCTTAAATACCTCAGACTGAAGGGCTGATATATATGAGAAGAGACGAAATGAGACAAGAAACTAGACTATATCCAGGCCATGCGAAGATTGAATTTTGTTTCAAGAAGGATTGTTGCCTAGGATATCTACGTACAAGAAGATCATGTAAAGCCCCACGCATATCCGTGTGCGACTGTCGAGCATTTTTATCCAGCTTAATTTTCAAAAACCTTCTTCTCAAATTTAACATTGGCAGATTGTTGAAGGCGATTGATATACTTTTCACCCAAACTAGATGGAGTATAGATACCACCTGACAACTTGTGGTCATCTCGAAGTAATGAAATTGCACCTTGAGCAATCAATATTCCAGTTACTATTCCCAATTAGTCACCTACAAATATTCCGGATCATACAACTCCACTTACATCCATAGATTGGACCTTCAAAATATTCTCGACAAAAGATTCTCGAAGGCTTTGGTTGACCATTATCTGGTTTGGCGATGACTCGAAACTCAACCCGATCATTCTTTGCTTCCTCTTTTGTAGCTCCTTCTCCTGGCTGGTAAACATATTTCCTAGCAGCGTGTCTGAAAAATGGGATGGCCAGGAATATACCACCAAGAATAAGCCCCAAATGTATTGCGAAAGCAGTGAAATAGTTTCGTGCTTTCATATATTCCTCAACTTTGAAATTAGGACCATAGAACTGCTTCGCGCTGGACAATCCCCAACTTCGATGAATGATGGCTAAATCGGTTGATCCCGCGAGAGAAGTGGTAAGTATACCTAAATCAGGAACTACTTTGATTCCGGTAAGTTTGGTGATGAGAGATGTGGAAGGGCGAACTTTTGGTCCTGGTATGGGGGATAGAGCATATGGAGTCATTGATTCTTTGAGTTGCTTGAGACTGAATACTTCCAAAATTGTGAAGATTGTTTCCAATGTTCCTCCGGAAGGTTTTGATCTAAGAGGAATTAGTTCATGATCAAATAATTCTCGGCCCTATATCTTACTTCATCTCATGTAAAGATACGATAACCTCATCAGTGGGTGCCGATAACTTTTCTCGTACAGCATCAACAGCATATCGGGTGATTAAATCCGGTAGAGCAGATTCAATACCGCATTGAGGAATTAGGATTGCACCACTGGCTTTAGCGGTGCTTTCATACTTTTTGATCATCTTCGCTACCCATGGTACTTCTCCAGTAACATCAAAATAATGCGTTCCATTCTCGGCACAAGCGTTGAAGCAAGGTTCGCCATGAAGAGCATAAGGGCCGACTGTTGCCAAAATAACCTTTGTCTTTTTGGCCAATGCACTGAGCTCGGCGTCATCTAAGTTACAAACTTCGATAGCTATTCAAAATGTGATGTGTCAACGGTTGTCGTTGTAGTATAAGCCACGTGACATCAAGGGAGCAACTGTTGGAGTCTCAATTAAGAATCTCACACACCTGGCTGTAATCTATCCGGATTCAGTGCCTTGCACTCAGCTGCAACTGCTTCCAATTTAGCAGATGAACGTCCTGCCAAAGCCCATCGAAGATCTGTGGGTAAATGTGTGGCAACATGTTCCGCGGTAAGTTTCCCTGTGTATCCTGTGGCTCCAAGGATGACCAATTCGTACTCTCTGTCGCTTGAAGACATGATTCTTTATATGAGAAGATCCGAATCAAAAGAGAAGAGGAATTATTGCTGGGTTAGATGTATTTAAACAAGATGATAAAGGAAAAGAATGCCCTTCGCCCATATGATTTGATGCCTTACTACCAGTCTCAAATCGGTTAAAGATTGATTCTAGGCCGACCGATTGATGTCATGGATTACCCGATCGCGGCAGATGACTTAATCCGAAGATCATGTGATGCTATCGTTTCTGAAAGTTTCCATTGAGGACTAGCGTAATGGGGCTATTAACCGAATCCCACACGAATTTGACCAAAATAATTCCCATCAGGCACGTTGCGACAAAACTTCAATTTCCTCATCACCGTTCATCAACGCAAAATACCGCCAAGATGACAAAGAGAACCAAGAAGGTCGGAGTCACCGGTAAATACGGTACCAGGTATGCGATTATTCCAGCTCTATACACCTGAATATCATGAGGAGGATGAATTTACGACTTTTCAACACATTGTTGAGTAATGATGGGAATGGTGGGATCAAGAAAATTTTGACAATGAGAGAAAATCGACAATTCAACGACTGCAGATGGAATCGGAAAAGGAATCAAATGAATGGAAAAACAATTGACTAATTGCTTTACTTCCACAACAGATACGGTGCATCCCTCAGAAAGCAAGTCAAGAAGATGGAAATCACTCAACACGCAAGATACGTCTGTACCTTCTGCGGAAAGACCACCGTCAAGAGACACTCCGTTGGTATCTGGGATTGCAAGTCATGCAAGAAGACCGTTGCTGGAGGAGCTTACACCGTCACGTATGTTTTGGAATTCACTATTCTCCATCCAACCCACAATTTCGAAATGGCGGAGTTCAACTTACTAACATGCTCGACAACAGAACCCCTGCAGCTGCCGCCATGAGATCGACTCTTCGTAGATTGAGAGAAATTGCTGAGGTTTAAATGGCTTGGGATTGATGGTTGTTTCTACGAGTACTTTTTTCTGCGGCATGGGATTGGGAAAAGCATCGCATTGCATGATCGATGTCGATATTCGATGAGGCCGAATATAGAAGAATAAAACCATACCTTGCCTCAACTCTGGAGTTCCTTACACAACGGTTGCGAATTTACTGTGAAATATGTGATGCTGGGTTCCCCGGAAGGATTACTTGACATTTCGATCAGCAATGAGTTTAAGCGCCGAATGGACACTCTTGGAATATGTTGACTCGGGGTGGAAGCAAGGATCTCCATGGCTCACTACGACCTCGATCAAGTCCGCTTCATAATCGACTCAGATTAATTAAACCTTTTTAGACCTTCCGATAACTATTATGTTGGCCCTAATGTTATGTAAAATTTCTGTTATTTGCGCTGAAGCATAGTAAATGATCATAGGGTAGGTCGAGCTTATTTTGGATATTGGTCACTGCTTTTGACCATAAATCGGGCCGTCCAGACGCTTAGCAACACAAAGCAACACAAAACAGCCACAACTGTTGAACTATTTGCATCGTTTCATTCCCATACCATTAACCACATGGCCGCACTCATCGTGGCTAGGGCCTCAACATCAGCCATCATAGAGGTAAAACGACATGTTAATACTGGCTTTTTGGTTTAATCGATGGTCATCATGTCATATCAATATCATTTACATGTTTTCTTGCTTTTGTTGACTTTATCTATATGGCCATAAGTGGTCAAAGCCTTGGGAGTCAGTCAGTATTGTAGTCTGCTTTATAAAGCATCAATGTTCCCATTTTTCTGTTCGTCTTGTGCATCATACTTCCCTGGTTAAAATACCTACATTTTCTTCAGAATCACATTTTCAGACGTACTTCAAACCTCATCCCATCATTTCAATTTAATATATAGCAACTCTTATAAAGTATGAGCAGATACGACGCCGGATACGAGACCGGAAACGAGAGTGACACTAGTCGCCTCCGCCCTTTAAAGAGACGTGTTAAGCCAAGCGGGCCTCCACCCACTACTAGGGGAATTGAAAAAGCTAATCGGCGTAAGTTGGTGCACGTGCTAGAAAAGAAATCATTTGTTTGTTGCTGAGAAGAAAATTAGTGGTTTCGGAAAGCTTAAGGAACGGCAGCGACATCGCCAGCAGAGCTGGGACTGACAGGAGTGATCGTTCGGGTGGGACGGATAGAACTGCTCGCCGTGCGTTTCCCCCTGAAACATGAAATTATTGAGATGTCAGTGCTAATAACTCAAGCAGCTAGGGAACGTGCACGTATGTTGTATACTCAAGTACACTGGTAAAAATTGTAGACTGACGTTGAACATAGCTTCGGAAGGTGGTCGGTCCAGGTCTCGTACTGGTAGCGTGTCGGGTACACAAGGCAAAGGACAACTATACGAAGAATATCTGCGAAGACAGAAGCGGGAGATAGCGAAGAACAAGAATATCGTTATAAGGGAGCCTCCAGCTCGAGGGTCTGGTGCAAGTAATTATGGAGGGGAGAGTGTGTTTAGCAGTATGAATGATACGAGATCTCGTCATTCAAATAACACAACTTTGTCTAGTAGTCGTGGTAAGGAGAGTGGTAGGTCTAGCGATGTAGATGATTTGAGGTCTCATCACTCAAGTAGATCTCATCAGTCAAGCAATACAATCACGCCCAGTAGGTCTGGCGGGGATAGTAGGTACGGCGATATGGATGAACCGAGATCTCATCACTCAAGTAGATCTCATCAGTCAAGCAATACAATCACGCCCAGTAGGTCTGGTGGGGAGAGTAGGCACGGCGGGGATAGTAGGTATGGCGGGGATAGTAGGTATGGCGATATGGACGAACCGAGATCTCATCACTCAAGCAATACAATCACGCCCAGTAGGTCTGGCGGGGAGAGTAGGCATGGTGGCGAGAGTAGATATAGCGGCATGGATGATACGAGATCTCGTCATTCACCCAGCACAATCACACCTTCAACACATAAGAGAACACCATCAGTTGCACCGTCTTCGAGAGCGCCTTCAGCAAGATCTAGACGCGATGATGTTGAAATGCTATCAGAGCGAACAAGAGGTATGAAGCTCGATACGCCTGAAGATCCTACCGTTGAAGAAGCTAGAAGACGCAGACGAATCGAAAAGTGGAACGACCAACCAAAAATCAACCCACATACTATTGAACCCGCAGCATCCGTGATTAGCGGGGCAAGCTCATTAGTATACCCTGGGGAAAGTGTAGACGGGAGGGATACAAGAATGGAGAGGCTCTCAGCAGCAAGTCGTGGTCGTTCGGTCAATTCTAGCGCTGCACCCTCCAATTACAGTCGCGACTCTCGCGATAGACATTTGGCGGTTCCCTCATATGCACCTTCGTACAGCGGATCTTCATCTTTGCGTCGTACTTCCGCACGCGATCCACGTTATGATGACTCTGATGATTATGACGATAGGGGATATGCACCTCCTCCTGCGGCGCCTCTTAATGTAACGATTATTAATGACGTTGTTGTGACCAACAAAAGGAGCAGTAGTAGTTATCGACACTAGGGAAAAGGGGGAAAGTTGAGGAGGGATAGCTTTAATGATGGTGGTTATTAGAAGGTGCTGGTTGGATGCTAGATTGGGTAGATATTGGTAGAAGGGTGACGTGGGAGTTTGAAAACAGAAACTGAAATCAAGGGGGGAAAAAAAAGAAACTGGGAGTTAGGGACTTAGGGAAAGCTTATATCTAAAGGGAAACTTTGTGGGATTTTTCTTTAGACCGATTCATTTTTAGCCTGGAGTTATTTGGTTATTTGTTCCTGTATAGTTGGTGTTTTGGTTTGGGTATATATTTGATTTGAATTTATTTATTAAATTAGTCCTGCTCTTTTCATAGATTTACTTTTTACTTTATACTTTGCACCATAATAGCTCAGTCTAACCAGCTACAACATTCCTTCATAGAGGGAATATATCCGAGATCTCCCTCTCTTACAGTTTTATTCTTCATATCAGGAATTATATTTATACTTCCTACTTCATACTTCTTATTTTACATCCACCTTCACAATCCTCACCACTCTAAACTCCCTAAAATTATACAGCAATTACAACTCAACCCCCTAGGACCCATCTATCTTCTACATAATCTACTATACCATTCCACCTCATTTATCCCCCAAGCTCTCCATATCTATCATCCAATACCAGGTAGGTAATAAGCAATCTAATACTCACATCTGTTAATTACAAAATCCCTAGACACATCGATCTATTTCCATCTTCATCCCAAACCCATATACGTACAATATACACTACAGAGCAGGAGATAAATTAAGAATAAGATCAAGTTATTTAGAGATTAGCAGACTGAGTACCACTAGCTAGGTAAGAACTTATATCTGTAGAATCTGGAGTTTGGAGTTTGAAGTTTAGAGTTTGGACGTCGGGGTTAATGTTTTGAGGGGGAGGGGAAAGATAAAGATAGATGTAGATAAAGATGTAGATTTTAGATGCGAAAGATATTTAATATAATACTTGAAGAGCAATCATTTTATTCTGATCAGCAGGGTAATAATCTGAATGGATGGGATATGGAGTTATAATATCTTATATTAAAAGGATTTCCCAAATAACTACACTTAATTACCCCGTTCCCGTTCCCTTCCCCTTCTCTTTTCCTCTAATCTCGTCTCATTTTATTAGCAGCTAAGAAAATTATAGTAAAGTAAAGCAGTAGGGTATCCCAGATATGCTATCTAGAATTTGATAATGGTATATAGAGTTAGTGGATGAAGATACATTTACTTACTACCTAGATACTTAATCTTAATTATCATTCATTCCAACTTAATCTTACAGTATAAATCCTCAAATCTGAGCAAGGATACACAAGATCACTGAATGATATCATTTTGTAGGTTTGAAGGTTTATCTATTTATTTATTCATTCATTCATTTATCTACATGAGAAAGATCAGATGTGAAATACGCCTAAATACATTATAGAAAACGTAGAAAAATAAATACCACAAGCTCATGAGAAAATGCCTCGATGAAGCATCCATCTTATTACAAAATCCCCCTTATAACCCTCAAACTATTAAACTTCCAAGACTTTCCATCCCGGTCTTTGGGCTCAGAATCATTGGTGTTTCGTATCCATCCGTCAACATCGGTCAACATCGACTCATTGTGTCGATGTAAATGCCAGACTATAACTAAACACATGCACTGAACCTTCTCTTTTCCTTTCCTAGCCTTGTTGATTCGACATCGCGAGTATGCATATCAACATCACCGTCACCATCACCACCACCACCACCAATCTTATCATCGAGCTTAAGACCCTCCATACACTTAGTAGGGACCGCATCCAATGCACCAACAAGCATATAATCGCGTTCCTCAGCACCACGACCCTGCATCTCCGTATCTCCAAAACCTCTCTTCTTATTCCCAACCACCTTAAGTGTCTCAGCGTTCTTAGCACCAGCAAGATCCAACGCTTCCATATTCTCAACACTATAATTCCTATCTTTACGACTGGTCTTTGTATCAACGGCATAGTACGCATGTACAAGCGATCGATTAGCCGGTTCAGGGAGAGAGAAAGCAGGAACATCTTCTAGGACAGTTGTATGGATATTCTTGCGACGTTTGTTTGAAGTCGTAGGAAGGCCGCGGATATCGAGGAACATGGTGCCTTCGACGGAGACGAAGAGACTTCGGTCGTTTTGGGGATTGGGTTTGTTAGAAGACAAGTTGGTGTTGCTGTTGGTTGGTGGTTGATGGAAGAAAATTGAGGAGCTTTTTCGACCCATGGGTTTTGATGGTGTGTTTGTGGTGGGTGCGAGGATAGGAGCTGGAGGAGGCTTGGGACTCGACTTGTTGGGTTGGTTTACGAGGGGATTTATTGGTGCCATTGTTGTTCTTGATACTTGATGCTATCGGGAAATTCAAGTGTGGAAATATGGTAGGGGAAAAAAACTTTTTTAAATGCGTCTGGTTAAACCCTACTATAAGATTTGATCTAAAGGTTTGGTGAAAGATCTTCTGTTCAAATGAATGATATCATTTAACCAGATTTGCGTAGTACGGCTCACTAAGAACGTACCAACTTTCTAGTCCCCGAATTTCGCAGGTACAGCTCCCTCACCAAAAAGAAATTAACTTTGATGGTATGTATGGCAACTGTCTTAACATCAGTTGTTACTTTCTCACAAACTTATATCATTCTCCGGTGCCATCCAATGCGCCACTTGCAATAACATGTAAGGCTTCCTGTTGCTTACGTTACTGGAGAATCGAAACCCGGAACCATATATCCCCAACTCCAAACCATATTGCAAAATACATAGGTAATACAAGATCCCCCGATCCACGGCTTTATTAATGATTCCGAAAATTCTTTTTTCTACACAAAAATGTTAATATTTTGTTTGATCACATCATTTGGATAGGAAAACTTACTGATAGAACAAATCCGTTCTACTACTACCCAGATTGATGATCTTTGGGCATCCATCACGGTCCTTTTCCAATCTCGTACACTCAAAACAATAGAATGCATCTGAAATGCCTTCCCCTCCACATACAACACATTTGTTTTGGTAGTTGCCGAAACTGCACTCTTCGCAGATACGTACGAGAGTTGTGGGACGAACGTATGAATCGCATACGGGACATTTGCCGTCGCACTTATCACAGAGACGTCCGATTGCGATACCTGACTGCTTCCTACACATTACGAGATCTCTAGAGGGAGGTTAGTATTTTGTAGCCTTTTAGTCGAGGAGATCTTGTACATACGGATGATGGCGGGACATTTTTAACTATCTCTACAGATATAAAGCTGTAAATGATCTTCTTGGACAATTTCTAGAGGTATAGGTACTTCAATTAGGAGAATTGACGCAGGTGTGAAAGAGATGATCGTCTAAAGAGCTCGAGATATTATCATTTGATATCGCCGCCACCAAATTCTGTGAGCTTTCGTTCTTTGATTTCTAAGCACAGACCACAACGCTAGTACCGACCAGGATTTGTCAATATATCCCATCCCATACCGCATTGCATATCGCATAAAATAAACCAAATGGTGATGAATTGATTTAATACTCCAAAACAATTTACTTTTATTCTCTACTTGTTTAAACGACATCATTTTGGGAAATTCTGCTAATCTATTCAAGTTGTGATGTTTGACAAATATGCCAGATTTACCAGCGTAAGTAAATGGAATAACTTGAGTCATGTCATCAAGGCTTACTAATAGAATATAGACCCGTGGCATCTGCAGTTGTCGTTCCTAAACAAGATGCGCCAAACGTTAAAAGTCCCCGCAGGAAACGTCGACAATCATCCGTGTCCGAAGAAGCTTCAAAACGTCCCCGGATCTCCACCGAAGGCAGCGTCGGCTCTCCCTCAACACTGCATTCATCTCCACAAGCTACCGATTCTTTGAAGCATGAATCATCGGGAAAGACTCAACGTCTTACCGTTGTACCAGAAGGGTCAAGAAATGTTAATCCTGAAAGACGGAGGAGTAGTGTCCAAGAGGAGCGCAAGCGCGGTCAAAGATTATTTGGAGGCTTGTTGAATACCCTTAATCAAAGCACACCCAATGGACAACAGAAAAAACGACAGGAAATTGAGGCGCGACAAAAGGAAAGAGCCGCGCAAAGAAAAGTTGAAGCAGAAGTTAAGAGGAAGGAAAAGCTTGCGAACCTGAGAGCTGTACGAATGGTTGAGCAAGTGAAATTCCAGGAAGAATCGGTTAGTTAATGTTGAGAGATGGGAAGGATGTAAGGCTGATGGTTTTATAAAGATGCGAATACGACATACGAATATGTTAGCCATGGCCGGGTTTCTTTCCACGGAAACAGAGCCAAAACTCGTGAGGGCTATACCACATCTCTACCATACTACTTTGATTGCTAACTTATCAAGTATTACAAACCATGGCAATTATCAGTCAGGAATGAAGCCACAATCAAAGCCCAAATCGAAAAGGTTGAGATCCTGATCGAGGAAGAGAAGTCCGAGTGGGCAAGGCAACATCAAGAACAAGGTCTAAAGGTTGAAGAGGAATTCGAAGTAAAGGTGATGTCTGATGTGATGATGGGTGAGCCTCATACAGAGCCTCCATCTAGTTCTAACATTGATACTACTAATCCAATTTCTGCACTCGTTGCTCAGTCCTCACAGGTTAAGACTGAGAAAGATAATTTGGAAGAGCATAATGGCGAGGTAGTAGTAGAGGCAGAGGAGGACACCGTCATTTACTGATTGCTTTATATGAATTGGTTTAAGGAGTTTGCTTCGAATGCTGAAATTCTCAAATGGTGTTTGGGTGATAATATCTTTAGGGATGATATCTTTAGGAGTCAATGATATCCCGAGCCGTCTTGTACTTTAGACTGGCTATATTAGAATATTTCCTTTCTTTTCAATATTACTTACTATGAACTGATTTTGAGGGAATTTATGTAAACATCGGCCGAACACCCACCAACGAAATCAGGGACAGCTTGATATTCGGCGAGAATGTGTGGGATAAGCCTAAGTCCGACGACATCATCAACATGATTCGTCATTCTAGGACAAAATTCGGACTATAACACAATGCCGTGGTTGATTATGTGTTGCGCTGGAAGCAACAGCTGTCTGATACCCAATTTTATCTTTTTTTGGACCGAGGTACGGCATTTGGTGGGGCAGCCTCGTTGTTTAAATGCTCAACATTCCCACCTCAACATCAGCCTTGTTCAAGATATTTTCATTCTTGAATAATTAATTTACTTTTGAACACATATCAAAATGGTCGATAAACTCGCAGTACAAGACTCTCGAGTCCAATATAAGTCGGCTGATGTAAATGGTCGAACTTACTCTTATATTCTTGCCGAACCTCAAAATGGTGCTGAACCTGTTGGCACCATCTTTCTTATTCATGGGGTGAGCATATATTTTATTTCTAGATCATAAAGACTTTTGAGGTTCTGTAAAGAGTCGAATAGAAATGATACTTTTCAAGGCTTAAATCAACATGTCAAAACCATTTACTGACTTCTCTAGTTCCCTGATTTGGCATTCGGCTGGAGATACCAAGTCCCCTTCCTCCAAGACCTCAACTACCGCGTCGTAGTCCCCAACATGCAAGGTTACGCTAGTTCATCCTCTCCCCAAGAAGTCAGCGCCTACACCTACAAAACGGCCGCAGATGATGTTGCCGCCCTCGCCAAAGTCATTGGAGCCACATCCATTATCCTCGGAGGTCACGATTGGGGTGGAGCAACCGTCTACCGCATTGCTATCCACTACCCCAAACTCATCTCTGCCGTCTTCAGCATCTGCACTCCTTTCTTCCCTCCCCAACAAGAATATAGATCCCTAACTGTCCTCCCCAATTTCAAATACCAACTGCAATTCCAAGGACCCGATGTCGAGAGGGAAATTGTCGGAAAGGATAAATTGAGATCAATGTTAAATGCATTATACGGAGGACGCACCGCAGATGGCGAACTCGGCTTCTCCGTCGCGGAAGGAGTACTCTTTTCCAATCTGGAAAAACTCGGTCACACACCTCTCTTATCCAAGGAAGAATTAGACTTCTACGCGGAACAATATGCTATCAACGGAATCCGGGGTCCATTAAATTGGTATCGTACGGGGGAGTTGAATTTCGAAGATGAGAGGGAATTAGCGCCGTTGTTTCATGAGAAGGGTCTCAAGGTGGATATTCCTACTATGTTTGTTGCGGGTTCGAGAGATGCCGCTTTACCTCCTGCTATGGGTGAGGGAATGGAGAAGTGGTTTGGAGAGGGGAAGTTGAAGAAGAAGGAGGTGGACACTAGTCATTGGGCTTTGTGGGAGAAACCGGAGGAGGTTAATGGGTATATTGCGGAGTTTTTGCAGGAGACTTTTGGGGGGAAGAGTCATCTTTAGGTTTGGGTCTTTAGATTTAGATAGCTACTTACCTACCTGTGAATGAAGAATAAAAATGAAATATAAATATCTTGTCCCGTCTCATTGTATTGCATTGTATCGTATCGCATGACTAGGTAAATGTATGTCAATATCCAATAATAAACTTTGCTCAATCGATGAACTAATTAATATAACTAGATATCACCTAACTTCAATTTCAACTTCACAGAATATAAATCTCATATAAACTTATAAACTACTATATATGTAGTAGGTATATTAATTATTATTATTATTAATGAGAATGGAAATGGAAATGGGAATAGGAATTAGTATAAATCCTCAAATATCTATTTCTTTATATATTTCAGCTTTGTTATAAGATAAATCTCATACGGATTTTTGGGGGGTGCGGTGGGGATGCGGGGTGGGAAGAGGGGAAGGGAGAGATGTTCTTGTGAATTTGAGGTGTGATGGGAATATGAAGTATCAGTATGAGTGGGAGTGGGAGTATGAGTGATGTGAGGTGAGTGTTGAGTATAAGTATGAAGGGTAGAAGAGGGCGGAAATGAGGCGGATAGAAAGACATTTGAAGGGGTGGAAGGGGAAATAAATATATAAAAAAAAGAAAAGAGTAAAGTAGAAAATATAAGTTTTATTATTATTATTATTATTGTGATTAACGTCTACTCTGACCTCCCGAGGGGTATTTAGACGTGCTAAGCTAAGGGGATTAACTACAGACAGCTGTTGACCTCCTTAATTAACAATTTAGCATCTGAGAAGGGGACTGTTCGTCCCTTTGCGTGAACACCCTGTCCACTCAGTTGTGGCGAATGTGTGTGACTGTTATTTTATAAGTGCGTGTGGAAGGGCTCGCAAGGCCTATCTTTATATATTCCCATTCTGTAGCTAGAGGGTGGGGAGTGAGGGGGGGCGCCATTTGGTTAGCTAGGCGTCAGTGTTTGCACACCAGTGTGTGTTTTTAGTGGAATGGAGAGAGGGGAAGAGCTAAGTTGTCGGATAGCCCAGTTGGAGAAGTCAAGTGGATTGTGGCGTGTTGTGCTCTGCTTTTGAGCGAGGGGGAGAGAGGGATTTTGAGGGGTGGCACAAGGTCAGTACAGCGGGCATACTTGGGTATAGAACTTTGAGACCCGCAAGAGCTCTGCGAACGTGTCTGGAGCACGTAGAAGCTTGTGGATATACATGATCGTCTGCCAGGTGGTGGTGATGGCGCTTCGTGGTGCAGTTGGCCACTGACCACGTGTCTCATTGTTGATGGGGCATTTGAAAAAGTGGAAGGGTTCTTTCTCTTGCCCACAGGTGCATCTCAGCTGGTTGTCCCCGTGCTTGAACCGGCGGTGGTAGTCTGCGAAGTCGCCGTGCCCCGTTCGCATTGCTAACAGTCGATGCAGCACGCCCCTTGGCAGTGACAATTCCCTGGGCTCTCTTGTGCTGTATGAAGGATGCCATGCTGAGTAGGTGCTAGATAGCGTAGTCCTAGCTTCCCCCCACCAGCAGTCCTCCGCCTGAGTACAGAGTTCTCTGTAGGATGAGCGCACCCCACTTACCGTAGGGGTGTTAGCTAGGCCTCGATCCATCATGCCCATTGCTCCATCATTCGCCAGGCGGTCTGCCTCTTCGTTGCCTTCGATCCCCATGTGTCCAGGTGACCATTTAGCTTCTATGTCGTGTTTTGCCATCGCTCTGTGGCACTTGTGGAAGGCCCACTGTGACGTGGTCGGGGCATTACCTCTCATACACCATATGACGGAGGTGCTATCGATGCAGAGCCATATCTTGCCAGAGGGCTGGTCCGTGGTCAGGTTGAGCAGGTGCTCGAGCCCACGCCACGCTCCGATCGCTTCCGCGTCGAACACATGTGAGGTCTCGTGGATCTGACCTTTCCCAGCTGCTACTCTCTGCCTGCCATGGTATATCGCGTAGCCGTACCCAACATGGTGCTGGCTATCGACCCATCGTTCTGATCCGTCCGAGAAGATCGTGTAATCCTCGGACGGTAACTGCGGCCACCATTCTTTGAACGCCAGCGCGGCCTCCTCTTTGGAAAATCCTTTCGTAGGGTTGGTCCGACATTCACGCGAGAAATGTGGCCTGAGCAGTTGGGGCCTCTCCGTCTCAGGGATTAGGCGTCCAAGTCGCTGTAGTCTAGTTGTAGGGCTTTTCGGAGTGCCTGCCCTCTTCCCCGCTCTCCTGATGATGGGTTCAAGCCGCCTTACCAAAGGGTTTCTAAAGTCGACTGTCTGGAGCCGGAGGGCGAACCTGAGCTTGGCCTTCTCCAACGCCACCCACCCTGAGGGGAGACCTGCTTCCTTGATCAACGCGACTATCGGCGTGGTCTTGTATACTGGTATCGTGCCTCGTGCGGCAGTGTTGATGACCTTGTCTATCAGCTTCAAATGTGCTTTCATGCCCATGGAGCGATCAGGCCCGTGTTGACCTAAACCGGGCTTGGTCATGCCTGCATACCAAACCTCGGTTCCATAGAGCGCTACCGGAAGCACGCAAGCGATCACCGCTTTCCTTAGATATGACGCTGGCGGCCCATGAACCGTTCTTGCAATCGACCTGATGTGAGCAGACACCTTCATAGCTTTGGTCGTTCGCTCTTTGACATGTTGTAAGAAGGACAATCGTCTGTCAAAGTACACCCCTAGCCATCGCATTGTTGGTGTCGTTTTTGCAGTGGTTGCAATTGGGACAGGGGTGATTACCAAATCCCGGTTGACTACCAACGGCGGGTTGTCGGTTGTGTGCCTCCGAGTTATGTGGAGTAGCTCAAACTTTTCGGGCGCGAATGAGATTTTGTTATCTTCACCCCAAAATAAGTTTTATAATGGAATAAATAATTAAATTAAAGATAATACAAATTCAAATTCAAATTCAAATACATATATATATATATATATAAACACCCTATTCGGCTGTCACGATTCATTAATTCACGTGACCTCGAGGACCTTGAGGACCTTTTGGACCTTAGGGTCCCAAAGGTCCTCAAAAGATGATATAGGGTATATAAACATTCATTTAGTCTCGTAGTTAAGGAGCTTTGTGCTCAACTTAGTTATCAATTAGTTTACCTACATTCTACTTGATCTAGTAACGACTTCACTTCCAAGTGAAGACCAGTGATATGTCACACTCAAGAATACTGGGTAAAGTATCTTGTATTAGAAAATACTAAGCTAAGGAGAAAAGAAGAAGGAAAACAAGAGTAGAGAGTTTTCCTATGATTAAATACAAACGGGGCATGCCACGTGACCCGGAGGTGTGAGGCGTCACATGATAAAGCCTTAACCCACAACTACCAAACAGACGAAACCTTAGGCAGCCGCTGCCTCCAGTATAGTATCGTTACATCGGCCTCCACAGCAGTGGCTCCCAGAGGGCCAGCGGAGCGTCTTTAATTTGCGTCTTCTTTGGATTTTTTGATTTTTTTTTTGCTTTTTTTGCTTTTTTTGCTTTTTTTGCTTTTTTTGCTTTTTCGGTCTTGTGTTTTTGTGTTTGGGTTTGGGGGCGGTAATATAAGTATGGATCGGTGGGTGGATGAGGTCTGTGTACTGTGTATTGTGTATATGTATATATGTGTATATATAAAATCAGGTGATATTTCCATTCCCGCCTTTTCAGACCTAGCCTGGTCTGCGTTTATCGCGGGATAGGTAGAATATGTAAAAAGTTTAGTTTGTGGAGAAGGAAGGAGCTTTGAGTGAGGGGGGAGGGAGGGAGGAAGTGTGGATTTTTTGTTGGTTTGTGTTTTGTTGTTTTGCTCACCGTTGAGCTGGCTTTATTTGAGGGCATGGGTGAGGGAGTGGGTGAGTATATTAATGTTGATATTTGTGTTGTTTTTTGTGTAGTTTGAGGTATTGTG